GAAAAGAAAAAAACAAAAATGAACGCTGTAAACAGCATTAAAATTATGCAAATGATCACGACGGCGATTGCACCCTATATAACTTGCTAAAGATGCTGCGGCGGTCCAGCAGCGTTATATTGAAGATAATGTGACCGGACTAATTTAAAGACGTCGACTTCTCCTCCCGTAGATCCTGTATACCTGCAGATGGCATTCTGACTGCTATCCTTTAGACTCCCGCTAACGAGGTCCTGCCACGGACCCAAAGGACACGGGACCCACGGGTCCTGTCAATTAAGGACACAGCTATACCGGTCCACGGTTCTACCTACCTCCGCATTTTTACTTTTTTTTTTCATCTTATTTTTTTCCCCTATTTTCTCTCTCTCTCTCTCTCTCTCTCTCTCTCTCTCTCTCTCTCTCGCTTTCTTTCTCTATTCGGAGATACAAGGCATTCAGTCGTCACCGTATATATGTATACACAGACGGCAAAACGGTAACCAAGGAAAAGTGTATGACGCAGAAGGCACTCTGTTTACCATCCAACCGACCTGACCTTTGACCCTCCCGACCTAAAGCCACGGAACGACTACGTAAATCAGAAAGCGAACAAATAAGGAAAAAAAAAAGAAAAAAAATAACTATACTTGCACGACATATTTTTTCTCTCGTTTCGTCCCATTATTTTTTATCCAACATTTTATCAATCTTTATTAATAATTCGATTGATCGATCGATACTCAAGAACCCGTCGTACCCTCGCGTTACATGCATCGGCTACTTTGCCAAAGAGGAAATTATATATATATATATATATATATATATATATATATATATACCAAAAATAATAAATCATTGCTGTTCACCTATAATTTTCCATCGCCATCTGCATTGTTAGTGACAATGGACATTTATTTGGACAGCCATAGCGACAACGATAATAATAATAGTCCGCGCGAACCCACCGCGCTCCAGGCCAAACAAAGTCCCGTGCGATTTTTTCGCGCCGTATATTTTTAAATTCCACACTAGTCAGTCTTAGAAACCGACTTCCCGTTAGAATCTAACAGCGTCGCACCCGCGAGTATAAATATTAAAAATCGTCCAGAGTATGGATGGACGATGAATAAATAAAAAAAAAAAAATCCCAGCGTAAATCGTTCGAATTCATAAAGACAGCTACCTCAGTCAAAAATATAAACGGGGGTGGTCCTTAATAACGATAAACATTGAAATCACCGTATAAACGCATGCATAGCAGTTAAAGGAAGAAGCCGGTATATCTCGTCCCAGCAATCTCTCATTATCATTCTCGACACTGTTCCCGCTCCCTCTTACGGGATCACTTGGTGCTTTTTCCTATGTACGCTAGATGGACTCCCAGTATCCCAGGTTAGCCTGGCTTATGGGAACCCGTGAGCTTTCAAGGAACAATTCCATGGAAAGATTTCTAGGTATTTTTTTTTTATTCCTATAAAATCACCTACGTGTATACAACTATATACGTATATATATATATATATATATATATATACAGCAGGTTCGATTGTAATAAATAAAAAATTTGTACGCGAATCGATAAAAAAAATTTGTTTTTCTCTTTAACGTCACGACAAAACAGTACGTATGTTTGCGGTCCGTAAGGCTTTTTATCTTTAGAGAGGATAATCCTTGGATGAGTCGGCAAACGAAATCCGGTCGCCTATATCCTGGGCGTACAATACGATTTATTTATTATGCAAAATCTATTGAATTGCGTGTGGTCAATTATATTATGTTAAGTAGAGCATCCGCGTTGTGTGACGTATCACACCGTGGGATCTAACGTGGTACCCTATTTCTTACTCTTAATAACGTATTGTGTCCGTGGCATATTAGGTTTATGCTAATGTCGAAGATGCTACGTTTCGTGATTGAATCTGGTCTGCAGCTACCTCGCGGTGATGCAAAGGCGTGGGATTTGAATCATTCGATAAAGGATATACATATAGATACGTGTACAGAGGATACCGGGGGATATTAAATGAAATTAATATATATATTTTTTAAATATCTTCAATTGAACTAGCTACGCCTATGCGCGTCCGTACTGGGCACGAACTTTGCTCTGATTTTTATTGATACTGGACCCAGATGCTGGGACGTAATCTCGACTCAGATTTGACTACTCTTGTCAACCCGCCTTAATGTAAGGCCGGTGCAAAGGCGTGGGACGTATATATATTTTTTTTTTTTTTAATGAATGGGGCTACCGCAAAAATTTATTCACGGCTTCCTTACTTTTCAAGGTCACCGTTCTAACCTCGACCTGTCGCCACTGTAGACTGCCATAACAAATATTAAGGCCAACGACCCATCTGCTGTATCTTAAATTGACCCGAGCATAGAAACGTGCCTGAGCAAACTTATTTTTACAGACTATATGTTTTTTTTGGTCTCAGCTCTCGGCAGCCTGTATTTCCAATCCCGTCGGTTGGTAGCGATTGATAATTTATGTAAACGCTATAACCCAGTGTGTGACGATTAAAAGAATAAGAAAAAATTGGCAGAAAGGTGGAAAGCCGCGTCTCGAGCTATTACGAGAATTTCGAGAGTTGAACCGGGTTTCTGTATCGCGACTTGCTTCCCTATAGGAATAACGAGCTACTGTTTTCAGTTGGATAATAAAGTATATAGACCATTGGGAATATATAGGGAAAATAAAATAAAACATGGTAGGACATATATATATATACAGTGTGTTAGTACCGTCTGGTTGGGCCCCTCGTGAAAGGGGGAGGACCCGCTTAACGAACGGCACTGTCCTATCCGCCATATTAGCATATAATACACGTTCGGCTACGCGTCGCTGACGCAGCTTGAAAAAAAATTTATCATAATTTTAGAAAAAAAAAAAAGTCGAAATCCACTCGCGTGAAATTTCAGGTCATTTGTATATTTGCATTCGAAAATTTGCGAGCTGTCAGAAAACACGTGGACGACGTAAATATAGAATGGGCGAAGGGAGAACGGACGATTGGATGGTGAAAAAAATAATTGTTTCTATACGGCTGATGGACTTTGGACCAAAAAAAAAAAAAAAGATGAAGCAGCGCACCAGGTGGGTCTGTTTTAAATGCATCAAACAGTTACCTAAGTAAGGTCCAAACTTGGGTGGACCAGGTGAGAGATGACCTGCCAAGTCTCAAGGTGTGGGTCAAACGGTTAATTATTATATTGCCTATTAACAAGGACTATCTTTCATTTTTAAGTATACCCACAATTTTCAAAATGGCATCCGGCATCGTTCGCTCCTCGGGACGAGGTTCAGTTTTTGTATTGAAAATGCAAATACGCGAGTCATTTAGCATTAACCATGGAATTATATATGTACTGCATCCATTACTATACACTGTACTACAAAAAGCATGTAAGCGTCATATGTGAAATCGTAAAAAAAAAATTTATACAGAAATAACGATGTGACATGTTCATAGAGTAAAATAGCGATACACGTCACTAATGCCATACAGGTATTTTGAGTCGTGCAGTAAATTAATCCACAGCTACCAGTTTCAGGCCAGATGTGTTTATACGATTGCATTATCGATCCCACGCGGATCGATATCTGTGTCGGCAAAAATTATATCGATTTAGCGTAACACGTGCGCCAGTGAAATGTTGTACCGATGCCGATCGTATACCTGCACGCGTTCTGGATACCCTCGATTGAATCGGTTCACCGGTGCAAAATACAGTCCATGTATATATATATATATATATATATATATATATACCAGTACGTATATACGTAACGACGCTATTGCGTAATAGAAAGAAAATTAGTTACAATCGAAAAAGCGTTGGTTTTACGTAAATAAATTTTTGTTGCAATTTTGAAAAAAAAAAGCTAGAAAAATACATATCGAGGGTCATGCGAAATACCGAAGTCATAATCATAACAAACCAGCTAACCATAATGCTCGCACTTGTGCTTCGCTGGTCATCCTTATGTTGACTTTAACCGTCCTCGTTAGCGCGTCCCGGGATCGTGAATATACATTATCTCGATGTACCCTGTGTCTAAAGTATCACGTGCCAAGTACGTTCCATAAGGGAAAAGCGTAAATGACAATTTTGAGGCTACGCGTCTTGTAATACGACGTAGTGGAGTTGATTGAAACAAAATTTATAAAACGTGATCGACGTCGATCATCATCGAGCAGGGTATCCTGCATTGAACTGCCCTTAAAATGGAGACTCTAGGGACTTCCGATTCTAATGAAGAACTTTGTGAGAGAAATACATAGGCATGGATAAGTATGCATTATTTATGAATTTATATAGTGTCATGTCGGTCCGATATGCTTTGCGAGGCCGAAAGGCATAGCGTGTCGGCATTCTTTTCGTAACGAGAGCTGGTCCAACTTTCCCTGAAGATAAAACAAAAGGGGGATGCCGTAAACTTTTACTTCTGAGAAGAAAAGGCCTTTCGAAGAACGCGGATCCCTACAGCATACCAAATCACGGGGCCAGTCTTTCCTAATCTTAATGACTGGTGTCAAGCTGATTAGCTCTTGTTTACATCGGACCAACTTAAGGAACTTTAGAACGCGGCGCGAGCTCGAGAAAGTAATGCCGTTTGTCACGATCGGTTAAAATATCGTCTTGTTTTATACTACTGACTATAACGTGTGCGTGTATATATCTTGAATCGGCCTCAAGGCATTTTGTACGTACTTTGTACACGCGTGCTGTCCGCCAACCACCCAAAAGATAGGCGCATAAAGTTTCTGCAGTGTCCTGGCCACTCGATTATCCAGTGCAGGTATTGTGAATTATGGCCGAGCGATCCGGCAACGTCGAAAGCGTCCCAAAAGGGGTAATAGGGGGAATAAAAGAAAAATTTGTAAAACTTCTAGCAACGTCCACGTGTACTTTATTCAACGTGGTAATAGGGATGGGTATTTTTTGGAGTAAAAATTAAAGAATTAAACAATACGAGGGAATTGACTATTCTCACTGATATCCAACGGCGTACAAGATCCGACGGCAGCTGACAGGCGGACCTCATCGCATTAATCCACAGCTGAAGACGGGTGGTTGGCCGTTCGGGATAAGGTAAGGGGGAATTCACACCATCCCTGAAAAGGACTGACTACCTTGGAAAGCCGCTAAAGGGCACTGAAATTTCCATGACGGTTCTACATCTCAATGAAGTAAGCAGCAGTTCTGCCTGACGTAAACGTATATATAGATACGTATATAAACGTAAACCAAGCGTGTATATAGATACGTATGTATATTTACCTAGTGAAAAAACATCTCTCGATTCAAACAACTTTATATTTTCACACGATACCTGCGGGATCGAGTAGTTAAATATTCCAAAGCACCTCATAATTTCGTGAAGAGATTCGCACAACGATTAGGGATATACGAGGTTCGTAGTGAGGGTGGAAATCAATAGGAGGAATACGTTGATAACTATGTAAAAAATTTTCAAAGTACTTTATACGGATAAACAATGATAAAAATTACGAGTCTTGTTGACTGTACGAATCAGTGATATTAGGGATAGCCGGCTGAGCGGATACAGAAATAGGAATTGGAGCCGTCGGTAAAATAGATTTTCCTATAGGGTAAAGACACATCGAAAGAACACAGCTGTGGAAAAATGGTAATATTAGTATAATGATAATAGTAACTTTAATTATAACCAGTATGTTGCTTCGTGTTTTCCGTTTTGACTTTCGATTTCGATATGAAATCTTGTTTTCGATTTTCCGTTTCGAGCGAGAGAAACGTAGGGAGAGTGAGAGAGATAGAGAGAACGGAGCAGGTATCCTTCAGGAGGGACGTGACCAGGCGCTAGACAATACTTTCCAGGCGTTTATAATGAATAGCCTTTTATATATTTTATCATCAACAGCTAAAAATAAAGAAGCGTCCCGGCGGTTTATTATTTCGTTTCGGTGAAGCTGTCTTGTTAGCGGGGCCAATGGAAGGCGTGCTCCCATGGACGCCCCACCGGGTACGGACCAATCGCGTCCAAGCGTCCTGGGAACATGCTACATCGCGTGTCGACGAGCACCTCCTCCTGGCATCGCTTCGCGTCGCGTGTTCCTCTACCTTAACCTCTTTTGCTCGTATTACCGTCGAGCCTTTCTGTGTCTGTGCTCTGATCGTTCCCTCTCTTTTTCACTCTCTCTCTCTCTCTCACTTCTCTCCGTGGACTTTGCTTTGTTTTACGCTGCGTTCGCATGAACACGCGGCGCCGAACTCTGCGATTCGATTCTCCCCAGCAGTTTCATACACTGAACAGCAACACTGTCACAAGCAACATTTTACGTTTTGCATCGTACCTACCTTCATTTTATCGGTTTCTCTCTCTGTTTCTCTCGTTCTCCTATTCTCTTTCTCCTGCTGGACCTCCACCATTTATCATCATGACACTTATCACCTTCACTTCATACTTTCTTTTAACCGATGCTCTGATCGCTCCCGAATCCTTCGCTCACTCGGTAGTCAAGTGCACAACTAAAATAACGGTAAAATGGTTAAAGTATTTTGACACTGAATAAATTATTTTTCATTTTGACATTACTTTGTTTAATCACAACTTTGAGGTTAGTTTTTTTATTCAACGCGAAAATAACTACTTATTGACAGAAAGCATCGCGACTCGTTTCTGCTCTCTTTCAGTACGTTCGAGCATCGACCCGTTCCTGTCCGCTTTTCCCACCAAGGAATTGTTAAAGCACCTACTTTTAAAGTGTTTGTAGAAGTCCTACGTTCATTTCGCGTTTAAACAACTTCGTTCCCGTGGAACATTTCGTCTCGGTAGACTGCCTCGTAGCAACACTAGGTCCGTTTGAAATTGGCCCTGAGCTGGTACACTGCACCGCGTCTTTCAGGCTTCTAGCTTGAAATTTTACAGTTCCCGTACCACGCAGTAGGTACTTGCTGAATTTTATTACCGTATATAATTATTCGCACTTTGTCGAGATTCTTGGAAAACTTTTATTAGTCGCGTCTCCCGAACGTTTCAACTGTTTCTCGTTTGACTCATTTTCACATCTCGCCATTTGGCCAATGGCGGAGTGGCGCGTTAAATTCAAACGGGGAATCGACGAGTTGGCGTGAATACAACTGTGTGTCGGCAGTTCACTTCGTGAACGGCTTCGAAGATCGGGAAACGATTCTTCGAATCGGTTGACACCTCGAGTGATATATGGGCGCACTATGGAGTACTTGTTAATTCCGTACCGGCAGTTCCGTAGGATGCCACTGGTAGATGGCGGTACATTTTTAATAACTTACTTCACGCTCCAGCAGGAAGACGCTCCTCTTCGATACGAATTCTCTAAGGATAAACGATGAGCTCTTATGGTATAGGTAGGTATTATAGCTTGTTATACACGATGGAAAAATGTTAAACGCAACTATGGGAAACTGCTAAAGATTTCAGATTACCTACGTGTAACAATATCTTCATCTCGATGAAACTCGAGTACTTTATAAATGGTTAAATGCCAATGACAATGCGATTAATCACTCAGCTCTATGGAAACGATCGTACGTCTTATAACAAGTAGTATAAATCCTGTCGATGTAATTCTCCTTAAACGTGTACACGCTGTACAATTCAGATTCCATATACACTGAGAGAAACGATAATTAAAAGTATAAGTACGAAAATTTGACATTCGATACTGTCGAGAGGTTATGTTTTGAGAAAGACAATTACCATAATTCCAAAGAAATGATATCCCTCATTAAAGTCTCGATCCCTTCTCTGCTATGGGACAACGAGGAAATTCCAGAATTTATGAGAAAATTTTTAAATCGTTCCGGGAAGCTCTTCCAACGTTAACCAAAGCCGCTCACGTACTAAACGTGAAACGTGTAATTTTGAATTTCATAAATTTTACAGAACTGAAGGATTTGTATGCGCAAGCAGCCAAGCATTATGTCAACATTCAACGACACCCTTCAACATATTCTACGATAAAGTTCGAATTACTATTCAAATCGAAGGCCTCGCGCCACTGCGTGGGTGGCAAAGCCAACCCCTTCCATTAGAAGTTCTTAAACCAGCAGCAACCCTTGATCCGAAAAGAATTAGTAGAACGAAGATTGATAAACACGTTAAAAAAAGAGACTACCACCTATTACGTAACCTTCGTGACTTTTCCATTTTCCAGAATTTTTTTTTTCTTATTTTACCTTCCTTTCTGTCCATGTTACGTGATGGAGGCAAGTGTCCATAGCTGTGGCTCGCGTGACTCGACTGGGATGTGTGACTGGGAGACATAAGCTGGCCGATGAATTAATGGGGGTATTTTTTATTCAGCAGCCCCGTGGGTATTTTATTTTATTTTGTAGGGTTGCCAGCGCCTCGTATGAGAGTCAGGGTACGATCAAGAGCCACGATACGAGTTCGGACGGGTGCTAGTTATATTGCGCGTTCGGCTGGTTTTTGAGTCGCGCGGGCCTCTCTTATATACATTTTAAATGGACATCTTTAGGAATTAATTCCCTAAATAAATTGACCGGATGTAGATGCCGGTACGAGATAATAGCTTCCTACGTTCGTACCGTGTCACTGCTAAGGAATTTTATAGTTAATAAGTATTTACCGTACTCGCAGTTTCTTACAAGAAAACTTTACGTATATCTACAAGTCAGATTATCGTCCAGGATCAATTTCTTCCGCATGAACTGTACCGACGCCTTTCCAGCGAAAGTATCAATTACACCTTCGATACGATACCGTGGCATACCACACTCACGTAACCCTCGGACATTCTTCCTGTACGGTTTTTAGCATTGCCGCTCGCGTTTTCTGGGTGAGAAAATCGGCTAATCTCGAGGTACAACGTAGCGGCTGTCGTCCGGCGGCTCTAACTCGAAATGACGTTACGTAACTTTCGAGAGTAATTGCTCAAGCTTATTGAAATGTATAGCAGGCACTGGATGACACTCTCCCAGGACCTCGCGTGCATTATTTCACAGTGAAATAATGTAATTCTGGTCACACCGCGAGAGTAGGAGATTTTTATCAGGCCTCTGTCTCAGACGCCTCAGTGCCTGCACTCGTCACGCATATCTCTTACCTCTGAAGTTTACCTCAGGTAGTTGGGACCTGAAGTGTAAAAGCGTCCGGGCAACGGCAAGACCGTGAATTAACCTCAAAACCCGTGTCCTCAGTACTGAAAAACCGTTTCTCTCGAGCCTTTCGAAACCCTCAAGATTCCGCTTGGTTATTAGTTTCGTTATAGGTTGGCGCACGCACCAAAGCCAGGAAATAAAGTAACACAGAGCCGAGTAACGTGCCAGTAATGCAACCTACCTTTCTCATCGACGCCTTCAGCACCTCGTCGACCTTGCCGTTCTTAATTTTCCATTCGACCTCGTGCGGACGATCGACGAACCATCGGTTCACCAACTCCCACTACGTTCCCCTGTTTCCGAGGCTCGTTGGGTTTAATCGGCTCGTGCAGCCTGCACGATTTTTCGGTTGTGTGTATAACGCGTGTTTTTCGAATCTCATTCGGTACCTGAACGGAATGACAATTCAGCTGGACATTTCTTTCGTGCTCGCACGTACATGCTCGGATAGAGTTCGTTTTATAAACTCTCCAGGACCAATCCTAACCCGGGGATGCTTTATGCGCCGACCTCGAGCGCTCGGACGACCTCTGCGACGCTGCGACGCATAGCAATGCGCGTTCCTCTACCCAGAGCTAGGTGGATATGCCAGGGCAGGGAGAACCGTAGAGCTGAAAGAAGGCAACGGGACGAGTGTACAAGGAGGTGAAACGGAAGAGGAGAAAGAAGAAGAGGAATAAGATAACTCAGCAAGGTGGTGTATAACCGGCGGCGCGAGGACCAAGCTCGAGAGTGAGCGACGCTGTCCGAAATATTTATCTCCAGGCTCTGGTCTCGGACTCTAGACGGACTCCGTGAGATTAGCATAGCAAGTTGAATGACTACAAGCGACGAGCGATGAGTCACTCGTTTTGAGCCTGCAGTGTCGTACGTTGACCCATTTGTCAGGAGTTTCCTGAACCAAAACATTAAGGTACAATTATTCGCCGCTACGGCAGCACCTTCGACGGGTCTCTCCCGCCTTACCGTTTTCATCCCCTTGGATTCGCGTAGGGTGGCCACCTTCCAGGGGCTGAGAATAATTCGACCACTCGATAGATGCGGATTGGAGATCAGGGAGCTCGAATCGGGAGGGCTTGCCGGAACGCATGTCCTGAGGTTGTTCGACCATTTGCTCGCATCCCGTGTGGTCCCGCGATGTCCCATTGTTTTGCCGGAGCAGGCCGTATTCAAATTCGCTCCTTTCGAATTGGGGCCCCCGCTACCAACCTACCAGCTTCCCTCCAGCCTTGCAGTGTTAGCTGGCTAACACTGGCCAAGCCAATGGGCACGATGGGAGAATAAAATATTCACAGCCGCGGCCGAGCAGGGCCTTAATTGCGATCAGACGCGATCTCGGATTCCAGCGGCCGGTGGCCCAGGACCAAACCAGCGCCGGAGCATCCTAAGCTAAATCCCGTGTCGTTCGGCTTTTCATCCTTTATTTCTCTTCCCTTGTCCCAACTCCTGTTTATCCTGTTACAATGAGATGTATCGACCTGTTCCCGTCCGCATCGTGAAGACGTCTCAAAGGATTATTTAATTAGCTATTCAACGAAGCTAACGGCCAGCCTAGTAGCGTACACCATTTTTGTTCGCCTACTTTTACACACTTGATTCGAATATATATATTACATTAACAAAAAACAATTCTACCATTCTATAGCACGTTGCCTCATAGAATCTCAACTGAACATAGTCTTTACAACCGGAAAATATCTAATCGCAATTTCACTGTTGCCATCGGGAAACCGGAAGCCTCTCGATGCTTGGGAATATTCATACGTCACTTTTACATCACTCGTGTATACCGCGACTACATAATTCTCAATTGTAAAAAAAATGATAAACAAACAATCGAAACGTTACGTCTCTGTCTTCTACGCAAAGCGAGTATATAGCAGAGAACGACGCCGCCCCCAATCCTTTGCTGGAAATAAAGTCTCTTCCGCGTTACGCTCACGGCTAAAGGAGTCCGTCGTGGATCCTGGGAATCTTAGATTTTTTTTCTTTCTTTCTTCTTCTTTGCTTTCTCTCTATCCGTACCTCGACTTCATCGCGGATCTGAGCCTGACGATAAGAGACTCTCGTAGCGGTCGCCTCGTGCGTGACTCTCTTTCAGCGTTTACTTGACTTGTCTACCTTCTTTCTCGCATGCCTGCCAGACCCATAGCACTGTCCCATGCCGTTTGCACGCTCGTAATGTACGTAACTTTTGTTGAAAACCTGGCCGGCATCCGAGACTGTAGAAATTCACTGAGAAAACGAGCCACGCGTACCTGTGGGATGAACATTGAAATCAGTTACGGTGGAACGATAGGCTGAAGTATAGTGTCAATTTAAAGAGTGTCAATACCTTATATTTATTTCCATAGAGAGGACTGTCCTCGGTTAATGGCTGCCGCGAGCTCCAGAGCGTCTAGATTCGAGGCCGCGATGTCCGAACGGTTGGCATTCCTGAGTCCTATCTCCCATGACTATTCCTCGGCTAAAGTCCTCCTGGCTTATATAAATCTTGAGACGTACTTCTGGGTGATCCCAGCGAAACGGTTGGTTCCCTATGGATTTGAAAAATGGCTCTTTAACGACCTCCGTAGATTGGTAAGTACAGGACATTAGTTTCCGTTACAGCGTTCAAAAGTTCCGACTACTCTTTCTATCGAGCTATATGTCCCTTTGGTGACCTTAACAATACCAAAGAAGCAAAGTACCGTAGGATTTATATTTTATCCGCGACTTTAGGACACAATTCCCCGCGTCATCCGAATCGACTCTGTATCCCCAGAACTACAAAGCCGATATACGACAATGTACGATCACTCGTATAATGGATAATTCGGTAGTTCGTAGTCCGTACAAGAGAAAGATTCCACGTGAGGAAGGCGAGGAAACAGAATCTTTTGTGAAATCGATACGGGAGAGATGCTATCGGCATCAACACGTGTTATCTACTACCGTGCCGAGACAAAATCAAATTTATTTTATCCTTACTTTTACCAGTCCCTTACTTCTTGGTCGGGTACAGAAAGTAGAGATGAGCTCGAGGAGCAAGTGAATAAGAAAGAGAAGCAGTTGGGTTTTCAAGGAGTTATCCTCGCACAGGAAGTCTTCACCCACGCGGTTGACTTGCTCCGAGCATTCCATGAGAAATACCAATTCCACCCAAGTAGGTGAAGTTCGAATGCGCTCATCATTCCCAAAGAGACTCTTCTTTCCCACACCCTTGCCAGGGGTCTGAAGTTATGCGGGGTTAGCGCCACCATGATATGGCCATAACCTATGAGCAGTGTCTTATGGTACGTTCCATGGCAGGTCGCGTGACAGACGGGGATACCTGTCGGGTTCACGGGGTGGTCCCACGTCAAGAGATCCTCTCGCTCAGCCCGAGGATGAGCCTGAAGGCTTCGTCTCTAAAAAAGACAAGAGACAAGGGAACGGGGACAACTCATGCGGAATCGCTAACGAGCCTGGGAGACACCCGTTAGATGGATGGGTTAGGCCGGAGTTCGGTTCGGTTTGATTCTCCCTTGAGAAAATTCGACTTTTCAGATTGCCCGACCAATCAGCCAGTCCTTGTAATTGATGCGGAGACGTCGTCGCTTCTCGGTCTCGAAGACATTCCAAATCTGAATTACGTCCAGAGTTACTCGGATGGTCCTGGCGGTACCAGTGCAGACTTTCCCAGGTCCGCAAGAATGTTCCCAGGGTAGACGGACTGACTTTCAAAATTCACCAGGGACCAGGGTCTTCGCAAGGTCCCATGATCATCAGCTGCGCTCCTCCACGGATCCTAGAGCCAGAGAGTGAACCCAATGAAGCTTGACCCCGGCATAACTCTGACGAACGCTTCGAAGCGTGCAGAGTGATAGTCGATAGAGGCAACTCAAGATATCAGATCAGGTCCAGCATCGATGGGAGACGAAAGAAGAAAGAGAGAAAAGGCGAAAGACGCTGAAGAGAAGATGGCGTATCTGCCGCTTGGAGTCGGTAGCCAGTAGGGATGTTCTGGTGGGTGAGCACAGCGTCCGCCATCGCTACCACATCGATCGATTGCTCCGATTGCTACGTTCCATCGATAAGACCATACCGGTGCATCGTGATCGTTGTTCCTGACGTTCATGCTCGTCCCTACCGGGACGACTGACCACTGACTTTTATAAGTAAGAGCTTGATCCTTCAGCACAGAAAAAAAAAAAAAAAATTATCACAAAAAAATCATTCTGTAACAATCTCCAATTGGATTATCCTCATTGCAAAATTCACTACCTGCTAATCGATACCGATATACATTACCAATCCCAAACTCGATTTCTATTGTCCAAAAGTTCATTGCCGTCGTTATGTTCAACGATCGTTATACGTGTCACTCGGTATTACGAAAACCCCGTGACTCGGTACAGCTCGTGCAGCTCCGTACTTTTTCTCCCGATAGAAGCGGACCTGTTAAGATAACCGGCAAACACGGATCCAACGGTAAGACTTCTCTAAAGCGAAGCCTGGTGGCTGTGTCGTAGCAACGGTAGCAGAAGTGGCACATCTTGGTTCCAGCGAGCGAGTCAGGTTGTCGCTGCCAAGAAGTACAGTGATGGATTGGCCCTGGTAACACACCCCTCGTGCTATTATGCATATGCAGAGATATCGTGCGGAGGCTATTTGTAGATAAGGCCGTACGGCATCCGCATGAAGCTGCTGTTGAAACCTAAAATTCAGATCTTTCAATTTATCCATACCCAATCAATACCAAAATCCATAATACATTACGTACCAATATATTTCATCGAATTTTCTTCAAACTTCTCTTATTCCTCGATTTTCAATCTGCCGCTTCGGAGATCCTATTATCTTTTATATAACCGTACTTGGAATGTGCCAAGAGCCAGAACAATGCATAACATCAGGATTATGCATAATGCATATGTGTGCTCAAGTGTTATGTTTTCTTGAGCAGAGTAGGAGTGTCGTCAAATCAACGCCCCATCCATGTCGTTCACGCCTTGCGGTGTCCCAAACACTATTTTCACCATAATTACTATGTAATATGTATTTTCGCCTCTCTTCCTCGAGGCTGTCCGCGTCTAAGCACAGAATGGAGGCAACGAGACAAATGTCAAACGCCTGGACGTTTGTTCGAATCATATCCGGCCTCGACACTTTATCGTATCTTGCTTGATCCTCCATTATCTCTCTCTCTCTCTCTCTCTCTTTATCTCTCATTTCGAAAGTTTCTCGCCCGTGAGTAGTGCCGGATAGACAGGACATTTTGGGGACATGGAATTCTCTTTTGTCAGGAGAGCAGATCAGCACGTGGTGCAGGTTAGCGATGCAATCGGAATGATCGTTCGGTGCGATAACACGCGAAAGGCTTCGATTCGGCTTAAATTCAAAGTCTCATATATTCTTCACTTTTGCAACGGCCTGATAAACTCTAAGGAATCGTATATCGGGTGTCCTTTGAATAAAATACGTTATTGGAGCAATCGGAAGAAATTTGTAATCAGTATATCTGACTGGGATGATAATCTGTCGTATTGACGTACGTTGATTTATATATTTGGGTAATTTTGTCTGCTTTAAATAAAATAATTTGGTCTCCTTTGAATGAAATACGTTATTGGAGGAATCGGAAGAAATTTTTAATCAGTATATCTGACTGTGATAACCTGTCGTATTGACATACGTTGATTTATATACTTGAGTAATTTTATAATGATGCATTGGCTTCACTAACACGTGCTTCTATAGGGACGCTACTATTTGAGTGAACTGTTAATAATTTGTAGCTGGTCCCATGCAGATTTCTTTGAGTTGTCGTACGCCTTACATGCCACGTGTCATCTTCTACATCGTTGGAACACAGTGCTGGTCCGGCAGGCATTGGAAACGTTTACATACCGGAACGATACCGCGTGGAACCTGTAACAATACTATTATAGATGTTTATAGTCATTATTACAAGAATGACTTTGAATACGTTGAATCTCATCTGAACCCGCGGGAGACGGCGCCTCGCTCGCCGCTAAACGGTCGAATTACAAGACGTAATAACAAGCCGAAAATTCGTTTTATATAACGCATAGTCTTAGACTCCTTAAAATATAGTAAATCTAGTACCATGTTGTAGCAGTGCCTTGTGGAATAAAATTTTAAAATTTTGATAAGTTTATACAATATTTTATAAAAAATAAAAGAATTGTTGAATTTACTACATTTTTAGCGCACACAGATTTATCGGAGAAAGTTTTATTTCAAAATTGGATATTTAATGTCGTTATATATATATTTTACATTGATGCTTGACACCTGGTACGAGCGGCCCTATAAGTTTCTCACATATCGCGTATGAGCCTGCGAGAGTATACGAGTGCTGTACCTAGACAGAGTGCAGGGTGAGGGTGCCTCTATAACAAGGAACCCCCCGTGGCCGAACTAATTCCCCCGGATGACTCGCGAGCTACAGCCCTGCAGGGGGCTGAAACAATGCGCGAGAAACGGCTCAACCTCCCCGCGGGCCCGTATTCCTTCTGCTCAAGAAGACTATTTGCTGAATCATCGCCAAGATCTATACTATGGATCGTGTGTGATGTCTTGTGTCTAGCGACGGATAGAAACGATCGATGAGACCGATCTATTAAAATTGGTTAACGTGTGTAGCGGAGCGACCGGACAGTTTATTACTTGATGCAATAAGCGAAAATAAGATTAGATAACACAACCTTTTTGGCTTAAATATTACTTAGATTCTAACCAAAAAAAAAATTGTTCTTATTTAAAAAGAGAAAATTTGTTTTTAATTTATTACAGTGATTTCACAGATTTTTATATCATGATATACATTAGTGAAATATTTGTTTGTCAAAGATCAACGCAGCATTTGAAGTATCTAGAGAAATATTTATTACTTAAGGAGCTATGGATCTTATTATAAATATGGTATGTATAATATTGATCGTTAATCGGTTATAGCTTCTATCCATCTCTACTCGTGTGTGGGAGAGTGGACTAAAGACACCTGCCCCATGCCGAGAAGCGTATTGTACTAATGGCCCACCTTGTAATTACCATTGTTCCTACATGACCACTTCAGATTGACGAAATCGAAAAAAGGAGCAAAGAAAACGGATAAATACATGAGAACCCGATGCCTACAATAAACATTTCGCCGAACTTATCGATCCTTTTTGCGTAACGATAGTACCGATCCAGCTGTATCTATATCGTTAACGGTAGAATAATCAAAGAGCCCCAAAGGTCTCTTCCTCGACATAAGTAGAACAGATCGGTATTTGAGTGTCACGAGTTTCTGAAGAGAAGAAAAAAAAAAAGAAAACAGAAAAAAAGGGAAGAGAGAGAGAGATCGTTATTAGATCAAGACGATACCGATCCGAGAAACATTCGTGACGCTCGTCAAGGAATCACTAGAGGGATAAATGCGCGGAGACGATCCCAGCGAAGCTCGAACGTTCCTAATCAAATTTCGACGCCTTCAATAAACCTGATGAAAGATGGAGGACCGCCGGATGACGCGACGTTTTCTTGACCCTCGACTGGTTCTGCATTTGGCTGAGGTATACACTATAATCATATTAATATGCTATATGTATGGCCCGGTACTCGGGCATATCGAAATAGGAAATGAATATTGATGCGATAGACCTGACTAAAATGGTCCCAAGAAAAAAAAAGGAAGAAAAGAATCCAAACTAAAATAAGATACCTACCAGTGGCAATCAAGAAGAAGAAGAAGTGGAGTAGGTAGATAATGAAATTCCTTCAAGTATTCATAATAAAATGGCAAATCGTCATAAGACTCGTTAGTAGGGGGTGCCATTGAAACCGGAAACCGGGTCGGCGATGCCCACGAATTAATCGTAGAGTCTCGTCACGTTCCAGGACCGTCATATTGTACGTCGGCGAAGCATATCGTCAGTGAAATCTAGCCGAGTTCAGCTATCGGGCCCAGTTTTCGTTGGTCTCCTCGTGGTAACATTTGGAATAAGTCCTTCGGGGCCCGATCCCTGCCAACGCTGAGTTCTTCACGTTCCCATGACGACACGTCATGTAAATCGTCCTGCAGAACTCCTGCGTAGGACGTTAATGTATGGAAGCTTACATTCTGCTGGCTTGTTTCTCGGAGCCGGCCGCTTTTGGGCCAGCCGCACTTGGAATGTGGAAAATTCTTGAGCGAGTGACGCCACGACGGAGGGAGCGCACGAACGTCGAAATTATACGTGTCCCCGACGCCATGACGAAGGGAGCCACGATACATTTTATTCGTACGACTGCCGCTTCTCGGAAGCTACGGAGATTTTCACGATAACGCCTCCGATCCAGGCGCTTGGTCCATCACCGATCCATAAATCCAGTCAATTTGTCGAAACGTCCAGAAGGTTTTGATCTCGGCCGATTTCATCTGGCTTCGTGCTTTTTGCATAATTCTCCCGGATACGGATATCGATATCGGACGGGAGCACGTGCTCGGACCGGATCCGATATTCGGAGGACACTCGTCATCGTACGAATTCCATACCATCTTCGTAAATGATTATTCCCCTTTGATTCGTCCTGTGAATAAAAATGTTGCGTTAATAATTAAATTCAAATAATTTTTATAATAAAATCCACGATAACGCGCACGTATATCAAATCGTGGACCAAGTTTAAGTGACGGAACGCAGAACGGCGGTGTATATATCTCATAAAGAGATTCTCCAAAATGGCGTCGTCCTCTTGCTCCCGTGAGCAGGTCGTCGGTCCCTTTGTCATACCTTTAGAATTCCAGCACCGAAAAGCTAGTCATATAGGAGTCGAGCTTAGTATAAGACTCACCCTCTTCTCGTTTCTGGCCTGTGTTTTATTAGGAGGGCCCGCGACATAGTCGGCGCATTTTGACGGGCCCCCGCGGATCGCATACGAAATTACGGAACTCTTGGTCCACGTAGTAGGTGACTACGGTTTATCGTTCGTTCCACCATCAAAGCGTAAATTACGTCCTGGTACTCTGGCCAATATCCTTTCAACGAATCCTGAAAATCGAAAATTTATATACTACCCTTAATATATCAAATTTGTTTTCCATACGTGTGATAAATCATCCACTAATTATTTTGATAACAATTAACAGCAGAACGACAAATAAAATTTTTTTCCTTACGTGTAGTTAACATGTGACTGGTATCGCCGGTGACTTCATCTTATCGTTCTAGGGTTAATTTAAGCATATATCAAGATGGCTTAATTGCTGTACGGAATAATGGACGTAGGATATTGTTTATTACAATATACTCCTAGGGACTGAAATAATACGTACGTCTCGCCAGCAGGTTTGTCAGCGGATACGAGAAGGTTCAAAAAGCCCGACCGTGTCTCCACATCGTAATTTAATAAGATTGTCCGTCCTTGCGGTATCGCGTTACATCGAAAAGTACACGCGCCCACCTTCTCGAACTTGATTACAAACAAATAAAGCATGCTTTACGAGGACCGGTGTAACCGACGCGTGGCCAACATGATTGTACATCACGACGTACAGTTAGCTACACGTTGAAAACCATAAGACGCATCTGTGGGATCGGATGAACTCAAGTCTTACACGGAGCAGGAATAATGGCTGATGATTTATAGAAAAAAGGATATTTGAGTAAAGCTCCACGTAAAAGTATGTAATTCCTGTAACCACTGGTATAACGATCATCTGGTACCTATCGCTTATCGATAGGTGCATCGTCGATTCATACACGAAACGGCAACCGGAGAATCCCACATATCCCCAGGTTGAGCGTTTAATGTATAAATATGTAAATAATGTACAGCCATGAATATTTTTCATCGGTCCTGGGCTGCCGGTGGCACCTAACTTATGGTCGGTCAGGACCGGCTTTAGTATGTGCGTCCACGATGGTGTTCCTGGCCGCGAATCTATCGTCAGATTAAACTTTACGGTATATTAAATTTTGTCACCTTACCTGGCACCAGGTAGGTATGCGCATGCGCATGCAGATATATGTATGGAGAGCGTAGCCAAACGAATCCTCATAATTTTTAATCCAATACCCGCCAACTGGACACTTGTATAGTCTGATCTGTCGCAAATTGTATGCTGTATTAGTTTGGTATTATATATTACTATGGATATTTACCATGAGGTCGCTGCTCGTCGTTCCCGACCGTATCACTCTCTTCGGAGGGGTTGACGTACCGTCGAACTAACGAGGACATTGGACGTAATTCTCTTCCGGATGTGGCAATAAAGCTCGCCGACCGAGAGGAACGTTGAAAAATGTCGAAAACCAGGCGAAAAGAGGCGAGTCAGCGATTCGCATCGTAGGCAGAAGTATCGGCCGAGACTGGATAGGGGAGACTTTATATTCCAGGCGGTCCGACAATAGTTTATCGAGCTGAAAACAATTCCGTGAGCCAACCCACAATAAGAACCCTTCGACGTTGGATGTGACAAAAATGAATTGTTATATTGTTTCAACAAATGAAGGAGCCCGCTCTCGCCGAGAGCTTCCACTCGTTTTTTCCTATTTATCCCACTACCTCGACTCGTATTATGTATCTGGCTTTGTGGCTTTGCAGCGGCGCGAAGCACGTGTTTTGCCAGTTCCTATTGTTTCCTATATGATAAACGATCTTGCCTCGCCTTGCCCCAGACTTGGAGTGAATCTCGCAGTCCCGGGTGTTTCGCATTTTCGAAAGGTTGATACGTCCGAAAGAGCGAAATCCTATTCTGGATATTCAGCCGTTGTAAATCGTATTCCGTTTCCATAGCGCGACTTAAGGTAGACACCGTACATTCTGCGGATGGTAGAGAAAGTAAATTGATTATTAAAAAGTCATGTATCATTTGAGAGTGAAAAAAGAACCGCAGTAGTCATACCTTGTTTGGTCATGAAGTATATAAGTGAAATAAGGGGGTGGAAAGTTACGCCAGCCAGAAATCCTTGTTGAGTATTAATAAGCCGGTTAAATCATAATTAAATCTGGGCGCCGTGGCGACCGCGTTGTTATGCATTTATTTCTGTAATAGGTCCGCGCACACAAAGACATTTTAATGTGATCCGTAATCTGTATGGAACTGCTTAGCCGGTGCAACTGCTTTGTCATTGCTTTTTAATGGTTCCCATCCTTATACAATGCTTCTATTTTCATGTCGCTACATACGTACGATACGTACACAACAGCTTTCGTACGTTCAATACTGGAATGCAATATCGGCCAATGTCAAGATCTCATGCCGTTAACCATTTTGAAAATAGTTTTGGTTATTGTCATGTATATTTCAGGTATAGACGTTACCATGGGTGGTCCCACTGGAACGAGAATGAACAACACGTCGATTAAGTAATAATCGACCTTCTGTCCAAGCACATAGTAATTGTAAAGTCCTCTAGTCACCGGATCATTAATTAATTTTCATCGACAAGTCCCTGGCATGCCTACCTGTGGCTGATGCGAAAAAAAAAAAAAGAATAAAATAAAACCATGGAAACCTCAACGATACCAGAGAACAGCTATAATTCAAAGTATGGTATTCGAAAGGTATACAAGAGAGTAACATTACATACCATTACGTAGATATAAGGTGTACCATTACGTACTAGAAGGTAGCGTCGTGGAACAGAGTGCACTTCATTTTCCGGAATCAACGCCCGAAGTCCAGTCCTTCGCGATGCCTTTCTTTCCATTGGAACGTGCAGTAATGTCAACGGGGGGTCCGTAAAGACTCCAGCACACATAAGCATAAACATATAAACACTCGGATATAAGCTGGTAGCTTCTGAAATCCGTGGCTGATGCTGGACCGATAGTGTTGGGATGCCCAGCGGGGTGTCCCCGCTACCACGGTCTCGAGCAATCTATGGTCGTGACGAGAAAACTCAAGGTATTAAAAGCGATAACGGCGAGGAGTCGGCTAATTTTCGAATGAGCTCGTGCGCCTATCAGCATCAGCAGTGATAAGTTATTTCGATCCTAATGAATCTTAGAATGGCAATTATTTTGATGTTGAGTATTCAGAATAGAATTATGGATACTTATTGTCCTTGTTACTATGCCTATCCAAAGACACGCGTGTAGGTCACAATCATTAAATTTTGTATAAACTCAAAGCCAAAGTCACAGTAGGTGGCTGTCAGTGGTAGCAGATATGATGATGTGTTTAATGAGCTACCGATCTAGAACAAAGCTACCATATAACACAGCGGGGCACACCCACGCGGAGGTAAATTGGTGGAAGCGATATTTAGGCAGCCTACCGTTCTCTCTCGACAGCTTCTCTCAGTCACCTTTATCAGACTCTAGGAATCTCTCTCGTAAGCGCGCAGAAAAAGGTTTCTTCTCGGTACCCGAGGATGCTTACTCTCGGGACGTACTGGTATGCATGCTACGTTTGAATTGCGGGATTCTAGCAAAAGATAGACATCACTCATTAGGAAGGAGAGAGTAGACGGGAGGGTACACAAATTGAAGTCTAAGAATTTTTGAGGGTATATCTTACCTTGAGATACTCTTACGTCGCTCCCACTATATATTGTTGTTGTTATCACAGTCCTGTTACGATTTTCATGTTTCCTTAACGAAGACAAGCAGTACCGGTAGCGCACTTGGATAAAACGTAGAGGTTGAGACAACTGCGACGCGATAACTGTGCTTTATGGTGTAGCCACACAACCAGATACGTGGGCAGAATCCACCGAGTCGTACCTGATGCTGGAAGCTGCTTCTCGCGTGTATACACTATTCAAATCGAATCACGAAATCTTTTAATCTCACAAACGACATTGCGCGTACTACTCTCTGAAAGTAGGTGTCATGGCGGCGTCACGTATCTGGGTACGAGCTTCCAGAAAATGCCAGAGGGGCGCGTCGTTTGAGCGCGTAATAAGAATCAACGTTGAAACATCTATCGCAGATCGTTCGAGAAGAAATGGCAAGAGCAAAAAGTCAGGTTAGTTAGGTAGCTGTTCGGTGTAGAAAAAAGAAAGGTACGTAGAAATAAAGAACAGGATGGATATATCCCTAAGGAAGAATAACTTCCCAGCCGTCCTCTCGAGTTATCGTCTACGAGTGAAGGAGCGAGTGATTGGCACGATTCGTGTCTCGGAAACTGGTTGAAAATCATTCGTCGGTAATAGGATCCGGGGACCTCATCGAAGTTAGACACGATAAATCTAGAGGGGAATTAATTGCCGTTTGGTCCTGTCCGGTCCGGTCCCATCCCATTGCCATGCCCATGCCGTGGTCCCAGCCTCACATTCTGTCCCTCCCGTACCTTTAGCCTCCTCTAACTGGTTGACATCCTACAAATAAAATCAGCTCCAGGAATGCCCGCGACGACACGGGCCTGTGGTACCTCTTCGAGCTCTCGTGAAGCAGGAGGGAAATCGATCTCCACGAAGGAGGGACGAGGATCAGGACCCTGGGAGAGATGTAATATATGGTAGCCTTAAGACAACGGTTAGGTACCTGGCCAGTGGGTACCTCCTATATACCTTAAGCCAACACTCTGATACCTGACTTTATATCTATAGCTATCCGCAAACCTCCACGTAACCAGATGCCCAAACCCATGGACTTGCATGCACCACACCTGGACTGAGAATGCGCTGTGCTTTATTTAATTGTCGCTCCCATGCGGTCTTTTTGCGATTTTTCAATCCTACACAGAACGGTAACGCGATTGACACTATCGATATCCATTGAAGAACGACTACGTGGTAAATAATTTTTTTTCCTACAATTACATAAATTATATCGATCTTATACAATTACTAAAGAAATACGCTCTTCCACAGGCTATTGAAAATCCCATAAAATTTATGTGGGTCGGATTAGTAGGCGTACGTTTCGATCACCACAGATAGCGACCATACCATTTTCGCTTACTAATAGAGAATGTAAGATCGATCGTACGATCATACTTTCTCCGAACGCTCTCGACGTTTAGGAAGGTCGTACAGATAAATCGTCGGCTCGAATACGAACGCGAAGAAAGGTGAAGGCGGATTCTTCGTAACATTGTCCTGCGCATAATTGGTCAAGAGAAGGAACGAACCGTGGAAACGAGAAGGGCGCTCCGCGACGCCGTGGAACATGAGAAAAAGGTGCAAACTAACAAGAGAATGTTGTTAGCTCGCTTAGTATGTCACCGCGTACGCTACGTTAAACCATTGGGAACTCTTAAAATAGATGTGTCCAGGACCGGTTAGCCAGTTCAAAAATTTGCCAGGATCAGAACCTAAAAAAATATATATATCTCCTATACAATTGAGTACTTTTACAGTATTTCTCAGTAACTGTCTCAATGCTTCAACACGCGAGACATGTATTTTACCTGTAAATAAAATGTGAGATGCAAGTGAAGAAGAATGGACAGTGAACGTTAACCGTTCCTTAGATGGAAATGGGGTCCATCGGGACGTCTACAGAACAATATTGAGCGACTGTATAAAAAGGCTGATTCTTATGTCCGATGCAAAGCCACCAGCGTCGGCATCCGCGGCAGGTACCGTGCAAAAAATTCTCTCGAACCTGCAAAAAATCCATCATAGTGGCAAATGTGGTGCCGGCAGCCACTCGGCAGGATACTACTACGTATCCCATTATTATAAAACGTTCCAGATGCTGGACTCGTTGTCTCATCGAGATACAAGTATTCGATCCACGCACGTCACTCTCCTCCTTTTACTCCCCTTCAACCTTCTCGATCGTACAGACTCAGCCAGAAGAGAGATCACTCTTCGGAAATCCACGGTTGAATCCTGTAGTAGGATATTTCTCTTAATAGAAAAAAAAAAAATTTTCTTTACATATTTATTTTTTGCCAACACGTTATTAATCTTCTTGGGATATTAATTTTAAACGATCTTTTTCGCTGGATCAACGCTAATATTTTATTCCTCTTCTAATACACCGGGATTCCATACCATGAGAATCATTCGGTATATTTAAGGTAATCTGCCCTTATAAGCGTAAACTTCCATACGAGTCGCGGTAGTTAGATCCGCCGGGTACTTGTCGTCTTTCCGTCTTCTCACGAGACGTCTCTGCGTCAGAGGTAAGACTGTTGTTAGAACTTTTTTTTGTCATAGTGAAAATTACCATCGAACGAATATCGTGAGTATAGGTTTTCGGAAAAATTGATAATAAAAATTTTTACGAAAAAATTAATCTTAACCTTGAAAATATATTGCTCGTTATGAAAATTATAGGTGTTACGTGATATAAAAAAAAAGATGTTAAAAAGGGAAAATTTCGATTTAACAAAATTACTGTAAAAATAGTATTTTCTCCACGAACATAAATTTATACTGTCCGTAATAGATTTTTGAAAATTGATCAGTCGTCACCGCGCTCTTAAGAAATACTTGGTCCGTACCTACGCGCGTTTATACGAAAGCTCTAAAGACTACGGAGGAGCCGATACTTAAATCACTCAGGTCACTCAGCCTCGCGGCTCAGATTGATGTAAGGCCGTGTTTTACATTCAATTCAATTGGGCAAAAAACTGCTATCTGCTACAGAAGTCCCGCTGACTGGATAGCATTGTGTTGCGCGTTCCCTTTTGGCAGCGGCCTCCCTACGTGCCATTGGACAGCCCTCGTGTCCGCGGAAAAGATGCTTGTTAGAGTCCCCGGACTCCAGGTGACACGAAATTGTCATTTAACTATCTCGCGTCGGGAATTAAAAAAGAAAATGTAAATAAACAACCATAGACTTAATTGAAACACCATGCTTTTGATGGCCGAGAAAATCGTAACGCGTTATTTCACCTCTTTACCTTCGGAATCGGTTATTCGAATGATCCGAACACGATATAAAGTAAGAGCGAAGATGGCAGACCTGCAAAAAGAAGATAACAGTAAGATTCGTAAAAGAATTCGTTTGTTAAGGAAGAACAAAAAAAACTAACCGAGAATTTCGAGGGAGTCGTTAAGGATTTCGACTGGCGATACGATAAGCCTCGTTTTTCACGTTAAAGGCGCGATCCTCGCGCGGTATTTTCCTATCGAAATCAGATCTACATGGGGGACATTATTCTCAAAGATACAAGGGACGATGCTGTTATACGGTATGCGGGAGTCCCGCGTCCCAACGCCGTTTGACGTAAATTGCGAGGAGCTGCTGCCACGTCTCTTACGCATCTGCATTATTCCGTAGGACTCCACCAGGTTGGACAGAGTGGACATTCCCCGACTGTCACTCGACGATCCAGCCAAGGTGTACCTGGTGCAGGGACCACACGTTCGATTGGGGAGCACCTGGACATCCCGAAGGTCTTGGATGCTGGAGACCCCTTGAAATCAGGAGTTCAGTTGGTGTCGAACTAGAGCAAAGAACACTGGTCCAGGTACGTGACACCTGTTCACCAAGATAAACCCATAGGTAAAAATTGATACGTAGTCTTGATTGGAGTTAACGTTTTTGGTCCAGGATGTCGGGAGGCTGAAAATCGAGGTGAAGCTATCATCGTGCTGGCGGTTCAAAGAACGCGAGGAGATCTCATGAAATAGAATCGTCATCCCAGGCGTCAATCTGTCTCTTCCAGCCGAAGGCCGGACCAATCAGACCCGACCTCCAGACACATGCTTGCAACCTCAGTCACTCACTGATTTTTAAGTGGACTGGGAGAAATAAAACCGGAGGGACACTAATTAGTGATTCCAAGAACTGAGAACACGACTGTAGCATGCTGGTTTTGTTCCTCACTCTATATGTATATCTTGGACCTAGTAGGTAGGTACCCACCTACTTGGCCAACTGATTGTGAGCGAACCGCGTACATCCCAAAGAAAAGGATGGGCTATGGTAACGTAGAAGAAGGTAACCGAAAAGGATAAAAGGTCGGAGACAGAAACCATTCCAAACATTCAGACCCGCTTCGAGTGTCAACCCTAACCTTTGGAATTCATTACCCATGACCCGCAGCTCTCACGAACTTTAGACAGACACCAATGCCACTCTGGCATTATAATTCTCATTCTTGATCTTACGTATATAATGGGTGACCAGGATATACTCATCGTTCATAAAGGACAACAAATTCTTTACCATTCAGAATACAATTTAGTTTTGAAAATCATCGACCTTCCAGTCGCTATGACTAATTTAGTATTTGATATTTAATTTGCCTTATGTCTGATTACATTTCACGAATTGACTTTTCGATCATTAGTCATTCGTCTTGTCGATTACCGAATGACGTCTTCGTGTGTGGCACGAAATGTCAATCACACCCGCTTTAATTTATTACTCAAATATATATACTGACTATAATATACCTAACTATTCAGTACTATATGTATGTATATATGTATGTATGTACAGTATGATATAAAAAACACTCAGGGTCCACGTACGTTGCTAAAGCCAAGAACACGTATGCTACTTCGCGCACGACTACTTGGAACTGATCGGTCGAATTGTCATTGAGTAACACCGATTGAAATTTTTATCGAAAGACTTCCTGTCTCTTGTCATGAGGACTTTGACATATCCATATCCTCGGTCCGAGATACGAAAAATTCGCAAAAAAACTCTAATTGGGATACCGAAGGAATCCGTGTGAACGGTTTGGGTAATAGTGTTATCAGAGCTGGGTCCGTGTAGGACATGATGTGTTTCTGATACGGTGAGAGAGCTACCTGATCTGAAGTCTTAAGAAAAGTATTGGAGCGGCCTATTGTCCCGAACAAAGCAAGCAAGAAGAAAAAATAAACGATAAAATCTCAGTGAACAGCGACACTTTGATTGTTCTCGAGTTGACGGAGCGACTATTACGAAGACTTTATACCTGGTTAAGAATTACGAACAGTCATGAAGTAGCACGAGATAAGAAGTCGTTCCATAGATATTTCGTAAGGCCGTGGTGCATCTAAATTTATAAGATTGCTTCGATCAAGCTTACCAGGACGTTACCTGTACGTAGTACAGCGAGTTTGTTTACGATGCAGTCGAAAGCACTTAAATGGCGTTTATACCTTTCCCTAGCTTTGAGTATTCGAAGCTGCACGGGACTCGAATCTTTTTTCCCTTCACAGACTACACGGGGTGTACAGACGCACTAAATTCAAAATCCCTGTTAAACTATTGGCCGAGCTGCGGGACCGCAGCGCCTCCTATCTGCTCACCATTTCATTTAATTAAGACTTGTTTTATTTCTGGTAAACTCGTTCGGGTATTTTAGGAAGCCCGACTTAACCTCGGAGAAGCTTGTGGATTAATTTATTGGTATGCTTAGAAGGAAGATTTGTACTTAACGCTCGTTTCGCTGTCGTTTCAGGTTAATGTTCGACGGGCCTTTTACGCTTATGGACTCCATAGGAGGATTCTTGTTTCTTGCACGGCAGTGACGGGTACCTACGTTTTACTAAGAGACGACGAACGTTACGGGAACTGTCAAAAACGTGTACATAACTCTTGTTAAGTAGCAGATAAATTTTTTGGTTATTTAACGTAAAAATTATATAGGACTTTAAGTAGCTCTCGTTTTCTAACCTCACAATATTTATTCAATACCCTATAGAATCTACATACAGAAGATACTAGGGATTATGGGCTGTAGCAGCTGAGTCCTGCAGCTCGATGAGGGTTGCTTCGATTCTCCTGGCTGCTGATTCCGGGAAACGTGTCTTGGCAGCTTGTTAGGTGTCCCCAACAGTCCTCTAATATATGACTTGTACCAGTCCCTTCTGGGACCACGACTAGCTCTACTCTACACAAGCTGGAACTACCTTTGGTTTACCTGTGCGATCGGTACCACGTGATATTCGAATAAAATCGTTCCGCCCCCTCGCACTGAAAAAACATCTTCATCGGTATTCGATATGGACAGGTTGATAGGCACTAAGAAACTTGCAAGAAGATGGTAACGGGTTTTCATTGTTGTAGGCTTTCGAGAATATCTACTACCGTGTTAAATTACATCCAGAACAGAGTGAAAAAAAAGTATTTAGATTATTCTCGTTCCTTTTTAAAAACCACTATTCGATCTAGTAAGAAAAAGGCAGGTGGTTGGTTTACGTGTAAGATTTAGGCGGGAATTTTAAAAATGGAAAAACGATCAATCATAGGAATCAATCGGGTAATCGGTTCCCTTGTAGAGATGAGGTTGATGAGCTGGAGTCACAACACTATTGTTTCAATGACCTGCTGCTCCGCCCAGTAGGTGGCAGCACCCTTCACATACTAATGAGCCAACCAGTTTGAAAGATCATCAACACTTATCTCAGTGATGAGGTGTTGAGAACCGAAGGCTCTTAACTCTGCAATGATGGAGGCTGAGTGAATCCATTTTATGGTGTTACTTGCGTAATTTTCATACACCGAACCAGTTCTGATTTTTAAACACTAACAAGAATCTGTAAATAATCGTATGAGTCTCGCTTCAAAATAGATCTTTTATAGGTTAGAATGATACCTGACGAATAATATCGAACCGTCGGTCAATATTCGGTAAAGTAAAGCACTGCTGTGACGTGAGGGACGTTCCAATGTGAATGAGGCGCTAACGACCAGTGATTACCAGCTCGTCTCTCGGTCGGTACAAGGCGCACGCTGACTTAAAGGAGACTCCACACCGTTCGTTATGCCTGTGAGTGAATGTCCATCAATCCTGCAGATGTAAAGACGAGACCTCCCGCGACGTTTCTCATCTTCTCGCCATACACATAACCTACGGGTCCAGGGTAGATTCGGTGCATCTATGTATACTGATGGTTTTGAAAATATTTACAAGAGTGTACCAACTGTTAGACAAGGTTGGCCTAACGTATAACCCTCGTGGCTGCACGCTGCCGTAAGGGAATAGGGATTAACATTCGCCATGGAGATGCGCCAATGGCGGCAAAGCGGCGTCATAAAAATGAAATTACTATCGGTACGTATGGTGCCGTGTATAAGTATGAACATAATACAGGTTTGCACGCAGACAATGGACACTTACCGCTCGAGAATGCGATAACTCTATACGTGATCGGTTCGAGAGCTAGAGGGAGAAATAGGGATGAGGTGGATGTGAGGTAGAAAAGGGGAAGGCGTGGAAGATCACGATTTACCCATACAAAATATCCGACCCTCGCGTATACATGCTGGTAATCAAAACCATAAATTCAAGGCATAACCAACCTCTGACACAGATTCTCTCTTTGGTAGCGTATCCAATGGCTGCTTCCCGATAAGTCATGTTATCTTGTAAAATTCAACCTGGTATTCTACTAGCCGACGGCTAATTCGCGAGGGATGCGTTCACAGATAGAAATTTTGTATCATTCTGTATTCATAGATATTATGACGGGTTTAATGTTCTAGCACTGTGATACACTGGTAGAGGAGACGTAGAGCAGCCGTAGTTCCGCTGCCTCAGGCCTTGACGATCCAAAGAAGAAACAACGTGAGAGCCCAGGCATAATATTAACCATTTCCCATTAGATTATGTTGCAGGTTAGGGTGTTGCTCGATCCTACGGATCGTTCAATGCAGTTCTGCCGTTCGGCTGATGCTAAGATGGGCGGAGTAATGCACGAGCAGTTATCGAACCTCTATCGACAATAAATCTATGCCTCAACTAGAACGTGCCTCGAGTCGTGTCAGTTTGCCTGGTTATCTTTGTTGCTTCTTTGTAAAATTTGTCGCTTTTTCTCTTTTTTTTCCTTTTATTATGATAATATAGAAATTACGTGAATTGACACCTCAGACGTATCTGACATTAATATTGCACAATGCTGTTCTTATTTTTTATGATTCACAAAAGTTGTAATTTTTCTATTAAAACAATATTTCGAATGACAGAAAAAAGGAAAAGTATCGTTATATGTGTTATTGTTGTCACGAACCAAGGTATGCGATGCATAGAGATACTGGCGCTCTCTGTCGTGAAGAGTGCGAAGCTTTATGTGAACAAGTCAAACTAATTCTTCCCGCTCGTTCCACAGGCTGTCCATTATGCTTACTTATCTCCTTAAAGATGCTATAAAGCCTTTTGTTGATTACACTAATTACAAAGCAGTTCAATCATAAATATTTGTATAATATTAACTGCAATTTCACTGTTCGTTTCGTAACTCATAACACCGCCCTTAAGATTGATTCTTCATGACAATTAACAAAGGTGTTTTAATTATTAAATTATTCAAATAACGAACCTTAATTATCATGTTTTATATAGGATTATGTATCATCGAATTGAAGATTTTGTAGAGAAAAAGCGATTTATATAATTTTATACAGCGAGCGCAGCCTTTACGCGAGTGCATGAATGGCATCCATCGACCTGCGGGTATCAGAAGTAACGTAAACCAAAGAGTCTCGTAGCCATTGGATTTGTCATTGATTCCTGGCAGTCCCCGGGTCAGGATAGCACACTGGCTAGGAAGTAGCTGACTGCTCAGCCAGGACATCAATACTTCGACTCTACGGTGCAACGCCGTATTTTAATAGTGACATACCAGCAAACACAATATTACACGTTATACGTCAGTTACAATGGCTCCCTCAATTATGTAACGTCAATGCACCAAACAAGTACACCTTGATTCGAGCATACAAAATTGGGAGACACGATCGAATGTAGAAGGTATTTCCAAAATAATTATATTTACTCACATTACTTATAGGAAAGGAGTCATTGACTGAACTTATTGACAGATTTATTATATTTCAAAAACTAAAGATTTTCATTCATTTTCACGTATAGCTATATCGCTTGGCATCCAATAATTGATCCTTTCACCTGAAAAACATGCCCAGCTAGGTGGTTAATGAAACAACCATGTTTGCACGCCCGTAATACATCCGCGGTACTTTAACCATCGGTGCACAAGATATTAATTGGGTAACTATACGTAGTCGAGCGGGAAATTGAGCGTAACGCGCAAGTGGGACACCCTGTACTGTCCATATAAGTGAGTAAGGTGCAGAAACAAAAGAGGGATAAAGATAATAAAATAGTAGAAGACGGATGAAAAAAAGGGTTAAAACTGTATCGGGAAATAATGACGGGGTAGCCGTGCGATCGAGCTCCGTTCATCCAAGATGTGGTAGAGGCGCGCAAACCCAGAGGACGACAATGTAATATAACAACGACGATCCTGGCTAAAATGTAGTCAAAGAATTTTCCCATCATAAATTCGCAGGTAACACGTTTCAGGGACAGAAACGCGACGGTGATGATTACAGCGGCCGATTGCGTACATACTTTTTACGAAGAAAGAAAATTCCAAAAGTTCTACAAACACAAAGTCAATCTTCCCACGAAATACTGGGATACATAGGTAGTACACTCATGTTAAAAAAGACGTGCACAGGTCGCGTAAAATTATGAAATATTAATTTTTTAATTCCTTCGGCATCCCCATGTCGCAGAATCCCCACCTCACACCCCACGCGTATCTTATTGATCCGATCGCGTTATTCAGCCCGAGGCGATAAACGTATCTAACCATAAAAAAAATCTATTTCCAATGATCGCTCGAGCTGTAATATTTTTTAAGTAACCTGTACCAATAAAATGAAATAGCGGGAGTAGAGAGGCATCGGCGCGATCCTGAAACAACTATACTTATCGGGGATCGTGCCTCGCAGCTCTGACGGTGCTTGGTTTGAGTCCCGCTTCTGTAATTACTATCTTCTCGTACCCTTCTACTCCAGTTCAAACGAAAATCCAGATCCCTTCTTGGTATCATCAGTCAAGACCGCTGACCTTTCATTCAATCTGATTAATAATGCGATCCAGTTGGTATAAAGGGCTTCTAATGGCGAATCCACACTTAATCGCGGTTACTGATACAATAGTATATAAAACTACTATAACCTACCTCTAGCAATACTCGTAATCATGAACATTTTTCGGATAAGTTCATTCATGGAACCTACAGGAATAAATATACTGAAATGGTGAAAGACTGGAAGGACCTCTGTAATATAAAGCTAAAGGAGATTAATTCTGAGTTGTATTAGACATGTAGCTATGTTCACTACGATGATCCGTATATATATATATATATATATAGCTGTAATACCGTTACTCTAGTCTAATAAGCTTAAACTTGCAGTCTTCAGATGGCGTCTCGAGACGTAACGAGGGTCTGACTATCATTCTATTTTTCCTCATCGCGATAAAGCCGTTGGACAATAATAAACAATGCGTGAAATGACAAGTACAGTAGGCAACGGCATTTCGCGAGATCTTATCACTGCGGTAGCAAGTGCAATCAATCATTCGAACTGGATAAAATATAAAATACGAGGTACGGGCAATGTGTTTGCCGTTTTATTTATTTGCTCGGTCATGCAAGCCCACGCTACGAATTAACGTATTTTTTGCACGCGACCAGATGACGGGTTGATTACGTGCGGCCAGGCTTTCGTATCAGGCCTACAGGTATTCTAAGCCTTAGGAAAATATAATGGCCGTTATTAAGGGCAAAAAGGAATGGCCGTAAAAGCTTTATTGCTGCATTTTCCAAGCTCACGTCATTACACGTTCTATGCTAAAAGAGAATTAATATATTTCATGCAATTGATAATTCATTGAGCTCTCGCTCTTATTACACTTATCAACAGAAATCAATATTTATTGAGTCATTTCTTACTTTAAAGAATCGTACGTCTATATCTTTAATTATGAAAAATCTGTCCACGTGGAAAGTGATAAAAGTTTAATAGTAAATGCTTACGTATCGATTTCGGTGATAATCAAAGATAATGTCTACCACCTAAGCAGATCCCAATGTCTACGACTTGCTGGTTCGAAATATTCATGGACCATAATGATGGCTTCTGTCCCATTTGATGGATGGGATTCACGATATCTTGTATCGTGGCTACCACTTGCTTATTAAACTGTTCGGTATTTCTCGTGGACGCGTAACAAGCAGAAATACGTGTGGGAGCCAGAACGGTAAGATCGATGCTCGTCGTGCTTTGCTCGGCCGATACTTTTAATAAGTGTCATCCGCTACCAAAGTAGCTACACCAACCTCATTATAAATCGCTACTGTGCACTCTTCGTGTTTCTTCGCGTGTCTCCCTATACTTCGACAAAAAATATATCTGATTCACTGCTTTGGCCCACGGAGTAACACGGCGGCTGTCCAGAAATCAGATGGAATTTGATACGTCGTAGAAATCGATGCCAGTTGCCGATGCCTTCTAACCTCGTAAGCCATATTTTTTAATTTCAAATTATTGAAAGCTTATAGACTAACTTATACGCGAATCGTATTCACAGATATTTAAACTGTAGTCATTTATTTTAGTAGAAAAATATATTCTTTTATGGTCCGTATAAGCGTCCTTTACTATTATATATATTTTCTGTTTGATCCGTCAATGTAACGTACGTAGGCGTAGTAGATGTTAAAGTTATTGTATAAATTTTAATTGCAATAAATGAAATCATCTTGGGCAAGGAACAATCAAATGGATCTATCCAGGAAAACGTGTTACAAGCACTAGAAGCGTTTTCTCTGGCCACCCGGTATGAAATGAATAGTTGCGCGATTCGCGAACGCAACAGATCGCTACGTTATTATTTTCGCCAGTTATCAAATTAGATGTTGGCTTAACGGGTACGTAGGGTATTTCTCCACTATATACTACCTCATAGGCGTACGCAGGTATTACTATTATATCACGAGTTTTTGAGGATGAGTTATGTCTTTACTTTTGATATATTTCATACAAAACTATTTTTAATATAATATGAAGTATATCCTGTCCTGAATATTTTTTATGAAGACTTGTATCAATTAATATGATAAACAGATAGATGAATGGCATTTTGTCAATTACCATTATTCATAATAAAGTATAAAAGAGTCATTGAAATGTACAAGACGGTTTATGTAGCTCTGTAAGATTCGACACCTTTGCGGCAGACCGTTCCGATTCTAAAGGTAAATTAGAATGATTAGAATGGAAGTCCTATAATCAGTCGACGTGTTTTATGTCGCGTTTGCATAAACGCGTTGGACGAGGGTCAATTTGCAGGGTTTACGTTGTAAATTATTGACGCCCGCGCGGCCCGATCGGCATAGGCAGCGACGATCGCTCGGGGGTTGTATGGATGACGCCCATGGGCCTCTCTAGACGTATAGAAGTACATCCCAACGATTACGGCTTACTTGTTACTACCTACAACGTACTTACGTTACTTTAAAAACTGCTTATTACTGTGATTACCAGCGCATAATGCAGCGACCGAGCGTTCTACAATTTATTATTGAATTGCTATAATGCAGTTATCGCTCGTTCGTAGCTCGCTAGAAAACTACGGGTAGTAACATAACGTTTGGTTTGGTTACTTGATAGTTTAATATGAGAACAAAAATGACTGAAGAAAATGTCAATTTTTTAATTGATTGTATAAATCATATTTGTCTATGTATAGTTAGATAAATAAATAATATTCATATACATGAAAAGACGGATTTAAATTTATATTGTAATTTTCTTGGGGATATAAATACTTTTTTGTCTACAGAAATTTTAGTTTTTTTATTACCTGATTAAATTTTTTCGTTACGTATGTTATATGGTCGTAGTCATGTGATAGGCTGTTAAGTGCATTACGTTAGAGCCCGTGTAGTATATATTTTCCTAGCTGGAGTATCTTTTACTCGAGTATATCTAGCAGATTGTTCAAGAGAAGAATTTTTCCTATAATGTGAAATGCGGAAGAGGATGCCCAAGGCAGCAACTGCAGTGCACACCTACTTGGACGCTACACCAAGCGAAATGACCGGTCTGTTCTCTATTATCCATCTATTCGCCGCTATTCATTGTTCCTTTCATGCGTGATTAACTGAACTAAGCTTTTTCTAAATTGTTGTGAAAGAAGTCCAGGTGAATTATTATATAGAAGCTTATATGATTAATGCTTTTCTAATACATAATTATTTTATAATAGTTTTTGCAAAATGTATATATATATATGTATTTCATGAATTCAGCCCCTGAAATATGTAAGTATGTATGCACGCAAGAATCGAAATGTAACCAGTTGCCATAGAGGTTCAGTATCTCTGCAGTAGCTTTCATGTAGAGTCTCTAAGATAGAAGAATATTTGAAGGATTATTAGAATGTTAATTAATAATAATACATTAGTAATGTTATATAATTAGGTATATAGTAGACAAAATAAACGTCGATGAAACATAATGTAATGAGGAAGTGTGCGTGTTAATTCAAGTTATGTGAACTATCAAGTAACCTATCAAGTAATACAACTTGTATTTGGTCATTTAATTGTATTATGTTTTTTATAATGACTGAAATATAACGTTTGTTTTTAATATTATTATAGATCTTTAATAGAATTAAGCAAGTTGTAGTGTATGAATATCATTGCTTCGTTATAATATGTAAAAATGATGACTGACTTGTGTCATTTACACTAATGTTTTATTGCAGATTATTGTTTCTTGTGGATTATGTTACACATTTAACGAGATCAAAATATAGTGTTTACTATAATATAGTACAAGAAACACAAGATGCAGCACAATATACCAATAACTCCAATCCAATTGGATTCCTCAAGTGCTATAAAAATCACAATGGGTGGCTCAATGTTTCAAGAAAGGTCATTAATGGGACGACCTGATGTGTGGCATAAGATACAAATTCTACGGGGTGCAAAGTATGACAAGGAGTACATTTTGAAACTTATATTAAATACTGTGGAACCAGCAGATTTGATACCTGTGGCGTATCAAGTTAGTGGAGAAGATACTTACTTTATTGCACGTAATTGTGGCCCTGCCTTAGATAAGCTGTGTAGATGTAATTTAATTATAAATGATCCATATGGAGATCCTTTGGTGCTCACAATAGTTCTAGCATTTGCATCGATTCATGATGTCAAAGTTAACATGCAATCATTAGTACTTGCTGCATTGAACAAGAGATACGATTCAAAGAAGAAAAGGTTACATTTGGATCGTTTCCACAATGACAAGAATTTATCTAAAACGGTATATTGTCCACTATCTCAGTTACGGACATTCTGTTATGTACTTAAGGTAGCAAAGAATGCACTGTCTACATTTGAACATTTAAACCTGCAACAGAACGAGCTCTTCAGTTTAACAGCTATCGAAAGTTCAAATCTGACTTTTTTAAAATCGTTGGATCTGCGATACAACAATCTATTGGAAATGGACGCATTAACACCTCTGAGGAGTCTCACAATAACAGAGCTCTGGTTGGATGGGAATCCACTGTGCGAGAATTACTCGAGTCCTATCCAGTACATAGAATCTGCCAGAAAGTATTGTCCACAAATGTCAAAATTAGATGGCGTATCCACAGGAGCACCAGGAATGCCACTGACGTACAACAGTTATTTTATAAATTGGAAAATGAGAAATCTTGTCAACCAATTTATTAAACACTTCTTCAAACTTTATGATCAAGAAGACAGAGCTGTTCTTCAAGGGCTGTATCACAAGGATGCTCTTTATTCAATGACACTAGGAGTTGCCTCAACAGTGGCTAGCAAAAGTAATATGAGCCAATTCATATCACATAATAGGAATCTATTGAAACTAACAGATTTTGCTAAGAGTAATCAACTACTCTTTCGAGGACCTGATAAAATTCTTGAAGCCTTGAGGAAACTTCCGCGATCACAACATGACAAAGCGTCTTTTCGTTACGATTTGATATACGACAATGAACTATACCTAGTAGTAATAGTTGAAGGCGTATTTAAAGAAGATAATGTGAATTCTCGAGTGTTTTCATTCAATAGAACATTCGTATTGATGGAGGGGGGTGATTATGAATATAATATCGTTAATGATCAATACCATGTTGATCAAACACTGACGCAAGAGTTTAGTGAAATTTCTGAACAAAATAGTGACAATGAATATGAAGTAACATGTTTCAGTCCTAAGGAACGAGATAAAATGATTGAAACTTTGCATAGTGTCACTACAATGAATAAGGATTGGTGTCGTAAATTTTTGGAAGAAACTTCTTGGGATATAAAGAAGTCTATTACTGATTTCATGGATCGATATCGATTATCTGCCATACCTGTTGAAGCTTTCTGGAAATAATTTTGAAACAGCCGGAAAGAACAGTGATTATAAACAGTAATTCTTGTAAGAGTACAAATTATAATTCATTATTATATCGAGCATGCAAGTTTAGAAATTACAAATAATGTTTATTATAGTATTATTTCTATAATTTCTTACGAAAATAAAGTATCATAGAAGCTTTACCGAATTTCGAATTTTTTGTAGATAGTTCTGAACATAATACGTTATCTATTAGATAAACGTAGATAAATTCAACCACGTGACTGAATAGCATCATTCCATGTCGGCAACTCTTTGTTTATTAGTGGCTGACAGTGGCTAAACATAGGAAATGTGTCAATATTCAGTTTCAAAGGTTCTTTTAAATTTATCAATTGTTTAAACGCATGGTAATTTTGTGTAAGTATACTTTATGATGAAATGGTTCACAGAAATGCATTTATTTACAGATTATATTTCTATAACCTATTGCATCTTTAATATGGAATTGTAATATGACGTACATATAAGAAGCCCTGTAAGTTTTCAATATAGTGACATTATTCTGAGTGACAAACGCAAGAAAGTTTCATAATAAGAAAGAAGTGCAACACATATATTGAGAAACAATGACGAGTACTGTATTGGGAAATAGAACGTCGTGGGAGCCTCTACGACTTACACATTTGAAGCCATCCTTCAATAGTACTGATCTTGCCTTAGCATCTCGTCAGGATGTCTGGCATAAATTTATAGTATTTGATGCTGGGAAATATGACAAAGAAGAAGTACTTATTGCAATAATATTAGCATGTGATCCTGAAGTGCTATTACCAGTTATGTACAAAGTGGAAAACAATAACAAAGGAACGTTTCTTACCAAATGTACCTCAGGTGTGATAGAAAATTTGGTAAAACAAAATCTCTCTGTGAAACTGAAAACAGGTCACATTCTGAAGATTGACATAGTTTTGGGTTTCCTTGGTATGCAAGATTTACATTTAAATCCACATAATTCAATAACACAAACGCTGCATTATAAATATGAGTCAGTGAAAAAAATATTAAATCTTGATGATTTCCAAAATGAAAAGTCATTGGGATCGATATATTGTCCAATATCAGTACCCCGAGTTCTCCTCTTTGTATTACGCTGTGCAAAGGTAGGCATTCTGGGCAACATACGAGAAACTCGATTGCCTATTCGAGAATTAAGTTTACGATGGAATGGATTAGAAGGCATTTCACTGTTTGAAAAGTTTTTCAACTACCACCTGACAAAATTGGATCTACGTCATAACCAAATTACAGATATTAATTCATTACGTTATTTTTCTGAATTTAAAATAACGGAACTCTGGCTGGATGGGAATCCACTGTGTACAAAATATACATCACCTGAAGATTATATACGAGGGGTAAGAAATGTGTTTCGACATTTGCAAAAACTAGACGGGATCGTAATCGGTGTACAGAGGAAGCTTGTTCCAATAATGCAAAGTAATTATTTGGGAGATTCTTCAAGATTTGGTCTGATAAAACAATTCGTGCGACATTTCTTTACTCTATACGATCAGGATGATCGAATAGTCATGAAAGGACTTTATGATAAGAATGCATTTTATTCAATGACCTTAGGAAGTGGAGCTAATTATAATCACAAACAAATAGCTAAAGTATTTTCGAGTAATAGAAACTTATTGAAATTCGTCGATTATGCTAAATGCCATGAATTTTTACTGCAAGGACCAGAGCAAATTATTTCAATGATGAGAAAGCAACCGCCGACTACACATCATCTTCGAACCTTTCATGTTGACTTATTAAATTATGGAGAAAGTCACATTGCTATCGCTGTGCAAGGAGTGTTTCACTTTAAAGATTTTATTCCTCCACTTATGACATTTAATAGAACATTTATTTTGATTGCCAAGGTCGACAACGAATACAATATTATCAATGATCAATATCATATTGATATGGCACCGCCAAATGTTACTGGACTAGATAACAATTCTGCGAAATTGGAATCAAGAGAAGCACCAAAAATTTCGCTCACTGTATTAAGTCCTTCCGAAAAGAATCAATTGCTTGGATTTTTACATGAATTGACTACTATGAATACAGCATATTGTCAACAATTTCTTGAGAATGCCAGATGGGATATTCGCGTTGCAATTAATACATTTATGAAAGCTTATACAGTCAATGATATTCCGCCTGAGGCTTTCAAATAATTCAATAGATTACATATAGTTTGTAAGTTGGATGTGTTCTGTGCCAAAACTTAGATTAATTATTAAGAGATTTTGTATAAATATTTCCTGTTTCAAGAGAAAATCAGATGTAAATGAATATGCATAAATATATACAAGAGTCATATTATCACAAATGTATTTTTATTTTCTATTTTCAGCACTTATGAATTGTGGTACTTTATACAAAAATTTATTTAATGTGCATTTTACAGTTAACAACCCTGTTGAATATTTAGTAGAGTAATGCTCTTATTAATATGAGGGATAGTGTTTACGTTAGAATTCACTCCAAGTTCAAAGACCTTCTGCATTAACGGTAAAGCGTGTTCTGAAAAAGTGTAATATATTTTGGAAAGTCGATATTATAAATAACTGGTCAATAAGAATATATTGAGTTTAAAGAATTACCTTGCATACACAAAACCATATCTGGTAACCTATCAAGAGCTGACATGAGAACGTCTGCTCTAGGACTATCAAGGCATCTTTGAAAAGCAGATAATATATTAAGATTTGGTAATGGTCGGTGCTTCAAAGCCCTGGCAAGCAATGTATGAGCCAATGTTCGTATGTTGCCTTGTGGAGACATAAGTAATTCAGCAATATTATCTATCACAGGTTCCAATACGGAAGGCTTACGTGATGACAAGTGTTCAATTTCTTGAAGAGCCATAAATACATCTATCAGAAGTAAAGAAGATTCATAAGCTCACAATTTCTAAAAAGTAAACAATTATAATAACCATAAACCTACCTTCTCCATGAAGTTTAGTAAGTGTAACAAGTAGTGCTGGCCAATGTTGTGGCACAATGGGTTCTGGAGGTGGTGTAGGAGCGACTGTGACTAATACTTCTTCTCCATCCTCGCCTTCTCTTGGAACAGGAATTCCTGACATGAGAGTCCGTAAACTTATTAAACCAGGATGTTGCATCTGTAATTCACTGTGAACAGGAGAACGATTTAATTATTTTATATGTGCAAATAACATTGTTTATCAAGTTAGAAATGAAATACTTACTGAAGCACATTGGCATGTTTTTGTAGATACTTTAAAGCCCTCTGTGCGGCATGAGAAATATAAGCTTGTAGCAAACTTACAAATCTATTCAAAAGTGGCACCAGCTCCTTTATCGGTCCATAATTTTGAAAACACTGAAAGTAATTTTCTAAGGTGTCCTCCAAGGATGTTTTATGTTCTTCATTAAACAAATGAGGCTGCAGCAATTCCAACAGTCCCATGACTTGTACAAAAAGATGTAAGTGAAATCCAGATCGGAATTGGCTAAACTCTACATAACATCTACCCTTCAGTGATGACGATAGCATAGGAAGTTGACGTAAAACGAGAATAGGATGCACCGCAGCCATTTTTCTAGCGCATAATTCAAACTCCTGAGATTTGGAATGCCAGGACTTTTGTCGAGGCGTTGCTGCTAAAGCAGTAAGTAAAAAATGACTCATGCAATCCAATACAGAACCCGTCCAGTCAGTAAGTTTTGCACCAGCGACAAATTTTTTTGTTTGAGATGTATCGAGATAGCATATTACTTTAGGTACTTTCATATACATAAGCAGAAGAAATTGCTGTGCCATATCTGCATGTATGCTGAAACAAAAATAACATATTTATACAAATTGTTAAAACTAAACAATATTCTAAATTGTATAATTATTTAATTTACTTGTCATTATCCATCATTTGCACTGCCAAATATTTGACAACACTAGATGTGAGTTTGTCTTCTATAGATATGCAATGTAATAATAAATCCAACCGTGACTCCATCTGTGTAAGAGCAATATTTCTGTTCCGACAATTACAAATAGTTACGCCTTCAGTTACCAAGTACGTCACGAGATTCAGTAGCTGTTGCTCAGACAGAAGTAAAATATTTTCGGGCACGTAATGCTTTGGGGTAAATTTATCTCGCCCTTGCCAAAGTTTCGGATTGCATGTTAGAGCCCACAGAAAATCTAAGACAGCGGTAGGATCGTATCTGAAAAGTAATTCTTATAAATATAATACAAAATATTTCAGTGATCTATACATATTTGATTGAATACTCACTCGTGGTCATATTTATCTAATAAATGACCCACGCATTTATATAAAGTAGCCCAGCTTGCTCTGTGCGTCAGTAGCGTCAAGAAATATGGTCTGCACGAATGAGAACTAACAATACTTTCATCGATTTTTATATGGATTTTCGTTTTTCCAAACAGAAGTTTCATCTGTAGATTAGGGCAAGTTCCAATTAGTTCTGGTTCGACGGAAGCCAGCCAGTCTATCAGTAAACCTGTCCTATGTTTCACAACACCCTCATTACTATCGGATACCAATAATTTTGCCATTGCTTCAACAAGAACATCATTCTTCTGTTGTTTAAGGGAAACATCCAACAACTTGCGACCCACTCTTTCCAAATTTAAAGAATCCATATTCTCCAAAATTTCCTGTGGCTCGCGATTCTGTGTCAAAACAACCAGTTCCTTCCGCTTTTGAGCTTTCGTCAAATGCATATTAGCAAAGTCTCTCAGGATCGATAACACTGGTGCTTTCACATCACCAATTAATGATATTAAATTTAAGCACATATTCCTTGCAAGTTCAACAACTTGTTTCGATGTTGATGGTTTCTTCAAAGGCAATAAAATGACTCGCATAAGAGTGCAGGAATATTGGGGCATATGCACTAGTGAGGCCAAAAACTGTTTAACTTGCATTGAACTTAAGACGCTACAAATATGCTGAATCGCCAGAACAACAGCACCGCTTTCTTTGGCAGATTTTTGCAAATCCTTTGCGAGAGTCTTATGCAACCTTCGATAGGCATCCATTTTTTGATTGATTGGTATACTTTCAATAAACAATCTGTTAATAAGATGTGGAACATCTGTCTTTACCGAGCACTGTATCACGGATTGTTTTTGTACCATGGCAGTCGGTGGTAGAGTTTCTTGAAGTTTTCCTACAACTAGTGGATTTTCATCGGGTAATTGTGGTTCCAACAATTGTAAAACCTGTACAAATACTAAACCACCAGTTGCACCACGGCGATGTTGCACCTTAACCAATTGGGCCATGTAGGTTTTATCTAGAACAGCTTCACCCACGGAACCAGGATCAATTTGTACAGCCCCGTCTAGCGTATGTAATAATTTGCTCATCGAAGAAACAGGTATACCGAAACTTTGAATGAACAATACCAGTTGTTGTGGTTCTAAATCTTTTAAAGCTGCATCAACTAATCTGGGAACATTGCTTCTTATCATTCTGAGCTTTAACCAGTCAGGTATTAAGAGAGCTTCCTCGCTAGTGTCCACAAGGAATGCCTTTGGTGGGTCAGCGGTTTCGGGAAACCATGTTTCTAGTAGCTCGTTAAACAGTTCCTCGTCATTCGACGAGTCATACGTCAATAAAATGATCATAGCATGAACAGCTAGTATATGCATTGTACATTCCTCTCCCGTACTCCATTGCAGTAAAATTTGATCTTGACTCTCAGACCACGTAAAACCCTCTCCTCTAGGAGCACGTACTTTTTGAAGATAATTACAGAAGATTACCATAAATGCATGCAATGTCTGCTTTGCTAATTGTGATTCGTTATCAGGCTGTGGAAGTATAGCAGCGATAATGGTACTGCGTTCTACTACCAATTGTGAAATCTCATTCGACAGATCAATTAAATCAGGAAGATCATCATCGAGACTATGCGCAGCAAGGTAAAAGATGTACGCGCGAATTAGATCTGGAGAGTTCTCTATCTGACAAGCACTGCGTAAAGCAGTAGAGACCATTGAACGTATTGAGACGAAATGAGGAATAGTTGGTAATTTTCGGAGTAACCAGACTTCTCTGTAACAGAAAATATTAAGGTTATTATATAGTAATATTATATATTTTGAAAAAAAATAATGTACATACCTATCATTCTCTCCTTCCACTTCCATACTTTCATCTTCAAGAGGAATGGGTCCAAGAACCATTTTTAAACCAGCTATGGCTTGGACTCTACTACTGCTTTGTTGACAGCTCAACCGCCTCATGAAGTACTCTAATACTTCAAAAGCCCGATGATGATCTTGGTTCGGATCAGTTAGCAGCGTCTGAAGATGAGCAAGTAATTGCTGTGTCCTGGGTTGTTTTTCAACAGCTTGGGGAGTAGTTGATAATAAAAATTCACAGAGACACTGAACTGGCAATTGACTAAGAGCGCTCTCGCTATTTTGCACAAGATCTGCCAACCATGGCATACTCTGGGATGAGCTTTGCTGTTGCCTTTGAATAATATCCAATAAGAAATCAGGTTTTCTTGAGCGACAAAGTAGATGTCCAAGCCGATGAGAGACGTTCAAAGCTTGAATTTGCTCCAAGACAGCTGGTGGAGGTCTTCTAGCAATACCAGTTGGGTCCATAGTTATCAGTTGGGAAAGCAACAAACTGTTTTGTTCAGATATTTGCATCCTAGTAGATGCTGCTGCGAGATGAGTTTCGTACTCAAGTATTTCTTGTTTTTCTATTGCCTCAACTTGCATTTCCTTTGCTCGCTCTTGTTCAATTACCTCAGGTAGAGCCATGGTAGGGGGCGGATACGAAAAATGATTTGTAATACACATTTCCATAAGAGTGCTCAAAATAGGATATCTTTTCCATGCAAATGCACCAATAGTAGAAGGATTGTGCGCTGCTAGCATTAACACCATTATCCAACCTTTCCAATATAAATTTGATATCGCCAAACTTGGAGGTACGTAATCTGTCGGTATATTGATAGATCCAGGGGGCTGATATACACTTAGATTAAAAATAAGTTCAATCATTTCTATTTTATCAGCTTGTAACATAGGGAAGCTCTCTGATGAAATAGCTGCTGCTCTTCGTATTAATTGATCAGTTAGCTCTAATGTTTCAGAATGAGTGATACCATTGTCTTTGGAATATCCTATTAGAAGCAATCTGAAAAGTGTAGTCTGTAATAATGGTACTTCGGACACCAGACGCATAAAGAGTACTCTTTCCGATTCACCAGGCCAATTGTCCAATTTGTAATATTGATCAGGAGATTCTAGCAACAAAATCTTATGCAATGCATGAAGCAACTCATTTCTTCCAATTCCATACATTTGTTGGACTACGTTTTGAAGCCACATCACAGCCTCGTGTTGTATACTGGAAACTAAATTTTGAAATTGATGTAAAACAGCTACATCCTTTTTATCACCTCTCTGCACCAGTACAGCAGCATCCTTCACTTGCTGACTTATCGCTAAGAACATACACAGACACAATAGATCAGTTATCGCCATAAAGACTCGCTCTTTGAAGTCAAAAGTGAGTAACTGCTGAGCTATGTCCTGTCTATTGGACATTAACGTTCGCGCAAAGACCATCAAATTAATATCGTGTCGGCAGACACGTACAATTTCTCTCAGCAGTGCACGCAAAGGTCGCAAATAATCCTCACGATTCATTAACACATCTTGGAATATTTCTGCGAGTAATTTAGCTGTTGGTTCTGGCGAGGTTTGAAACATAACTGCTAGCATCGACATATTATTTGGATTCCGTGCGTTTGACAATTCATTATAAATTGTGTGCTTTAAAATCGTCGAGAGATTTTCTGGATGCAAACCGATTAGTTCCTTCACACCATTTAGATACAAGTTGATTACCGGTTTGGTTTTGAGTCTCATCTTGACTAACTGACTTATAACTTCAACATCTCTTTGGGTATGCGTAGTGCAGTTATAACAGACGTAACTAAGAAGTTCCTGGGCTGGCCTCATCAATTTAGGATTGTGCAACCACACTTCTAATCGTGGAATGGCAATATTCCTAATTTCAACGAAACCGCATGCTGACGAAAGCAATCTCAAGAAATTTCTAGTTATTGATTCGGGTTGTCTTCTATTTAATTGTTCTTTTATAGCTTCCAATACTATCAGCTCAATGACCTCAAGACACTCGGCGTATCTTGGTACCACTGGAAAATCAGATTTCTCCTTGTCACCAGAAAACTGTACGGTCGAAGTACCAGAGTCGTCATCCTCTAATGTGGATGGACTGTGACAATCCCTTGGAGTCGAAACTGGCAACTCCGGTTGTAGTGTACTTTTCGGTGGCTGTCTTGTACCGAAGCCAGTTAAAATATTATCGACAAAACCTTTGCATTCTTCATGATCAACCCAAACTCTCTCACCCAGTGCATCCTCAATATATAACTGAATAAAATTAACACGAACGTATTATTATTTCACTATTAATAATTTTTTCTGTGATTAATTTAATGTGAATAAACTTACCTTAACAAAGATGTCTGGCCAATTTTTCTTGTCGTGAAAACCTCGCATCAATAAATTCGCAGCAAGAACTGGTACCAGGGGATTCCCTTTGCTCTTGAAGTTATGGGACTGGTCGCGCTTTAGAAGGGAAGACAGAGCGTGGAGGATGCAATCGTTTGAAAATATCGATGGACGAATCTTCGCTAAATACATCAATCCCATGTAAATTAAAGTATCGGGTTTCCATCTTTGATTCTTGAGAGTTTTTATGGCCCCACAAATTATGCCAACCACTTTGTCCCCTTCGTCGTTGTCACTTGCTTCAAGAACCATTGGAACAAGATCGGCAGGATCGCAATCTATTGCTACTACTTCCCATGCTTCTGCGTTTGATAATGGAGGTCGAGGATGAGAGATATGCGTTGCGAGTTTTGGCTTTTTTGCAGGAATTAATGACTGAAGCGCAGCTGGCGCTTCTTTCTTGCGATCTGTACCTGAGTAAAAAAAATCGCAATGGCAATACCCTAATTAACATTAAGAGGAGTTCAAGGGATGAGTTTTATTTGGCGACTCTTGGGCTAATTCTTTGTTCTAGAAATTGAAAATTGAATGTACGAATTAATGTTTCTTTTAATATTCCTTAAGAAGACAAACCATTCCTTGAATTTGACATCAAAAAAAAACGTTAGGCGACTAGTAAATTTCAAAAATATGTAATATTTGCGAGACTGGCTCGTCAATTACAAAAGTAAATATTCTAATGACCTAGACATGCCTGACGAAACGACCTGTGTCTGATGATTAAATCATTCCAAATTAGAAAATCGTCAAGCCATCGTGCAGTGTGTCATAAAATAGTCCAATATGTTAATTATTTTAATTTGTGAACAATTTTGTGTAACAAAACAGTAGTAAGTATCTGTATATTTGTATAATGTAATATTATGAAAACTGACGCCCGACATATTTCTGAATTTATAGATACTAATCACAACATTATATACCTTTAGGAGAGTTGTGAGAAACACGATATGGAACCACGCGCTTTAGATCCAACAACTTTGTCAGTGTTGGCATTAAAATATAAAAGGATAAACGACTTGTTAAATGTTGAACTTAGAGAAGATTCTGATAAATCCATTCTAACGAAAAAGTACTCAGCAGCTACTTTACTAAATGATTTAAAAACAATGATTACTGGCATTTCGAAGCAAAATCTAATTGAGAATGATGTAAATCGGCTGAAGGCTATGCTCGCCGTAATTCATTTGCATTTTGGAGACATTTCAAGAATTGCAGAATATAATGCGACAGGCGTTCAACATTTACATCAATGCTTAGAAATTATAAAACATAATGAAATGTTGCCTGAAATAATACTCATAGCAGTACAAGCATTTCTCAAATTAAAGATGGTCCATTCAGATATACATGAACAAATTGCTTATTTATGTAAAGCCGAGAGGTTCTGCGATGATTACTTTTTGGCTAATAGAGACCATTTTACAGCTCCGATCAGTATTTTAAATTTATTTGGCATATACGAAGATATCGACACAATGGAGCTGCTGCGACAACATCAAATTAAAATTGCATTACTTCTCACGTCCTTGTATACAAAGCAACACGCTAAAATGAAGAGTGTCTTGTCGTTTCATGGTGGACTTAAAACTATAATCAGTTTCATAGATACATTGAATATTCATGCCGTCATGCGGGCGGGCTTCTTCCACAATTATTTTACGGAAAATTGCGACAGTGATTCCAGCTTCCTGATTCATAATAAAAATGCTGCTCTGTGGATATTGGAATATTATGGAACAGAATTGGAGATTATATATACTATGGGATGTTTTACACAGGCAAAGGAAAAAAGATTTAGGTACATCCTAGAATGGATTAGTCATGGAATCTCATTATTTTGTGTTACCACACATAGGTTACCTCACATTATTCCTCAATCACAATGTGGGTTGTGTGCTTATCTCAAGCAAATAAAAATTGACAAGGCATACGTTGTTGCTATGATCATCATGGAAGCATCACTTGATATGAGCCATTTTCTACCTGAGAACACTAATATGTCTAGCAGTAAAAGTATGAGAAAACTATCTCATGATTATCCTGATATTTGGACGGTTTTTCTTAATCTACAACAGTGGCTAAGAATTGCTAAGATGCAATGTAACTTTAAAAGACCATCATGCGACTATATAGCCATCATATTGAGTTTCACACAGATAATGGCAGCCTTAACTATCTTTGAGGAAAACAATGAAAATAAAATTACAATACATAAAGAGAGAATTGAATGTTTTTTACATTTGGAAGAAATAGATTATCCTGAGGAAGTCCTGATCTACCGAACAGTTTGGCGTGAATTGGGATTCACTTACAATCAAATGTTAGAAATCTTGGTAATAAGTAATGCATCTATGAATCTTATACCTGAACCTATTCTCTCAAAAATAAATCAATATGGAATGCAAGCAATAGATTATTATGAAAGATATTTGAATACGTATATTGATATCGAGACGCAAAAAATGCCAGAAACCTTTCCAGACAACAATGTAGCTTATATTTTAAAAGTGTACTATTACCTAGGGAAACTTCATTTGACTCTGTCGAAGCTCAATAAAAATCAAGATCATGAGAATAAATGGAAAAGTAGTGAGGCATATAAAAGATTATTAGATTACTGTGCAAAGGTTCCAGATGTAGTAAAATTAATCAAAGATGAAATACCATTGCGCGAATTATCTGATATTGCAGAAGCTAGTACTTCAAGCTGAAGTAATCAATTGATTGTTAAAATATATCAATTTGCTATATAGTTTAGAATTTTATACCACTACATTTACTTTTTTATAAGTATTTTAATTTGTAATTATGTAATATCACTATTAAATATTTGAATGTATAGCAAATATCATTATGTTCGCAGGACACTTTTGTTGTAGTCATCAAAAATATGTTATTCTTTTGATACTATGTGCTATTGTTATAGAAGTTTAAAAATCCAGAAAAAACATTAGACAGTTGTGTATAAATAAAAAATAACTTTACCTGGGGTAGCGGAACTTGGTCCTGGTTTGCCATGAATAACTCCAGGTCTCTTTGTATCCGATGTTTCACCACGACTACTTTTGGAACCAAGAGCAAACAGATCTGATGGATGTTGAGCAATTTTATTCTTTGCACCACGGCCAATTCCTGTTTTAGCTCTGTCCATTTTTCCTTATTTTCTTAAACCTATAAATTTTTAATTATTATCAATAATTCTAACCACATTGGCAATATTTATAATTGCGAAATAACAAAAAACATGTATTAAGCATTGATAAATAACTTTTAGAAATAGTACTTCGAACGATATACTTTAATATAAGCTAAATGTATTCAATTATAATTCTATAATGTAATAATGTCAATCAATACCTCCTAATGCCAGTTTTAATTTTAACCTATACGACGCATAATCAATAGTTTCATAAAAGCAGTTATCAAACCAAGAATCATGTATGTACGATCATTAAAAACAGTAGGACACACTGATTACAGCTGCACCTGAAAAATAATACGTGTAAAAATTGTTTGTTGATATAAATAAAAGGATTTACTACAAATTACTATAATTACATTATAGTATATATATGTATATCGGAGTATATAGAGGTGGTTTGTATTGAACATACTGACAGAACGCAATGGAGTGAGTTGGTAAAAGTCAGTACGCTATTGGTCCAGAAAAGGTGCAAACTATCACCGACCAATAGTGTGCATACTGTCGCCAGTGCCACTCATATATGCTGTGACTACGGACTGGCAACTTTTCAAGTAAAGCTAGGTCGAGACCGCAGTGAAGAAGAAGCAGAAGCCAATTCTGTCAAAAAATGTCAGGAATGGTAAGTTTGTTAATGAAATAAAAGCTAAGAATCTTCAAAAGGTAATTCTGCATTCATGCATTTATATTATAAAGTTTATGATACTTATAAATAAAGTTAAGGCGTATCCCTACGGAATATTGTCAGTGAATCGATAATTCTTTCTGCAAGCCTGTCACATATCTAATTCAACATTATCTATAATACGAATAATTTTTAAATTGTGAATTCATTTGCACTTTACATTTCTATAGAGGATGCGAGCATCAAAATGTCCTACGGACGAGCTCAGTCTCTCCAACTGCGCTGTCATCAATCGTGATGACTTTCCAGATGATGTTAAGTGAGTACTTAGTATTGTACTTTCAAAATTTGTATGGCAATATATTCACATATAACTAATAATTTTTTTAAAACAGGTGCTTTGTTATTTATATACTTTTTTATATTGACTTGTACTGTTACATATTTATTTTTTTATTTATTACATCTTTTAAAATAAATCATTCAAATTTACGGACTGTTATAGTGATATAATCATTATTTAAATTTCAAATGAATTACATGTATTATATCTTTTTTTAACATAGAATATATTTCATTATGTTTCCTTCAGACATATTGAGGTGACCACTGGTCCAAATCAACACTTTGTATTTACGGTGAAAGCTCACCCGGATATAGCCAGAGGATCAGTTGGATTTAGCTTGCCTCAAAGAAAATGGGCTATGCTATCCCTCAATCAAGATATTGAAGTACGACCATATCATTTTGACCCTACATCTAGCTCAGAGTTTCTGTGTACCATTGTGTTGGAGGCTGATTTTTTACAAAAGAGAGTGTGAGCACTTATTTAAATATTTACAAATCCAATTTCACTAAATTGCTACAAAAAGGAAAATATATTTCAGGACCACGTTAGAGCCATATGATACAGAACAAATGGCCAAAGAATTTTTACTACAATTCTCAGGACAGGCATTTACTATAGGACAGCAGTTAGCATTTCAGTTTCAAGATAAAAAGATGCTTGGCTTAGTTGTCAAAAGTTTAGAAGCTGTTGATATTTCAGCTCTCAAATCAGGACAAGATACTACTCCAAGGAAAACGCGTATGGGGCGCTGTTTGGGCGATACCGTAATACAATTTGAAAAAGCTGAAAATTCAAGTTTGAACCTTATTGGAGCGGCTAAGGGCAAAATTATGCGTCAATCAATTATCAATCCAGATTGGAACTTTGAAAAGATGGGTATTGGTGGTCTGGACAAAGAGTTTAGTTCGATCTTCAGGAGAGCTTTTGCCTCTCGAGTTCTTCCACCAGAAATAGCTGTGCAGCTGGGCTGCAAGCACGTCAAGGGTATTTTGTTATATGGGCCACCAGGAACTGGAAAGACTCTACTGGCCAGGCAAATTGGCACCATGTTAAATGCGAGGGAACCTAAAATTGTAAATGGCCCTCAAATCTTAGACAAGTATGTGGGTGAAAGTGAAGCTAATATTAGAAGACTCTTCGCAGATGCGGAGGAAGAAGAGAAAAGAGTTTGGTTTTAATACTTGTTGAATACATCCTATTCCATTTTATACTCATACATTAAAATTGTAAACCTTTTAGCTTGGACCTAACAGCGGATTACATATTATCATTTTTGATGAGATCGATGCTATTTGTAAAGCAAGAGGTAGCGTGGGTGGAAACACGGGAGTTCATGATACCGTTGTTAATCAATTACTGTCAAAGATCGATGGTGTTGAACAATTGAATAATATTCTAATTATTGGAATGACTAATAGAAGAGACATGATTGATGAAGCCTTACTACGTCCTGGCAGATTGGAAGTAAGCACCACAAGAGAACTATCGCATCCGACTTATCATTTTACTTATACATCACTATCATTATTTACTGATACCATTATGAATAGGTACAATTAGAAATTAGTCTACCAGATGAAGATGGAAGATACCAAATTCTCAACATTCATACATCCAGAATGAGGGATTACAAAAAGATTGCTCCAGATGTTGATTTAAAAGAATTAGCAGTCTCAACGAAGAACTTTAGCGGTGCTGAATTAGAAGGTCTTGTAAGGGCTGCACAAAGTACTGCCATAAATAGATTGATTAAAGTCTCAAATAAAGTGGAAGTAGATCCTAGTGCTATGGAGAAACTTCTTGTTTGCAAAAACGACTTCATCCATGCATTAGACAATGATGTCAAACCCGTAAGTTTGATTTTATTTTCTATCATCTTCCTATATTAAGATATAATGATGAGCGTTAAATTTTGTTCTATATATTCTTACAGGCTTTTGGAGCAAGTGCTGAAGCACTGGATTATATTCTTGAACGCGGTATTATTAATTGGGGCAAACCCGTAGCGGAGATCCTGTCAGCTGGTGATGTCTATATCCAGGAAACTCGAGATGGAGAAGGTTCAAACCTTGTATCAGTATTATTGGAAGGTCCGCCGCATAGTGGAAAAACTGCTCTTGCCGCACAGATTGCCAAAAATTCGGGCTTCCCATTCGTTAAGATTTGTACACCTGAAGATATGGTTGGGTTTACAGAATCATCAAAAAGTCTATCAATACGCAAAGTAAGATGTTGCTTCAATCTATAATGTTTTACCCGCTTTAAAAAATGACAAACAACGAGTACTTATATTTGAGACTTTCAGGTATTCGATGATGCATATCGCTCCCAGCTGAGCTGCATTGTAGTTGATAATATTGAACGACTGTTAGATTATGGTCCCATTGGTCCACGATACTCTAATTTGACATTGCAAACTTTATTAGTCCTGTTGCAAAAAAAACCACCACCTCGTCGCAAACTCTTAATCCTTGGTACCACTGGCTCCAGGTAATCAAACGTTTCGTTTATTTGTACTGATCGCTATTAAATAACAAAAAAGTTTATGCAATAAAATGCTTCTCTTCTTACAGACAAGTTTTGGAGGATATGGGAATGCTGTCAGCTTTTCCAAAAAAACTCCACGTACCCAACTTGTCAAGTCCTGATCATCTTCTATCTGTCCTGGAAGAAGTTGATCTCTTCTCCAAGGAAGAAATTTCTTACATCCACTCAAAGACTAAGGGCAAACGGTATGCGATTCATACTCTAATATCATTTGTCGCATTAAGTCTATTCCAGATTAGATAGAAATATCATACTTGTAAATTGTATTTGTGTTTTAGCATTTTCATCGGAATTAAGCAACTACTGTCTCTAATTGACACGGCACGTCAGATCGAGCCACGTTACAGAATACCGAAGTTCCTCTCCGCGTTGGAAGAGGAAGGTGGATTAGAGTGAAAGGTATTTCATTAAGAAATCTATTTATTTATGTAGTCATTAACTTATAGTCAATATTTCTCATTGGAGAAACAGAAAAAATAGGCAACTAGGTGTAATACCTTCAAGACTTAGAATTAGAAAATATTGATTAAACCATGCATATAACCGAGGTACAAAACGTCGATATTTATTTAAATTATTAAGATTCAATTCAGGGATGAGATAGCATTCATGAAAATTTATTTAATATATTCAAAGCTTCAGTAGGAACTGCTGAGAAAAATTACCATGACGGTTATTATATAAATACTATTATTTCGATGCTAGCATTTTATTGGCTTTATAAAAAGAAAAATATATTACCAAATCTTCAAAAATTAAGAAAAAATATTATGTATTCTTAACCTTTAACTACATATACGCGGTCTCACAAACCGCACTAATTTTATGTTTAGCCCTCTTGTCAAATTTGTTTCTACATAAACTTTCAATGAATTAAAAAACCTACTAGATAATTATGATTTAATACCTAGCCATTAAATTTATTTAAACTAGAAGAGCGATGTAAAACTCTACTTTTGAACTATTTTATTTGTTGTAATAGACTTATAATCCAGCTCTACAGATTGAGATCTCACGGATCTCACGTTGTGTATATTCTTATAGTCGGATCTGTGTAGTTAGGGGTTAAATTTTTTGTTTCTATAAGAAATTCAAGTATTCTTCAAATGTATTTTATTGTTGCTCTTCAAGCATAAATTACTCTCACATTCCTAACAGCGAAATCTATTCACTGCTCATCCAGTGAAGCTAGTCAATTTCGCTACAAAGAAGACTAAATAATCTTATTTAATTTCATAATGAAAATATTTAAAATAAATCTTCTTCGTGATAGTGTAAGAGTATCGATTATATTGTCTTCAATGAGTATATAATATAGTAATAACTACGTAAAGGGTTCTCAGAGCTTGCAATGACATAGGCCAGAATCATTAATAATTATTTGATTTGACTGAGCTACAGTAAAAACAAACATAACGAAAATAAACTTCAGTTTTCAGAATACGTTATTAAAATAATTTAAGACGCATATAATAATAAATATTCTAAGATAACTTGCGAAAAAAACGTTGGTCCATGTAAAGTAGTTCGTATATCGTTGTGAACGTTCTAATGCTGCACATGTTTTTGAATGTATTTAAAAAATATTATCTGTGTAAAAAAAAATAAATTCTCAAACATATAATTTTGTGTATTGACTTATTGGAGCAGTAAATCCTTTTATGTAAAGTAGTAGGAAAATTTGCATAGCTCGTGAGGGACGTGAAAGTGATGTGGAGTTTTCTCGGTATTCATTTGATGTATTAAACGATGATTAAAAATATTAATTTTATTTGAATTTGTCGGTTCTTAACTCTTATAATTTACAGCTGAATATACACATTTATACAATTTTCTTTACTCCATCATATTCACACGATGAAACAAGTCTATCAGTACTTGCGCAACGACAAATTTCACAGTGCTACTTTCTTCACGTAGAGGCGATACCATATATCAATAAGTCAAAAGGAACAATTATCCACTCGAATCAGTAGCACAGCAACTTGCTTTTTCCCTGACAATTATGGGTATACAATTGTATGATGGTATCATACAATGATCATTTCTGTTATATATGCTACGTTAAAATATAAACTTGATTAAGTAACAGGATTGAACGGCAATATGGCACATCTCATATAAACTTGCTAGTAAGCTCACAAATGCTTTTCGATTAAATCAAAGAGTTGACATAAAAAATACTCTGAGTAGATCAAACAAATAATTAGGTTATCAGATAAAATTCACGGGATTTCCCCTAAAACTAGTTTTTCATGTTTTTGATATTTAGTATTACTTTACTAACCAACGTTGATAGTTTGATGTTTTTTTAATGTCAACTCTTCAACTGGTTAGATTATATTTAAGACTTCCAATTCAGTTTTTCATATTTTTAGAGGCGTAACTGTAATTTTACATTGTTATGAAGCTACAGTTTCAATATTTCCACCGTCAATAATTATGATGTATTGAGGATTTTATACAGCGTTATATAATTTGCTTATAGTTGCATCCTGCTGTAATACTGACGTACATACTAATAAATTGCAGTCCATGATAGAACTCTATGAACTATGCAGTAGAATCTCATTTTTGAATTTGAATGAATGCGTCAAGTGAATTTGAAGATTAAAAAAAAATAATATTTGCATTGTACAATCATGATGACTAATGAAAGTCTTTCTATTTGCAATTTCATATTACTAAAAATGGGTCATATAAAAGTGTATTGGTCACTGGCACTGTAACTAATAATATGAATTGAAAGGATTCTGGTAGCGTTAGCAACATTAAACATTCATCATGAAATAAATGATTAGAAATGTTTACAATATTGTTTTCCTCTAGAGATTGATTGTGTAAGATAATTAATAACATTTTAAATTATTCCATTTCTGTAAATAAGATTGATGATTCCAATTACCAGATATCTTTCAATTTATTACAGTTACTTTATTTTTAGAAGTACTTTTGATATTAATATACTAAATAGTTACTAACGAATCGCATTGCTAAATGAGGTAAAGTGTTAAACATAAAATTTCTATGAAAACCTCATTCATCTTTGATCAATTATCGACTACCGATCTTTATACAATTAAATATATTCATAAATTAATAGACGCACAGTGTTACCACAAAATAGAACAGCAAACAACATGGCAAAATGTTTGGTCACCTATAATTTAATATAAAAGTCATATCTTAAGTTGCATACAATTATATTGTACAAATTGAGTAATGTCCCTTCAATATTCTTCTTCTTGACATTCATAAAACATCACAATTTTACTAAAAATATTTTGACTTGAAAGAGTGCTAGAGTGCCAAGTATGCTATTTAAAGTCCGTAGAAAGGAATCTTGAATTTTTATCTGAACATTTATTTATTTTTACCTTGAACTACTCCGAGTTCCTTTTAAGGTGTCTAACAATTATCGGTGTGCAAACAGTGTTTGGCAGTAAGAATTATTAAGCACCATAATCGATTCAGTTTCACAAAAAACTATACTGTGTGTGGCGTTTCCCTGGAGAACAGTTCACGTCTACTATTCAACTGGTGTACTGACATTTCAGCTACTTGTGAACACCAAAACAAAAACCTTATATAGAAACGAAGCTCAGAGTGCTTAATGTATTAATCTCAGATATAATATTGATGAAAGAATATGTTTTTAAGGCTCTGTGATATTTGTGCTTCGTAAAAACACGGCGAGATAAAGAATTATTCGTAACCGATGTTATATCTCATCCTCTTTTCCTTTTCTTAGGTCATTTACAATAACTTTGAGAAAAAATATGTGAGCTTTATAACGTCTGTAAATAATTAGTACAGTAAATTAGACATCCTCTGCAATTAATGAGCTATTTGCAGAAAACAATGAAACTTAATGAAAACGTTAATTAATGTTAGATACGTAATTAAAGAAAAGAGGATTTTGAAGTTAAATGGGTGTAGAGATGAAGGTACGAAACTATAAAGATAAACGAGGAAAAAAGGAAAGAGTGCTGGATACCAAACAACAAAGTTTTTGAGATCGTAACAGCATTCTGAGCTGATATTTGAGCATAATAGATAAGTTGTGTGTTTACATGAATGCTCAATAGAATATTGAAGACGTTTGAGGATTTTGAAATTGTATTGGCCTACTTGTGGCTATCGAAGTACTTTATGCAAAATTTAAAAGAATGAAAACATTGCTTAGAGAGGGACAATTACAGAATGAAATAAAATTTAAATAATGCGATCTTGTCTCATTCTCCTTTAAGTTTATAGGTATTTGAAAGTATCATGCTAATTGGTATAATCACAATTAATAATTAATTGTGTCTTATGAAATGAAGTATCATATCAATCATAGATAGAGCTTTCGTTAGACCATCAATTTGTAGAATGTAATACATTATTTACTACAACTATTTAACATTAATATCACAAACGTTTATATAAAATGCTTTTGAACGAAATAGCTCAAAAGATTTATAATCGAGTCGTTCTATGACTGTAGTATGTTTTGTAGTATTCAGCACTTTTCCAGCATATCAAGCTTTCAGTTATCTCCCTCATAGAGAAAACATATTGACTGACACAGTCAGTAAAATTATGTAAGAACAAGCAGATGTGGTAAGGATTTGAATCATGATGGTTTACATGACGGGAATTTCTTAACACTAATACATGAAGTGGGCTTGCGCCACCTCCGTTTACCATGATTTGTAATGTGTTTGTTATAATGGCTGTTGCAAGCATTCTTCTGTTCCCCACTTGTCCGATCCATTTCTTGGAGTTTTCTTTCTTCTAAAAATATTAAAAGATGTATTAAAGTAGTAGCTACGACAATACATTTCTGTATAGCAAATGTAGAACATGTATTCAGGAGTATTGTTTGCTGAATACATAAATATAGGATAAATACACAACCCTTGAAAAGTTAAACAATTTTACATCATTATCCATGTAAATTTCAGATAATAATATAAATCACAAATTAATTTATTCATGAGTTCTGTAATCATAAACCCATTCAAGAAATGTGAAACTTGTAGATACAAAATGGATGAAAATTCGACAGATTGTGCGATTAATAGCATCACAAAGAAAGTAATTAATATGTTAATAGAAATTCTGATGAAGTATTAATACCAACAAGAATAGGGGATATCATGAGGTCTAATATGCGGAAAAGTAGTACCGACAAGTGACAGTCCAGAATCCAAACTAAGAATATGAGAATATCTTTTTTACAGAATGATGCATGTTTTCAATAATAATATTAGACAATGAACTTTCAGTATCCCGTTTTAGATCTGAAAAGCAAAACCTATATTTCACTTAAAACAGTGACTTCAATTCTAACTCTTCAAAGTTTCTTACTTTGTTAGTGCCAATGTAGAATGCACACTCTGCGAGCTTAAAACTATGACAACCTATGACTTACCGGTCATAGCGAGACCACCAATCTGGACTCACTAGCGATTCACATGAATCTAGCCAATTAAAAGAATGACATAAAATAAAAAGTGTTTTTTCTTTGGTATAAAATAATAAGCAGCAAACTATTATTTTATGATCGTTAAGTATCGTGCAAGATGAATTTGGGTGATGACGTAATCCCACACGGGTTTAATACACAAAAATAGGTGACTTGCAATGCTTTTAGAAAATGGGGATATTGATTAAAGTTTTTCAAATTAACATATGAATATTTTCAATAACTACATCTTCAATTTGCCACAAAAATTTTTTTTATAACTTAATTAATATTGTTGACCAACCTCTATAGCATTAAAGTAACGACTGTTAATTAAACAATATACATACCGTTGAGTTGATGTTCAGTATAATACGTAGGATCATTATCTACTCCATAATGATGTTCCATCAGGTACGGCAGTACAGTCATGGTGTGCCATTCGTCTCCTCTGAGAGGAGGTATGGGCACTTCTTCTAATGTTTTCGGAGGTCTACATATAGTCCATGGGTGCTGTCTGATCTGTTGTAGTGTAAATCTCTTATCTATGTCTTTTTGCAGCATTCCTTGTAGAAGCGATTTCAATGGATCTTCTACTTCTGCAGGTATTGTATATTCACCTTTCCCAATATTTTCATATAATTTATAAATATTATCTCCTTCGAATGGATATTCTCCCGTCGTTATGTTGTATCTAAAAAAAACAGTTTATATGATGCAACACATTGTAACATACACTCTTTGATCATTTATAGTTTTTCATTAAATATGATACTTATTATTCATGCTTGAGTCATATTCCACTAAATGTATGTAAACAGCAGTGATTGTGCACATAGCAATTAGCATACTTATTTAAGATTTAAATTGAAGTTAAGGTCATATGTGATAAACATAAATGTTGTTATAACAAATTATGACTCGCACCATGGAATAAGTGATATATTTTTGAGATTCATAAAAGATTTTGTAGATGAATCAAGGTCACAAAATGATATCATTTTTTTAAAATTGAACTCACAACGTCACGCCACTGCTCCAGATATCAACCTTAAAACCTGCAAAGGTTTCACATCCATTAGCAATCTCTGGTGGTTGAAATGCTGGAGAACCTTGTCCTGTCGTACACGTGTCATCTTTGGCGAACATATCTAATGCCTATTTTTGGAAAATGCAGATTACCACACTTCAGTAAATACTCTAATTTCGTAGTATGAGTAAAAGTAACCCTAGAAACCCTACCTCTGCAACACCAAGGTCACTTATTTTCAAGGTACCATCAAGTGTTAATAATAAATTTCCTGGTTTTATATCTTTATGAACGATTCCCTTGCTATGAAGATACTCCAAACCATCTATCAACTGACAGAAATAACCATGTCCTTGCCAAAGAGGAAATTTTTTGTGCGGCATACTTTCCAGCATATCCTGTAAAAACTCTAATAAATAGACATCTATGTTTTGTTAATCCCATGCAAGATAATTGAATTATAAAAAGTAATATTTATATCTTACATTCATAATATGACATATATATATTGTACATATGTATAATAAAAGGATGTCTAAAGGTCATAAATTTGTAATATTCTTGCTACTCATTTACTTTAAGAATTCGTTTTTAAAATGTTGAAATATTAAACCATTAAAATTAAAAAATACTGCAGTTCTAGATATTAATAGTGTTAATAAAAAGAATTTTGATAATCTACGTACCTGTAGTCCTCCAACACAAAATTCCATAACTAGGTACATTTTTTCTTTTTCATCATTGTATAGGACATCCACAAGATCAATAACATTTTTGTGTTTTAATGTTCTTAATAGCTGTATTTCCCTGTTAAAACATTTTTTATAAACATTTATTTTAAAGCATCAGCTCCTTATTAGAAATTTGAAATGAAGCATAAATACAAGTTAAGCACAACATTATCAGCAGATAATAATATCAATGGAATTAAAAACAACAATAAATCTTAATTTGGTCAATAGAATATATCAGAAACATTGAGCTTAAATCTTTTGGAAAGAAATCAACTGCAATGAAAAACTGTAAATGGTATAGTTAGATAAGTATAGTGAGATTAAAGTATGCAGCTTCTACTGTGGTCAGTCAATAGTGATTCATTGTGTCACATGTAAAAATTAACAGAATATATATATATATATATATATATATATATATATATATAACTTAAAAATAAATTCAATTTCGTAATTTCATACCGTTGAACATTAATTTCCCCATTCGGTATCCTACGAAGTTTCTTCTTCTTTAAGATCTTGACAGCTCTTCTGCACAGGGTATCTGAGTCTAGCATTTCTTTCACTTTCCCATAACTGCCTTCCCCAAGTAAATCTCCCATGACATATTTACCAATTAATTTACATTTCTTTTTTTTTTCTTCATATATAATCTGATGGGAATCCACCCTGTGGAAGGCCATGTTAATCTCGTCCAGGTCATAATTGGTATCATCGTTCACCCAAGTAACCGGCTCAATATCACCAAATAATTCATTATTTACTTCATCCTCATCTGGATCACAGATCGCGATCCTATTGTCCATTTTCAGAACACTAATCACACTGATTTATACACAATTACACAAATTTAACCTAAAATATCACCGGCACCATCATTGTTTTGTGATCTGTACCCAAGGTTGCTATCAACGATGCTGGTATCTTGATCACGGCGCGTCTTTCACGCCTTTCATATTTCCTGAAATAACCTTCTTCCTATCGGCTACCGAATGCACTATATAAAATGACGAATAAAAACTAAGCAGCTTCGGCAACTCCAACATCATCCAAACATTTTCATGAGTACCAAGAGGCGACAACCAGTGACAACCGAAACATTATTATTGGCATGTCCCAATTCCAAAATGAGATGACCCAAAAGATGTTTTCTAGCCAATGAATATTCCTTTGCAATACGACATTCAAAACAAGAATACAATTTTATTAATTCATTCTAGATTCGAATTGATTGTCCACAAATATTAAAGAAGATTATACATTTTAAGTTTGAATACCTTAACTTATAAGTTTAATGTATGTTAAATATCTATTGAGAACGTTATCGATACATTGTTATAGGTATATCGTTCGCATGAGAATTCGACATGCGATCTGTAAAGAGCAGTCATATGTTTTATGATTATATCTCTGTTTTTGTTCTGCACATGGTTCTGCAGTTCAACCTACAGATTTACACGAAATTGATAACCTGAACGGAGAAAAGAACAAAATATTGTGATTGTGCAAATAAAAGCAATAGTTTCCGTTTGACAACTGTTGAAGTATGACAACCCCAGTGATTGATGACTTTACAAGTGAAAATGAATTGAATGAAAGTGCTGTAAGTACAGCCGGTGAAAATTCGCAGGATTCTCAAGAAGAAACTGAAAATATATCTCATGGGGATGAAGAGCAAAAAGAGAAATTAGTGAGGTTACCCCTTGGCAGAGTTAGACACATTATGAAAATGGATCCTGATGTTAACTTAGTTAATCAAGAGGCTATTTTTTTAATAACAAAATCAACAGTAAGTGGAACAAGTAAACTTTTCATAGATCTTGCATAACAATTAGAATAACTGGTTTTTTTAAGGAATTGTTCATAGACTCCCTGGCAAAAGAAGCTTATAAATATACTGTACAAACAAAAAAGAAGACTGTGCAAAAGCGTGATGTGGAAAGTGCCATTGAAAACGTTGATTCCCTTGTATTTCTGGAAGGAACTCTGGAATAAAGTTTCTAGTTCACAAATGAGTTGATAAACTACATATGTAACCTTAGTTAATAAATTGTATACATTTCCATTTTTAAAGCTATTGTGTGTTTCTATTTTTGATCAAATGCTTTGTATGCCTCTTGTCATCAGTACAAAAGACCTAATTGAAAAACAAAATTTTAGACAATAAATATTGTTAATATTAAAAAGGATCTAAATATAATTATTAATTGGAAAGAAGCTATACTTTCACTGTGAACATTAAACAATAATATTCATTGCTTATTAAGTAATTAATTTTACAAATATTTTGGAACAGAATATATAAGAAGTATACTATGGTTCCATTCAGTAATTTATTATAATTTAGTTGTTAAAATTTCTCAAGGTATATGTGAAGTATAAACAGATCAATATGTATTGACCAAAAATATAGAACAGACTAAAAATAAATTTGTGGAAATTAAACGAACTTATATAGATATCAGAGTATATCTTATTTACTTTCCATACAACTTTATTAATGACCTGATTTGACAATAATTCCACTAATAAAATATAATTTATACTAAATTCGTTTTTGTATGCGCCACTTGCATTTTCATTTATTTGCAATTAATAATTATAAATTCAAATGGACAAAAAAAATTCTTATCATTTACAAATTCATGTTATTTGGTACTCGAGCTATAGGATTAGGAAAAATAAATCAGTCTTATTCCTTATTCATGTTTAAAGTTTTAAGATTCTATGAAATGAACGAAAGAATAATAGACATGGAGCATTATTATGCACATTTATGCAACTTACAATTACAAACAATTCAATAATTTGGATAAGGCTGCAAATTAAGGATGAAAAATATTAAGATGTTATCTTAGCTGCATCTTTTTAAGTAATTTTGTAGTTTTTCTCAGTATATCATGCATTATCATGCATGTGTTTCCTATCATTTTATACCTTCATGCTTGGGACGTTATAGAGAGAACGCAAAAATTAAAAAAACATAAAATGTAAATCTTTTTAAGGTCATCAAAGATTTCTATGTAATTTATTCATTTACCGTTGAAAACGACTATATTTATGTAAGTTATGTTGCATTACGTTTTACGTAAATCGCCGTCGAAGGAAGGTTGAATATGGTTAATTATAGTAAAATATGCAGTTATACAATAAGCATTCGTACATAGATTTAAGTATAATTTGGAATCTTATTCAGATTTACTTCATTTTGCATAAAATAAACTCAAATTATAAAAGGTACAGCATTGTCACTTAAAATCCTATACATATCTAAAATGAAGAGATTCCATAAAAATTAAAAATTGTAATATTACTTAGCAGTAACAGGACATGGAAGAATGAAGAATTTTATTTCATAATCATATTCACTAAATTCAAATACTTGCTTTCTCAATGTAAAAGAGCTGTTAATCAATAAAATGTGTGAGCACTGCTACAGCAAAGGAAAAATCTTTTTAAGAAATCACAAAAAGGAGTGTACTGCTTTCTCAAAAAATGAGACCATATTGTAAATTCGATTCTTACTGTAGACTGAGTTTTTTCGTTTTCCTTTTATTTTTAAGTATATACAGATAGTCTACATGCGCTGCATCCATATTGGTATTACAGAACAACTTTCAAAACACTGCAAGCAGTCCGTGGAACATTAATGTAGATGCGGCATTTTATAAATTGGGGAGTGAGAAGCTTCGCAAATTGTACGATGCAAACAGAAAAACTTTTAATACTCTTTAGAGGGTATCGTACCAAGTATAGGAGACCGACGCTTAATAAACTAGGAGAGCAATAAATATCAGCCAATGAAACAAATTTTAAAAGTATTCTTGAAGACTGACCAGTGATCGAAAAACAATTACAAGATACACTTCTTGCGAAAACATTCACCGTTTGTACAATGTCATTGAGAAACTTTGTTAAACAGTCATGGGAAAATTGTGAAAAGTTGAACGATTCTACGAGAAAGCAAGAAGCTTCCGAAGGACCAGAATATGAAGAAAACATCAACAAATACCGCAAAGACGCGTTATGTTCGGTATACTGGATTTAACATCTGTCCCTTCACATACTATACGTCCATTCACTTCTTACGTTTTGTTTTACGTCGCCGAGTATCGCCTTTAAAGGAATTTGGGTCAGTAGAGGATGGAGTGCTGGTAGACTTACTATTGTTGTAAAGGTTGTTCAAGAAGTCCTCGAAATCGGCCTCGCTACAAACCAAATCTTATGACATTGTAAACCACATAATGAAATATAATCATTAAGAGCAGTTTCAAATACTGCCACAATTATATTTTATGAATTTCTAATGCTTGTTTACCTTGCGTTTGGATCCACTTGATGTCGTTTTTTACTACCATTAGTTGTTTGCGGCGGTGGACGTTGGCCCAAAACAATTCTGTATTGGACGCTATGCGTATTAGCTCGAAGATGTTTCAAATTGCCAGCTTGGCACGCAGCCCAATCAGTGACATCATACACAGCTCCTTCCATGCACGCGTAATAATGCCATAGAAAACCCATTACGCGGGATTCTGCCCATATATCACCCTTGTAACAAAATTTATCAATAATATAGGAACCGTTTACCAACGTTCTACTTTCTAGCTTATATATTTTACTTACTTCCTTAGCGCTGTGACGTATTTTACACTGAGCACAGAAACGGGCAGCGTAACATGGTCTTTGAGTCGGGATGCGTTTGTGTCTTAAACCACAGTTTGTGCATCTAATCGTATTAGCGGCTTGTTCCATTTTTCGATGTAGTTGGGACAGTAAGTCACTCAATTCACCCCATGCTGCTTCAACCTGTCTGGTTTGGTCAAATGCTTGCCTTCGTTCCTAACAAATATTTAAAAAAATGCGTATAGTACGAATATTCCAAATGAAATTAAACTCTATAAAAAGGGTATGAATCTAATATATGAGAATTAAGGCGTAGATGTCGAAAAACAAAGCTATCCTTACGGGTTCTCCTATTATGTCGAAAGCATGAACAAGTATTTTAAAAGCCTCTTCTGCTCCTGGTTGGCTGTTCTTATCAGGATGTACCAAGAATGCTTGTCTTTTATAATATTTTTTTATATCATCGTCAGAGCACGTAGGTGTGACACCAAGTATACTGTAAGGATCTTTTCCCTTGCAAGCAAGTAACCGCTTCATAGCTTCTTCACCAGTACAAGGCAAGGCTATATTAGCTTCTAATCCGCCAGGTATCGAGTTCGTATTCTCCTCCTTTCCTTCATTTTTGCATTTCATTTTGCGCCAGAATGCAAATCTACTATTTCCAAACCATCCATCCACTCGTTTACCGACAGCATTGAGAAATCGTATTTTTGAGAAAGTACTTGCTATGTAAATCCATGAGTATTTCAAGTAAAGGATTGTATGGAACCATATACACTTGCCACTGAAACACAAATTTGTAAATTGGTAAGATTAATAAAGTAACCCGATCACAAGACAACAAAAAACTTATTGTAAATAACTTACAGTTGAACAACAAGATTTGCGCTCATGCTGACAACATCAGAGATTAAATGTAACAACCAGTAGACGATCTTCAATACAATCTTGCTCCATTGATTTACGAGTTTGTTTAAATTTCTGTATAATTCTTTAACAGGAGATTCTCTGCTTTCTCTTTTACGACCTCTGTGTCCCTTCTTGATTTGCTGAACTTTTTCAGCTTGCAATCGCTTTGTACTTTTTTCTTTCATAGTCTTTTTATCCTCCTTTCCAGTTTTATTATTAGCCTGTTGATTTTTCTCTATTTTTTCTGGAGATACTGTCTGGCTGAAACTATTTATCGTATTCAAATTCAGATTATTATTTATTTGAATTGGTCGTTTCTGAATATTGGTGCCTGATTTCAGATTACTGTTTGGAATCTTTGAATTATTAAGGGTTTCATTTTTATCTGGTTTTTTAGACGTTTTCCAAACCTTCTTTTTCTCAAATTGATCAGATCTATCAAAGGCATTCAATTCATGAGATTCAATTTGTGAACCAAGATTATCTAATGAAACCCAACGTCGTGATAGGTTCGAATTATTCTTTTCAAGAATTCTCTTAGGAACTTGTAGCTTGGGAGAATTATGCTCATCACTACCCGACGAATTCTGCCTCTTAAGCAAAGCAGCTTTAGATTTATTCTTTGAATTCTTATTAGAAATTTTCTTCGTTGTAGGTTCGATTTTTGGTTTTGTTGATGGTGGTGTTAATGGAGGTGGCGGAGTTGGAGCAGATTTCGTCAAAACGTCAGAATAAGAAGGCCGCATAGGTTTCACTTCAGCAATCATTCTTGGCTTTTTCTGTTGTACATCTGGTATAGTTCGTGGTAATTCTTCAGGCTCCCTGATTTCAGGAGTTGACTGTGGCACTGGTGTAACATTGGGGGAGCCACCAAATGGACTATACGTTCCAGATTGATTGGGAACCCAGTTTCCCACAAGGTTGTCTATTAGTTGTTTACTATTAGAAGGTTGAGTTGGTAGAGTCGGTGAGACTGGTACTTGTTGTTCACTAAAGAGCCCATATTCACGATCTAACATGCCTTGATTGTTGTACGTTGTTAAATTATTTAGCTGACACTGCTCTGCCATAATTTGTGAAGCATTTCCATAAATAACATTAATATAATTTCCTCCACCAACATCAATAGTGCCCACTAAGTCATTATTCTCATTGATGCCCAAATGATTCACCGGTTGTGGTGGAAAGTATATGGGATCTGCTGTAGAAGTGTCATATGAAGGCATTTCTTGCATATATAGAGGTGAAGCAATTGGATTTATAGATTGCAGGCTTGGTGGACTAGGATGTGGTGGCTGGCCATTAATGTAATGTCTTGTTTGACCAGAGGAATAATCTCCCCAATTATGTGGTGATGTTTGTGGTGGAGTAACTCCAAATTGTACATAATGGCCCGATGAACTTTCTAAGTCTGCAGTCATAGCCTCAATAATTTTATCCAAAGACATATGTTTAAATCCAGGAGGTGACTGTTGTTGCTCAGCCATTTTGCTTGATATTTCTAAAGAAAACATTAGATATAACTTGTAAAAACAGTTAAATATATGTCCAAATATGCAATAAAATATATAGTTACTATAATTTCATATGATGTAACACATTTCATCCAATATAAATTTAATAAGTGTTTTCATAAATACATATATATTTTCTTGGAACAAATAATTATGCTCATCAATAATATTCTAATAGCAATAATACCAAATTTATGAGATTTGTTTTTAAACTCACTGTACATAAATCTTTTTCTTTACTTCTTTAAGTAAATAAGAAGAATTTTTATTATAAATATAACCAATTCAAAGTTTCACAAGAACTTAAATAAAACTCGATATTATACTTCATTTTCAGTACATGATGACAACATAGTACATCTAAGCCACAAAATACTTGAACGGATTTATAAAAAGTAAAACTTAGTAAAGACTTCAGGTAATTTTTGTTATCGTAACCTAAAACGATTACTGCACGATAAAAATCTTATGTAGTATAGAAAAGAGGAGGCTCACGTTATCAATAAAATATATTTTGAAGAATATTAATCAGTATCACATGCATAATCACTGATCACTCAGTACGGTACATTTATAGAAGTTGACATAATTGAGCAAAATACACAAATTACGTGACGTACCATGCGGCTGGCGCAAAATCAGCCATCATACCTCAACAGATTGACGAACGAATGAAAAATAAATTCTACATCCGCCATTTCTCCACAGAGGCAATACCAAACCTCTGTCTTAAAATTACTAATATATTGTTTAGACATAGGTTATTGAAACTAAAAACAAGAAAATTTCATAAATGTCGATTTAAGATATCTATACATAGCTCATATAAATTCTAAATATCTCATATTTCTTCGAAACCAAGGAATAGATTGAACCAGGAAGAACCAATTCTAAAGATTAAGCAATATCGTAAGCTTGCAAAAGATTTTATATAGTTGAATTGAAATATGTATATCGGAGACTACGTTTACACGACAGTCATCAACCAATTTAGTTAATACCGATTAAAAAGAATACACAAATCATAAACATTTCTACTTGTAAGGAATATTTGGAATTGGTAAATTCTTTTAGATCAGTACTAGCTAAATCGGTTTAAGACCGCTGCGTAAACGTAGTCATTGAAATGTAGTCATGGATACAGGCCTTAATCCGAGATTTTCATAAATAGAAAAACGAGGTGCAATAATGAAAGTCAAGATGTTATTGGCTGGAGATTAGTAGTGGTACATATTTGGAGCTAACAGTAATCTCGCTGGTATGTTAAACAGAAAGTGCTAACAAAACCGACACATTCAATTGGATAAATTTTACACTTCGCCCATTTATATGATTTGACCAATCAAATGCTTTGCTTCTTTAGCTATGTTCTGCTGAATATATCCAACGCTCAAGGAAAAGGTGGTTTAAGAAACTTGACACGTGATCAAATTTGTTAATTTCATTGGTTGCTGGAAAGGTTTGAAATATTACGGGTAAAGAAATTAATCGCAGAGACGCTGTCAATCCTTTGGTAACAGCATTTAGAAGTAAGCGTATTGTAAGCAATAAGAAGTTATTATTTTTTGTCCACTTTATCTGTGAAAACTATAAAATTCAATGGTGTATACTAGTTTTGTGTATAAAAGTGAAACTGTCAAACTTTTCTCAAAGCTTAAGGGTTATTTTGTATAGCATGGTTACTTTTTTTTCAAACTTATCAGACAGTAAAATATTGTATTTTAATATATTTGAATACCTTTATTTCTTACTAAGGCCATCATACTTATAGGCAAGTTAATTATAATCTTGATTTTGCATTGAATTATATATTTCACATTAGGTCATTTCACCTAACTTTTTTTCCTTTGTACCTTAACGTTAAACAGGCTTTTATGTTAAATATCACTTTTTTTTTTAGCTGTGATGGATCAAGTGCAATGGACAACACCAAACAAAAATCAATTCAAGTGCCATAGCTCTGTGTTGAAGAGTCCTATAATTCATAAAACACCAGTGAGACAAAATGAAATAAGATATAGGCAATCTACATATCAAAATAGTATGGGTGGTATTACTGTTTTACCAAGCCATATTACACCCCCATCTGGATTAACAAAATTTATAGCTAGAAATCCATTTGAATCAGATCTAACAAATAGATTACATTTATCTATGATAAGTCCAACAGTATTTAATCAGGTATATTATTACATTATAATAAATTCTTTTGGATGAAAAAATAATATTCAAATGAACTACTGTTTCAGGTGTCTAACTCTTCTAGAGATTCTTGTGGTTTTGCATGGAGTGTAGAAGATTTGGCTCTGTTACATCCAGCACGAATAGATGAATCGCCTATGCAACAAATACATTGTACAGATCCTGAAATTGAATTGGAGGCTCAAGCAGCCATTAATAAGTTCTTTAATGCACCTCAAATTATCCCTAGTCCTTGGGATGCTAAAAGAAAAGAGAGTACAAAAATACTGAATTGTAACAGCCCTACATGTCCTGTTGACAACTTAAATACAACTACAGAATCTCAAAAATCCAAAAATGAATGTATGGGTTAACATATCTGCATATCTAAATATGCCTAGAAACATTTTTATATAATGCTAATTATGTTTAGGCTGGACCCAGACAATACTATCCCTTCCACCAAAACTACCCAAAGAAGTAGAAGATGTCTTAAAAGGTTATTTTACGTTCACGCAGGTACTGTGTATACTATATTATTTGCTATATTGACTTTGAAGAATAGCAATATTAATGTTCAGTTACTTATTTAATGAAATGATGTAAACAGGAGCAAAATATGGAAAATGAGGAAGCTAACTCAAGCAATAGTTCTTTAAGAAGGAAACTATTTTTCAATCATGACGATTATGCTGAAGATGATGATGCAAGTTCAATATCTTTATCATCAGTAAAGTCAAGTGATTCAAATGGTATTATTTGTAGTCCTCTACAAAGTGGAATGCGAATTGACGGCAGTTTAGTAGGGGTAAGACAACTACATTTTATTTCTCGTATTGATTAAAAAACTAGCTAACACATCATAATATTCTAATCTTTTTCAGCGATGTTCACAAAAAATGCAACGTAATTCACCGATACCAAATTCAGGAAATATATCACCACCGAATTTGTCTCCTATTAATGATAATAGTGAAGCTCGATCTAAGCAAGGAACACCATTGGCACTTCTGAGAAGTATATCACCACTCAATATGTCTCCTATTAGTAACAATGCTAGCAATATGTCTTGCCAAAGTATCAAATATCGTCCTCGATCTGTCACTCGTTTGGACTTCACTGCCGATATGAGTATAGAGAATTCTATTTGCGAGGAAAACAAGATAATTAGAGCGCACAAGATTGATCCATCCATACTCACCGTAAAAACTTCTCTTAGTGAGTACCATTATATGTACTTTTTAACACTATGGTGTGTTTACTAAAAAATTTACATATTTCAACATTTAATGGTGTTAAGGTACATCTGTTGTCACAGCTGTTGAAGAACCTATTCAAGTACAAAATGATGGTAAAATTTCAAACTCACAATTGGATGCTAAAAGTACAAAAACGAATGATACTGTGGAGATGGTAACTCTGTCAGAAGAAACGACTCCAGTTAAAAAAAATCTGGAACATAAAAATCGTGTAACTGTTGATCAGAATTTTGAAATTGTAAATAGATTAAAATTTGCAGCAGATTGGTATAAAAGCCACTCTAATGAAAGTTGTACATTTCAACATAGTAATACGTTTTCTGGTACGTCTGCTCAACAGAGTACATCTAACATTGCTCAAGACACTGGTTATCAAACTAATAGTACTTACAACACTACAAGTCTTATTGATAGTTGTAGTATTACTCCAGTTAAACAAAAAGGTTACTGGGATGAACGTGGTTTACCGTGTGATGATGATATGCAATTGTCTGATTGGAAGAAAAATTCTAAACATATCTTTAGCTCTACTCCTTCGAAATACGTACGAAGAAGAGATCATTGAGTGATTACTGTGATGGATTTATGCTTTTCGAAAAAAATTTGTAGAATATTTGATGACTGCGAAACATTCTGTTTTATGACGCATATACTTAGAATATTGTAGTTTATTATTTTTTATGCAACTATTATATATAGATATATATACCAGAAATGTATTCAGACTTAACATAGGCGACAAGTGAAATCTCATTGATTTTCTTAGCTAAAAAATATACAGGATATATGAATGACAATGCTTGCAGTATCCGATGAGATAAATTGAAATTGTATCAATTTTGTAGTAACGATAATTAATACTTTTTCTATTTTAGATAAATGAATTAGAATGCGTGATTGAGAAGGGCATTGTTGTTGATCATCTTTTATACATAAAAGCCCTTCGATATTTCTTTAGTATAGTACAACAAACTATCATTAAGCTATACAGTTCCTTCTCATTCATGAATAAGGATCTCATTCCTTTGGCGTAAAAATCATGTAACTATTAATTTTACTGCGACAATATTAAGTTAAAAACGAAGATTTGATCGCTGCGCCTAAGAAGCTTAATATTTTAATATACAAATTAGTCGTCAATGTAGAACAAACTGGCTGTTAAACATCATCTCACATTCATCTTTATACGCTGGTTAAAAAGTTCCGCTATGTATTAACTGAAGCAAGACTGAAATTGTTCGTGACTACAATATACAACTATATTACATGAATTTAGAATATACAAGTTTTATACAAATAAAAGTTGGGCTGTTTGGAATTTATGCATTTATTCGTTTTCCGGAAAGAGGAGTGGGAGCAGTTTCCGGAATATCTGGTAGAAGCCAGTGGCAGCTGCGCAGTAGATGGCGATTGAATCTGTGTGATTATGACGTTGATACTTCTGTTTGTACAACGTACATCTTCCAGACTTTTAATCAAAGTGCTTCGATTTATCGGAATATAAAAGTGATGATTCTTCATTTCGAAGACAGTACTGTAAAGGTAAAAACAATATTCTTCGTTTCCTCTTTTGGCGTAGCTTGACGCTATATTCACGTTGCGTCAAATCGTACGCAATCTTACAGTACTTATTCGTTTCTTCTACTGCTGATTTGTCTAACTGTACATTCCTTACAACTATATTCTATTCAACTACAAGATATTCAACATTTTTTAAACATCAATCTGATTTTATTTATTTATATGGTCTCCAAGATATACTGTTACTGTATACCGCATGACACACCATGTGGGCTACTGTAATATGGATCTTTCCTGTAAATATGAATTAAGTTTACAAATTCTTAAAAATTAATTGTCTTGCAATATTCACGTCCGTTTCCTATTTCTTAATAATGTTAACATGTGGATCAAAATAGTTAGACATGATTGTGTATTAAGACTTGTAAATAGGATTGTTGAAGACAGAACCTACTTTTAGTATTATGAAAATTAAGAAGTTTTTATCAATTCATTGGGATTATCTTATAGCTTGCTAATAGCAGTGAGTTGACAAGCAATATGTATTAATGTATTTTTTAATTCCTACTTCTTAGTTGTCAACTGCTTATATTGTTGGCTATTTTTAACATTTATCTGTTTGTTCTCATTTGCAGATTTTTCTGTTTTTATCGAAAAATGTCAGAGACTACAGAGAAAACCAGTGAACGGATTAATATTGTTATACCACAGCAAGGTTTTTTATACAGTGAAAATAAACCACACTACATATTGTGTAAACCAAAGTTAATGCCATTGAAGTCTGTCACATTAGAAAAATTAGAAAAAATGCAAAAAGATGCTGAAATGAAGATGAAAGAAATGCAAAAGGATGACTGAATGACTAGCTAAGATGAATAAGGATGTTTAACTAATGTTATGAACTTATTGCCTATCCTTCTATATTTTGTTTGAGATAAAAGAAATACCAAAATGAGTCTTGGACCACTTTTATCAGAAGTCATATTTGCCTTCTGTCTTGCAGCAACTTTGTTATATAAATATGGAAATGTTTTTCGCCACCACATTATTGTCACAATTTCTGTGCTAATTGCATGGTACTTCTCACTGCTGATCATATTTGTTCTACCTTTAGACGTTTCTTCGGTGAGTTTTTAAAAAATATTTCTGTGAAAAATATGCTGCAACCGATTAGTTTGCATTTATCGACGGACAATATGTTACTTTTTTTTCATTTAGACTGTATATCGGCAATGTATGGAACAGTATATTCATAATACATCCATTATTGATAATACAACTGTTGGACCACCAATTGTCTGTCAAGAACCATGGTCAAGTGTACCTGATAATGTTTTCCCAAATTTATGGCGAATTGTATACTGGACATCACAATGTCTCACATGGCTTATACTTCCTCTAATGCAATCATATATAAAGGCAGGGGATTTCACTGTACAAGGAAAATTGAAATCTGCTTTAATTGACAATGCAATTTATTATGGAAGTTATTTGTTCATATGTGGAATTCTGCTAATATACATCGCATTGAAACCTGAACTGGATCTTGATGGGTGAGTGTACCAACCTAATGATATCTCAACATTACAATACTGTGATATACGCACAATATTTTTTAAATATTAATCAGCTGTGATTTTGTACTATTATATCCAATGCAATTTAGTATATCATATACAGATATTATTTACGTTGGTGGTAAATGACATGAATTTTGTGATGTCACATTCAAACCTAGAATTATTAAGAAATCTCGCACAAAAAAATTAACAGGTACGATGACCTTCATGTTGAGTCAAATGATTTTCGTGTTTTCCTTATAACTCTAAGTAATATTTATTCATGCAAATTTGACGGTTTCATATTTTTAACATCAATGAGTACTTACTTAAATTACTTATCACATTGTCATGTATAAACCTTTTGTTGGTTCATTTGGTGGATGTTATTAAGTGGTCAATGACTATATTCAGGATAGGTGATGATCAATTATCATAGTTATCGCTATATTAGCACATCGTTCATTACCGTCCTCACAACCTATATCATGGAAGGACTCAAAATTCCACAGTCATTTTCAAGGAATACTTTTACGCGAATCTTATCGTATATAAATCTTTAACGAAATGATATTATTAAAGAGAAATATTGTTTTATTTTTTACATTTTGTATAGTAGCTCTATCAAAGCAAAGGTCACTTTATACAGATAGTGAAACTACACGTTATACAAATGCAGCATTAACATTCAATTCTACGTTCAGTGTTTTTCAACTTAATCTTACAACATCCACAGAACTTCCTAAATCAAACGTGTCTTTAAATAAGTCTTTTGTTGAATTGGCAACAGACAATCTTACAAAAAGTGAAACAGTGAACCCAGTGAAAAATATAATATTTACAACTGAAGAGTCGTTAAATGATGATAGTGCTACAACTTCAACAGTTTCAAACACAGTAATTAATATTTCTGGAGGTACTTCTTCAGTTCTGTCAAACATTGTTATTCCTGTCATCGAAAATGTCACCTCCATGGATTCTACAATAAAAGAACTAAAAGATACCACAACAGAACACGAAACAATTCTACAATCAGATGCAGTTAAATCTTCTGTTCATCAGAAAAAGATAATATCTTCTCCATTGGATCAACCTACCGATTCAACAATTAAAGAAGAGTATTCAGACGCTGAATTATTAGTAATTCCTTTGAATAATGAAGATTCATCTACTGCAAAAAAGTTAGCTGCTGCATATTCTGATACAGTTGAAAGAATTGTGCAAACGAGAACGGTAGAAGAAACTTTACCAGCAGTAAGCACAGATGTGATACTTGATATAGTATCTACCGTATCATATCCAAGTGTTGTAAATCTTGAAACTAAAATTAGCCCTATTCCTCTTTCGGCGACAAGAATTGAGTACTCAATTAATTCACCTAAAATATACACAGAACAGTCAACATTATCACATATGGAATTAAGCAGCAATGAAGATGTTACTTCTCCGCTGTTCGTTCAATTTGCCGCTGAAAATGGACTTACAAATACTCCAAGCTCTCCTATACATATTTTAGATAATACAGAATCACTACCAACCACCATTTCTACTTTTAGCTCAAATGAAACTCCTTTGGATGGTATTGCAATAAGTGACTCTCCAATCCCGACTAATCCATCATCCCCCTACGTTACAACTCCTGTTCAGATAAATGATAATATTAAAGAAATTGTTGATTATGCCATTAGTGCAACCACGATCAGTAGCAAAGCAGAGGAATCTGAATTACTTATAGCTGCAGCATCCGTTGGCGTCGTACAGTCAAACCATGAAGAAACTATTTCAGAAAGACTAATCGATACAACTACTACAGAACCTATGAAGGAAACGGACACTTTATTAATCTCATTAGCTTCTGCAAATCCACTAAATAGTACTGAGAACACTTTAAAGGAAAAATCGACGCTACACGAGTTGACTGATTCGATCCAGCTTTCAACAACATCAGAACCACATTCAATTGCTAGAACAACGTCTTCTACAGTTGACACAATTCATGTATCAATAGATGATATTATCTTTGATCCCAGTATTATTTTAGCAAAGAGAAGTCTTCAACGTCCATTATTTATCAAGAAACAAGTTGATGCAGTTGCGGATGAGAACGTCTTAGAGAAAAAGAATATTAATCGGTATGCCATTGAGTAAATCATAATATGTATTCGTTTGTTTGTCCAGATATAATAAAGAATAATAGACACATTAAAGCAACCTTGTAATACTTTTATTCGAAAAACCTTATTATAGAAGAGCCGTACATCCTATTCCACTAAGTATTCCGAATGATCATCTGCGACCTGACGAAGAAGAAGGATCAAGAACTAAAAGAGACAATGAAGAAAATTACGATTTGGATACGGCTGACAATTTTTATTGGTGTAATTGGATATCATCTGGAAATGAATTAAAGTGGCACCACAATGCCCGCTCTTATAATTACAGAACCGATTATCATAGATCCCCACCCTTTAAGCTTATTCCTGTATTCTCTGGTTAAAAATTTATATTAAGTAAATCATTACTAACTTAATTTTAGATATTGAAAAATGATGTACATTATTTTATTTAAATAAATATTTCAATATCTATAAAGTATCGCGTATTGTTGATTTGATGTATCCTCACTTTAACGTATAATATGTGTATATGAATATTGAAATATTTATATAAAAAATTACCATATTTAATTTTCAGTCAAAAATTAAAAGCTATAGCGTCATCAGCCTCGAATACATGGGGATTATTTCTTCTGGTTCTTCTTCTTGGCTATGCTCTTGTGGAAGTACCGCGTGGCCTATGGAATGCTAGCAAACCTGGATATACTTTGCATTATAGTTATTTCAAGGCAGCCAAACTAAGCTTAGATAAGTGTGAAGCGGAAGAAGCAGTCGATGACATACTTGAGGTATGTACACACTTGCTAAATCAACTAAAATGAACTATATATGTTGTTTACTAGATATCACTCTATTGTAATGGAATATTGTTTAATGTTGTAATTTTAGTCATTACAAGCAGCATCTATGGCTATCGGACCAGGTCATCCGTTTCACAGAAATTTGGAAACTATATTCCAAAAAGTACCAGCTGAATTGAAAGATAGAATGAACAGAAAACAATTGCCTGATGATACTCCAATTGATATTCCATCCGAAAAAGCTTTAATTCGACTACATAGACAAGTTGGTTTCAAAAGCAAACAAAATTAATATTAACATAATGGTACAATTTAGAAAAAATCTTTTACATGATATTCAACATTGTATTTCAGACTATAAAGTCATTGCAAACCTTGCAACGAACGGAGACACAGTGGGGTATTTTAATAGAGAAAATATTCAACTTGGAAGACGTTGCGAAAAATCAAGCTAGTCACGATAAGAGATTTAAACCAACTTTTCCGGTTATGCGACCATTTCCATTACGTTTAATTTATAATTCAACAATTGGTACGAGATTTTTATCTTTACATCAGATAATATTGATCATTTAGTTATGGATACATCTATTACCATTACATTTTTTTTAGAATGGTATTGGAAGTGCATTGTTAAAAGTTATGTTCAAAAACTCGCTGCTATCGCTGCTGGTTCGCTGTCAGTAGCTGTTGTCTGGTCTGAAGTAACTTTCTTTAATAAATCACCGGTACTATCATTGTTTGCTCAATTTGTGAACTTAGCTAAAGTAAAATACGATTATTTTACCATCGAGGTAAGGAAACATTGTTATTTGTACGATATCTTAAATAATTCTGAACTGCTTCTATTAATAACGACGTCTTTCTGACAGGTCCTGTCGACATTGATTATTGCTTATTTATGTTACTGTGCTTATTCCACGGTTCTCAAAATTCGTGTATTGAATTTATATTACTTAGCACCGCATCATCAAACTAATGAATACAGTTTGATATTCAGCGGTATGATGCTGTGTCGACTTACTCCACCTATGTGTCTTAATTTTCTGGGCCTGATTCACATGGACTCGCATATTATAAAAACTCACATTCTAGAAACACATTATACTCAGGTAAAGTCATTTTGTTACATCAAAGTAGCTATTGGTGTTTAGTATCTTTTTATATAGAAAGTTATGTTAAATTTTCTTTTCATTACAGGTAATGGGACACATGGATGTCATATCGATAATATCCGATGGATTTAATGTCTACTTCCCTATGGCCATCCTAGCTTTTTGCTTAGCAACGTACTTTAGTTTAGGTAGTAGATTACTCTCTATGCTTGGCTTTCAACAATTTCTGGGTGACGATGAACTTACGACAGACCTTGTTGAAGAAGGTCGAGAGCTAATTAAACGAGGTGAGGTTTACTGAAGGATCATAATTTCTATATTTATTTAATACAATATTCCTCATCGTCACGAATCTGCTGTTTCAGAGAGACGTAAACGTCAAAGAGCGGAAGATTCCACGAGCAGGAAACGCGAACTTCAAGAACGGTTTAATAATGTGGGAAATATATCCAGATACAGAACAGCCAGACAGAGTACAGATACTGGTATGTAAACGCTATTTTAAAATATTTTTTTTCAATTTTAATTACGCTTTATTTTTAATAACTTTACTGCAGTACGGCCTTTGCGAAGAGACGATTCTACAGAATCCGCGAGAGCGGGTCTTTTGCGCGATGTCGATCCAACCGATTACTACGTTGGTACGACTGTGGCAAATGATAGTTACGGTGCAAGCAGTCGTTTTGATCATGGCTATCAATCTGATGATTTCTTCGATTTAAATACAGATAATTTAAGAACATTCACAAGTACGACTCGTGTAGGACCACCTCCTCGGGGATTATTCGACGACATCTAAACGCGAATAATTTCTTTTTTAATTACTATTTATTATTATTTATAATTTTTCCTTGTCAAGCTATCGGGGTCGCAGCAACAATATAGTATACAACATTTTTTAAAAGTATTTCTTCAAATGAAGCGTAGCATAAGTACTATTGATATAAATTGAGTATTAAATAGTATCAACGTTGCAGTTGTGTACTCTTATGATACATATGGATATTGTAAAGGTTGAATTTTAGTATAGCGAATAGCATTTTTATCATGGTGCTAAATGTAATAAAATTTTCATAGTTACTACCCTTTTAATGATTAGGACAGTGTTCGATCAGCGTAGCCATATCGCATCTACGTAAATCGAAGTTAAGAGAAGGAAGAAGAGTAGCACACGTTTCCTTCCTTAATCTTTGTATTATCGTCGATACCTAAATATGGTCAACAAGTATTCGGAAAATCATGTATCGCGGTAGTTAGGAATGCAGTGAATGATAGTTTTTGTAAAAAATAAATTCAAGTACTGTTTAATAATACTTAAATAGATGCTTCTTTAAAATATGATCACAGTGATATTTATGCATTCTACGTATAGACAATTACTGTCGGTTTAGGACTTCAACATTTTTTTTGACAGTTTGCAAAAAATATAATCCTTAGAAAATTGCACGTAGCTGCCAATAAAATCACGGTAATATATGATAAGTTAGACACGTAAAATATGTTTGTGTGTAAAACCATTCCCAATGCATGGTCTATAACAAAAATTGTATACAAAATCACGTGTAGCTTACCTGAAACTGACTTTATTGAAATTGTGGACCCACTGTAGTTAACAATACTATGATACTGTCGAACAAGATGTATTTATTTATTGCATTGATTAATCTGTATATATTCTTGTTTATGTTTCGTCCATCGTTCTAAAATATTAATTTCAATATAAATATATTATTATCAGTCATTTTGTTGAGTAATATTATTAATTATGTCATATTTTATGGATGGTATGGTGTAACCAATGAATAATAAAAAAATACACATATTTCTAAACACTTTAATTGCGAAGTAGAGCATATGTTTTCATATAATTGAAGTATCTCATGTACTATAATTTCATTACCAAATTCATTATCTGATATTTATAAATAATAACAAACCACATACAAAATAAACATGTTCGAAATTATAGATTAGGAATAACTTGACAAATATTAGTAAAAAATTTTTAACGAATGTACGTTTACTAAGAAATGAACATCTTGTTAACATATGAAGTGGCACAATTAAAGTAATCCAAAATCACTGTTTGACAGTAAAAATATAACTAACCATTGATCAATAGCAATTTAGTAGAATATATCATATAGCATGGAAGCTCTGCTACTTTTGTGCAAGCTATTATTGATTTGTTATTACAAATAAATTTATCAAAAATTGTTTAATATATTATTGCATTATTTACTGTATTTATACTCATTTCATTTCTCTTTTATATTTATGTAGTCCGAAATTGTACAATATGGAAAAATAGTTATCATTTAGCTCTAGTCCTACTAACCCATGGGAGAAAAAACAATTGAAATCAGTGTAGTGCGATTTTACGTACGAGTCTTGTAACGTTGTGTTGTGTAAAGTATTTAAGTTATATATTATTTAGTTATGATCGAAGTAATTTATAAAACTTTCTTATGTAAAGCCAAATTCAAGCGATATATCATACAATATAAAAAAAAACAATACGTAATAAATATCGAATTATACTACAATCAATTCATTAAAGATTCTACTACGATTTGAATTACTATCTGATATACACGCTGTTGACAAAATTGTTTGAATTTGACTCTTCATTCGTAACATAAGCTAAACAAACTACATATAATTTCACTAATGTATACGATGGAATCAAAAATAATAATCGCAATTACAAATTACAAACGGATGTGATTCATTATACACATAATCTTTAAAAGCTTCACTAAATAAGAATCACTAAACAACATGCGATTTATAGATTATAGAAACGTAACTGTCGACTATATTAGAATACCCAAAACCATATAACATTATTAACATAGAACACAGTCTTGACAATTATTGCTGGCAGTTTAAACTTTATGAATGAGTAATATATATTTGGCAAAAAAGCTTTTAAAACAATGGGCAAATTAATAAACTTATTACCACATAAGTGGAGTTCATACAATTTGCATTTTAATGCACAAAACAAGAATGTTGTGCGATCTATCTAAATTGAGTCACAACGTTGCCACAATGATCCAGTCGTATAAATATCTTCAAGTAAAATAGACTATGTAAAATGTAATAATCGCCAAGAGAAAAAATGCCAATGTGTAGGCAATCAACATTCGAACTATTTTTTTATGCTCTGCATGCGACATGCGACTTTTCATATGTTCCTGTGGAGAACTAGTAAGATCCGGCATTAAGAGCAACGGTTCGAGTAATAATAAGCTTGATCTATTAGGATGAGATTCAATGATTGATAGAGGAAGTTCATTTTGCTTTGAATTGCGCAATTTAACTATATCATTGCGATAATTCATCCAATTGTGCAAATCTGCTTCGTAGCCGACACTTTTGATTGAATGTAAAATATTGTCTTGATTAATTTCAAAAATCATGGGCGTGAACCCAGTTTTGGAAATGCGGCGATAATAATTATTTGTATTACGGTGAAATAATTGCGTATTCGCAATACCACTGAACGTATTGTTTATAAGATGAATAGTTGGTTCCAATGTTGATTTCAAATCAAAGACGTCTTGGAATTCCAAATTAGAATAAAGTATCCCTGACGCGTTAGTTTTGATCAAGTTAGAAATTGGCATATAGCTTTCATTTCTGTGATAATACAAACGTTCCCTGTTTTTTAAACTATTCGACTGTATATTATATTTGAAGTATAACGAATCTTCATACTGAATTAGAATTGCTTCTTTAGCATACAGTGGTTTCTTGAAATATATCAAACGGTCACTGTACACCGGGCTAATCTGCAATATGGCGCACTCTTTGCAAATTCGATGTCTTGGAAGAAATAACGTATCTATTAAGGTCTTGGCTGTAGTTGGACTATACTTTTCATAGTAGTCTAGAATATCGTACTTAGCATTTCGTGAATCTTTGTCTACACCTATTTCCTCATAAAGATGATCAAATGAATGTGAGTTATTAATATCAGAGTGCACATGAATTTCAAAATCAGGATACTGATAAGCTTTTGTCAATAATGCCTCCATGCTACTTTTTCCATCGGCACTTATCATATCTTTACTATCAAATTTACCTTTAACTCTATCGGTTTGTCTGTTGGAATAATTTGCACTAACATCGCTGCCATATATAAACTGTGCCGCTCTATGTATATGAGCATTTGTTATTGCAGAAAAATCTGTTACGTTTGATATGGGCCGAATGGTCTCTAAATCATTGGAATTGTCAGAAAATGTAATTCGATTTGTTATTCGTTGTTCATCTCGGTATTCTGTTACCAGTTGGTTGCATGAAGGTGATATAGGGGTGTTTTCATATGCAGAAATGACATCTACGTTTATCGTGTTACGTGTTGGTGCATCATTTAAATCTACATGTGGAGTAACGTATGCGTGTGTCTCCATGCATTGTGTAGCGGGTGCATCTTCATCAGTACATAGGCTCTCTCGACTGGCTTTATGTCTAATGGTACGTTCCCTTTCTAATCTCAAATATTCTAAGTGTAAATAGCGGTGGTGAACACACGCAAAATTATATCAGTTCACTGGCTTTTCATTTTCGGTCTGCAATTCCCGTTTCAGTTTGTCCAATTCGTAAAGGACCTGAAATCAGGGATCGCTCAATTATTCCATATTCTTTTTTTTATATAATAGTCTACTATATAATATTCTACAATTACTTTTAGTTTTCTCAGATAATTTTAATGACAACGTACCTCGAATATAGCGGATGCACTCCATGCTTGGGTACGACAACTGTCGCGGCAGTATTCACCGTCCTTGTTGGTGAGTTCTGGTAAACCTCGCCAATGATTTGTTGATGCCTCAATTAAGTGCCGTGAAATAATCTGTTCAGTGGATTCAATTGTACGACGCAACTCCTCGACACCTCCGACCAAACGTGAAAAATGTAGGCGAGCCCTCAAGAAGTATCCGATTGGCCATAACCATTCCTGAACAATATAATAGCTTGTTTTTTAAAGTTCCATTCGAAAGGATATTATAATATTCTGTTAACGGACTTACTGGCCCTTGATGATAATTCCAGCCGTGTGCCAATTTCGTATCATTGCTGTCATTAGAATTATCATAATACCCATTGTAAGCCCAATCAGCCGGATCCAAAGTTTTCATACCAAGTGGGCCCAACAATATTTCCTCTGCATTTTTCAAAGCAGTCCATGCATGTTGTGGATTAAATAATTCCGGTGCCTATTTGAAATTTGCACAAATTATATACACCAATGTGCAGAAACCTTGTACCATTATTTAAATATTTGGATATTACTCACGGCTATCATAGCGACTGGGAAATTAGGACGCAGTTGATAATCAGCCCAAGGTTGGGTTGCTCCATGACTGTCTTTAATAATACCACGACGATGAATAAGTTCTGGTGTCAGTTCTCCGTCTGTTGGTTTTTCATTAACGTAAAAATACTTTTCGAAGTTTGCAGCTATTTTGTCTGCCCATTGTTTATAACTCCAAATGACCTCCGTTCCTGTATTCAGTAAACAAATTCGGATATTATATGTTACGGAATTGACATATCGATATTGTGAATAATAATAATTTACCATCTCGATTTTTTCTTTGGACACTGCCATAGGGAAACAGATTTTGCTTATATAATTCTGCCAAGAAACTAAGGACACTCTTGCTCAGTCCTACAATTTCCACTGCAGAACCGTCCCTAGGCGTTGCCGGCTTTCCTTTATTTCCCGCTTTCTCAGATGAACCCATTTTGTCCATCCAGGTTCCACAGTTGGCGTCATTTCCACCAAAAACAAAACCGGTTTCAGGATGCACACCGATTTGATTATTAAAACCACGATCCGTCATGTGTTCATCGATTTGCTTTCCAGCATTTCTTTCTCTGAAGCATAGACCTTGAAAATGCACTGTCAGTGCTTCTTGTATAACATCATGTAATGGCTGATCCTAGGAACATTCGAAATATCATTATTATTTAATACATCAAAGAAATTGCCTAATTTCACGCAAATTATCATGTAAATCTTTTACTACATACCACTTGTCCAGCTGGCAGTGGAGGAGAATCATCAGTCGGATAAAGTCGGGAAACTTTATCGGATAAGATTTTTATACCCTCTGGAATTTCCTGGATATAATTTTGAATGGTGTATAACCACCACCAAATTGCATCACGGCAATTGTATCTACAGTGACAATATTCGACGAATAAGCAATTTGGAAAATATTATTTTTCGATATCAAGAAGTCAGCTTGTCAGACTTACCGTGCACACTTTCCCTTATCTAAGAGATTTGGGATTAGGCCGTGTCTCAAAGTTCCAGCATAGCCAAGAATAATGAATCTGGCTTCCTCATACCTCCCAGTCAAGAGGAAGAGTCCCCTAAGGGCAATGAAAGTGTCTCTTCCCCAATTTCTCATATATCCAGTTGCGAAGTGAGGCAGACCCGCGGAAAGCGTAAGACATTCCTGGATCTTTTTTCCATCGATTTCTTTAATTTTTGGCTTAGGCGGATCCAAATTTGGTGATAAATCTGGCAGTTGAGAAGAATGTACTATGCTTCCCGTTTGGACACTTACTAAGGCTAATAACTTGACGAATGTGGATCCATCTTTCACAAAGCTAAAGAATATCCATGGGTTTAGAAATATATGTGTTAGAAGAAAATATATATAATCTTGTAATGACTTACTTTGACATCAGACTGTAACATTGTTCCAGTAAAGCGATATAAACGTTTACAATTATTACATCGAAATAACTTGGGACCAAATAACGAGGAAGAATTTTAAATGGTTCTGCATTTTGCTCGATCCATTCTCCCAAGGCTGCCGTACCTTCATCGGATTTCAAACGCTGCCAGACATAATCTACGTATATAACATAAATTTAAAATAAGACAATCAATGAAGGTTTAAATAATTGCACAATTAATTAAAATCGTTCAGCCATACCTATCAACCAATTTCCCTGGCGAAGATTGACACATAATGGGTGACCCAAATCATTATTTGGCCGAATGTCCGCCAGCAAAGATATCACGCCTAAAAATAAATGTATTATCAAGAAACAGTTATAAAATATCGATTAGTTTAGAAGAAAAAAAGTAGAATACCCTGAAGTCCCGCGTAAACGAGGGGGCCATATCCAGGAATGTTGTAAACGCCAACGCGATTAGAAGTTTCATCACGTTCTTCCTGGTCGCAACGATAAAGAGCTTTGTTCAAATCCGCTAATTCCATACGAGAAATGATAACACGTAACTCTGAGCTCTTTGAAGATGTAATGGTTGCTATGGTACCGTGTAATTTTGCAAGAGCTGGTTTTATATTGACGTGGACAGAGACGCTATTATTGAATAAAAAATAATATTAAACAATTTAATTGATAACGTAGAATTAAACAAAAATATACCAAATTTCACCTACCGAATGGCTACTATAGATCCTGGTTGGAAGTTCGTGAAATTGAGTTGCGTAATTTTCGGATCTCCCGAATCAACTTTTTCGAAAATAGTGGAGTCGCAAAGTTGAATGTGTTCTTTAAGACTTAAAATATATTCGGACATGCCATTGATAACGTTGTCATCTTGGGCATACTTTTCAGGAAGGTGGAAAGGTGATGTACCGTTTCTGGAGAAATATATAATGTTAATGAAATTTAACGTCATTTGTCTCTAGACAATTTGTACGCAAAAAATTGATACCATTTCTTAAAACTTACTTAACGCCCTCATGAGAAAGCGATGCTTCCAAAATAATTTCTTCGACAACTCCTTCGACTCGTAAAGGCTTTACATATCTCCTCAAGTCATTGGCATTCGGATCAGGATGTTTGAATGCAGTAAATGCCACCAAAATAACACTTTCATGAGTAGTTGGTGAATGTCTTGTCACTGCTACAATATCCGGATCCATTTGATCCACAAATACCTAAATTAAATATATAATTCTTATGCAAACCTATTAGCGTATTGCATTAACAAAATTTGAATAATTTACCTGAGAAAACTTTTGTCGACCAAGATTATAATGCAATTCATTCAATGCTTTTTTAGCTGCAATTATACCACTATTAGAACTGACATAATTAACATCATTTTTTGCAAGATCTTCATCATCAGTCCAAGAAGTATATTCTCTAGTTTCATCCACGACATGAATCTAGAAATTATGAAACGCAAAATCAGGGCATTTGAGTTTTAAAATAACACTGAAAATTAATAATCCTTAAGATCAGCAGTACTAACATGATGAGGCACAAGTTCATCATATCCACGATTGCTCCCACTGGCACAGCATGCCATAGATACTAAAGCTGCACTTGGAAGTAAATCAAATGAGCTGCGCTTTTCCACTGGACTAGGATTATCATGAGTTAAATCAAGGAAAAGTGCGTGAGCTATGCTCGGCACTAATGGTCGCTGAGAAGCCTGAATAAAAGCTCCAACAGGTTCTCCACCATAACGATAAACCAAACGTCCTTCTTCGTGGCTATCCCATGCTGACATGGCCTCTGTAAACATTAATAAAATTATAAAACTTCCGTATGTCACAATATTCCGATTAATAACATACCACGTATAAGGGATGTAATTCCAAGACGATTAACAAAAATGTTATCCTTTTGATCCGAATTGGTGAACAATTCTGCTACGACGTACAAGTCAGGTCGTACTCGGCGTGCTGCATCCAACATATACTGTAACAAATTTTATTTTCAACATTTTGCATATTCTGTAACAATGCAAATCGATCAAACAAAATATATACCTCAGCAATTGGAATTGGAGTCGAATGGCAATTGTCTAATCGTATGCCGTCAAATATCTTAGCCATTTGTTCCACATACGCGGTCATATGCTGCCATAGGAATGGAGAATCTTCTGGTTTATCTCCAAATCTAACGGGTATGATTTTAATGTTTATTCGTAATCCCATAATGAATAAATATATTATCTACCTTAATTTTACACTGTCTCCCCAGGCGATAAGTTCTCTTCGTACATAGACATTGGAATCTGGATCTGCAAAATTTTTCAAGGGATCACTGTTCATTACCCAGCCGTTATGTGCCATAAGATAACAGCCCATTTCCGAATACATAATAGCTTCTCTTTCTGCTAAAGATCTGGGAGCTCCGTAATCCGTAAAATATCTATAAAAGAATATTGACATACAATTTTGATTCCGTATGAAAAATTTAGAATATAGAATCATCCTTAAAACGTACCTGGGTAAAAGAGGATTTCTTTCGCTCACTTCCTTTTGTCTGGGACCATCAGGCTGAACTCTGAAGTAACGAATTCCAGCAATAGAATTTTCGACGGCAGCATTAAGATTATTTTGGACTTCGTTAATAATCTCAGTATTTAATTCATGAAGTTTTATTCTCAAATCCTCAGCACAACGCTTCAAGCGTGTCTCTTCGTCGAAACAATCGGCTCTGCAATATATGAAGAAATTTGTCAGCCGAATTTATTATTACATCTAATATAGTGATGCTATGTACCTGTAGACATTATAAATTTGTAAGGCCAATTGCATATCAATAGTGGCTCTTAGGCGGCGAAATTGCGGATCTCCTATCACGACAATAGTTTCCTCTGAAGTCTTTGTACTAACATCTTGAGGCATTTGATTACGTGCAAGGTTTAAAAATTCTGCTATAATTTCATTAATATCTGTGACGTAGAGTTCATGAAGTTTAATCAGCGGCAAGAAGTGACTGTGTAGAGCATGACGAATCGACTGTAAATAAATCATTGAGTTTTAATTCGTGTTAATATATGTGTTTATATATAAAATATGTGTTATAATTACATTTAAATGCTCTTCAGTCTCTACCACTGTAGGGATTCCCTTGAATTCCCATTCACCAGCGGCTACTTGTACAGTTAATTCAAATAAAGCTGCATCCAAAATATAAGCAGGGCGTAGATGAGGACTGTTCATAGAGTTGTAAGTACATTCTGGGTGTGCAATTAAGAAAGGACTCTCATTCGCTGTATGATTCAGAACAATATCACAAATACTTAACATCTGAAAAAAATTGTGTTCAGGCTTCCAGATATAATACACTTACACATTCATAAAAATCTTTACTTACATTCCATTCATTGTGCATTTTAGTTACGAATTCTTCAACGTCATCAAAGGTGGTTTCTTTGTCGTCATCACTGAACGAAGGATTTAATTTTAATTGATCGCTGAGACTATAGGATGATTTAGAAGCGCCAAGTTCCTGAAGTTGAAATATCATTAGTGATTTAAAATAATGATCAAACTTAAAACATTTGCAAGAAGTAAACTCACTTGTATTGGCGTAAAATGTATCATATTATACCCAGAATTGCGAGCAACGAGCAATTTATTTTCCCAGGTAGAAAAAGGTCCCAAACTTTTTGCTAAGACAGTTTGACATTGGATACAATCGAGTGGAATAATTTCACCGTTTGTACCTACACTCAATTGGGGATCCACCAACAGGTATCCAGAAGCGATGGATTTGGTGTTATTCTCTATACTACAATAATAGATAAAAAAAGAATATGTATCAATCTGTATTATTTACAATGCTTTTCCATAGTAATAAAATTTACCCGGTATCAGTTATGTAATAATGAAAGGATCCGGCAGCCGCTAGCTGTAAATTGGCCGATTCATTAGTCCATTGAAGTTGGTAATAAGTATGTCTTTCAAACGTTTGCCCATTTGGTGGATGATTTGTAAAAATATCAACGGTTCTTCCAAGCAAAGAGGGTCCAAGTCTGAACTGAATCTGAAAACCTATTAAAGTAAAGATGTAATGTGTATTACTGATATTAAATTTTTGTGTTAGCTTCTAATATAATATGTAATAGATTTTGCGTACCCTTCTTAACCCGATATAATGTTCCATCTTGATGCTCTCCATTATTTAAAGTAAGGACTCTCACTTGATCTGCACTTTGAGGCTCAACAGTTGAAGAATTACTGTTTGCCATATTGCCAATTATTGCCTGGAAGGAAAAATATAAACTGAATAATGATTTGTTTGTCTAATGCAATAATCATTCTAAATTTATGTCACCTTATCCATGAAGCACTCAAAACACTATACTTCATCTAATTTAAAAGGAATCAAAGATCAGAGATAATATTAACGTCTAATTCATTAATTTTATATATAGAAATTTATCAAAATGATAAGATTGTTTAATTCTTTTTGGAAGTCAAGACTGAAACAAATAGTACTATGAAGACGGTATCTTAGCACTGCTTTGGACTGGGTACTACAGATAGACCCTCAGCAAAGAAGATCTTGAGTACTTACATAGAAGAACTAGTAGACAACTGTCTACGTATGCAGGCTAATATAACTTATTGGTGCAATGTAACCACAAAGCGTGCAAAGAGGAGCTATATTATATTACTTAGTTCTGCTGCATAAACATACATAAAGCTGGTAGCTATTCTTACTCTACATTCTTGAATTACACTTTTGAATTCAAGTATGTTGAAATAACAGAATATTTCCGGCTGTACAATTTATTTACTCTAAAAGTTTCAACAGGTGTATAGACTATAGTCCAGTAGAAAATAAATCTCATCATGAGTGACTGAATATCATTTATCATGTTAATGAAACTTACAGAGGACCAGAGGAAGTTTAAGTAGCGGCATTTGTAAACCCTTGAAAATAATTTCTTCAATTTCGTGTAAATAGTTCTTGTTGACTTCCAAACACTCTTCTTTATTGCAACCATTATTTCCATTGCAGGGGGACACAAGATAAACTGTTACGCATTACCAAAATGTAATTTTAATATGTATGCACAGTGGGTTTTCAAGGACTTTTTACCTTATACCGATATTTTTGATATTTCTTTTAATATAGCAACATAGAATTCACCCTTTAACACCTATAACAAATGTAGTGATTCACGTTATAATGATTATTACATTTCTCTTTTTTTAATTGATATTTATGAAATAAGAACGAATTACATATGACACACTAAAATATAGAAATTACATCATTCACAGCGGACACAATAATGATATACTTATTAACAAAATAATAATTGTCAATTCAACCGTTATAGTTTAAGACAATTGTCAAATATTTTAGAGGTCAACTTTTCAAAATACAAGAAAGAAGAGACAGTATCAACCTTACAGTACAAGTACAAAGCATTCAGTACTCCATATCAAACCACACCACTGAGCAGAAAAAAAAAAATCGTGTTTGGAAGATCAAAGTATATAACATGTGATTACCATTAGCTGAACATGTGATATCAATCAGAATATATAAAATATTCAGCCACTGCCTGATTCTTATTATAAAAATGCAATTCTAATTTTATTTATTATTTCTAAATATTTATCAAATGTACATACTAATAATAAAGGTCACTAGATAATATTTGGTAAATATTGTGAATTTTTATTCTTAATACGTACTCTTTATTCATGCCTTTCCTTTTTTTATGTTATAAATATATTATTTATTGAAAAAATAGACTAACAAGTATTATTTATTAAACATTTGTTTAATATTTAAAAAATATTCCAATTGAAGTAAGGCAACTCAAAGTTTACTAAGGTTCCATGATTTTTATACCATTTCTCTTGAAAAACAGAGAACTTAAATAGAACAGATAAACTGTAAATATTAACTTATCAATTGACTTGATGGTCTTTGAACTAATATTAATAAAGCAAAAGCAATTTTAAAAAAAAATAATAAACATTATACTTAGAATGAGCATAATAATTACTTCAGTTTCATTATTCTTTGATATTATTATTTGACTTCACTATAGATATTCATAGATCAAGCAGATAAAGTATAGAGATAATACAAATGCATATAACAAATGAGCTACAATTGGGTACATTTCAATTTGCTAAATGTAACAGGTAATCTTACACAATTGTATTTTATTTATACTTATTATCAATTACTGAACAAAATATACACGCTAAACTAGTTGTCTAATTAAAAAAAGCTGACATGCTATAGATTATGAAGTTACAATAAAAATAGCAAAAAAAATATAAGACGTGTCATCACAAAGAACTGTCAAGAAAACACAGTACACCATGCAATTTTTACTACTTCTAAGCAACAAGAAGTAACATACAAATTGAAATAGAAATTCAGTAATGTGTGGACCAAAGAATAAAATTTTTTAAAACACCAGAAAGGCGGATCACCTGTATCGAAAAGACCAACAATGTTTATTTCAAATTTGACCTCTATTTGAAGGAAGAACGGCGTGAAGGTCACGAAATTAGGACTAGTAGACCATCTTTAAATGCCACGAGTGCAGCAGACGACAGGCTGCGTTTGTGCGAATGTACGTTGCGATTGGTCATCAGCTTTGCATCACAGCAACTTCATGGTCATATTTGAATATTTCCTTTAATGTAATAAAAATTAATTAAAGTCATTCTTGCAACATCTCCATACCAGTGCAATATGCCAACAATGCATTTTACTATCGTAATTAAAAAATTGTACTACTATATAGTATTTAGACTGCATTTATTATTTTAAACTACTAAGAACATTTTTCAATATTAACTTCAAATTATGAAACACATTCGACTCAAATTTATTATTCATGGTTCCTCCACAACTTCACGCATATGTTTTAAAAGTAGCAATGACGCTTTTTTCTAATCCATCCTATTTTACTAACATTAATCTTCTTACATGCAGAGAGCCAGGAGCAACGGATATTCTCGTTCGTTGCAAAAAGTATTAAATGGAAGTTAAAATTCTGTATGGGGTTAATGGAAATTTTATGAGCCTGTTGTTTTTAACCATGATCACGCTCAGGACCATAGCCGTTCAAGATGGATATGTAGAATCGTACGATGACACATATGATAATGATCAAGATATTGAACAATTTTTACGAGATGAGGATTATGAAAATGGTATCAGTTTTCCAATGCGCGAAGACTCTAAAACATATACTACGACACTTTTAAGTATATCATATACTTTATCAGACTAATATGTTCATTACTTCCAAATATATATTATGCGACACGAAATTGTCTTTCCAGCATCGCACCGTAAATCCAACAAATGCGATGAAGATCAAATATTGTCGTACTTGGCCGAATTGGAAGTAATCAATCCTGAGAGTATTTTACGTATTGCATCAAACAAGGATCTCGAGCACCTTTGTAGGTTTGTACGTACATTGTGGCGACATATAAGGTTATGCATTATGATTTACATTAACAATGAATCTGAAATTGTATCATAACTCACAAACTGTATATACAATACAGCCGAGTTTCATATCAAGCATATATGCATAATTATTGAATCACTAGACTAGAAATTGTATTCGTTATAAATTATAAGTTGCTAATGACGAAAAATTATTGTTTTTTTATTAATTATTATGTGCGCAGAAGGATAGCAGGAAATTTGGATTCAATAAATGCTTTTTTGCAAACCTGCATTCCTTTGCCACAAGATCATCTTTATATGCAACTTATAGCTGGAGTTCGTGTACTCAATAATAAGTTATGTATTTCGTCCGAGTATCAAAAAGGTATGTTTATTATGCTAGGAATTTAACAATTATTTAAAAGATATATTTTCTGTACTATAAGTGTCTAATACTACAATGGAGATAATGAATATTAGAATTTAAGAATTACCTTTCCTGCTACCAAGATCTGCATGACGAGTACATTGACTGTACCGGACCAGCTGATTGGACGGAAAATATGGAAGATAAAGAATTATGCAAGTACGAAACTAAGGGATACATTATGTAATTCAGTACATAAGTTTCGCACTTTTTTACGGACAGATAATCTGTTAATAAAAAATATACCCGGAGAATCAAGCATTCATATGAAGTAAACAACGAAAAAGGAAAATATAATATTTAATTGATACTTTAATTTGGTTTTCAGTCAATACAAGATTATAGCTGATTGCTACTATACAAAAACAGCCTTGCTCTGTGGTATAAAGGCAGCTAAAACAATAAAGGAACTTTTAATTCGCGTAATAAATGCTGTTATTGAAGTGAGTATTAAAGAAATATTCTTATTCTCCATGTATATATTATATTACATTAACTAGACAATTTTAATAAATTATTTATTTACACATAAAGAAGTTATTGATTTCATTTACAGACTGATTGTCCGGAGCTTCGAAAAAATCCAACAGTGCCTGATCCAATGCCCGAGTTTGTTTTTCCTAGATCGTCAACTTCTTGGTATCTCGTATTTGATCCAAAATTGTATCTTTGGATAGCCTTCCTTAACTTTTTCATAATTTTACAGTTAAATGCGGTATGATTTGTTTATACTTTTCTAAGACATTAGAATAGATGCAAATCATTAATCGTTTTGTGTATTTTCGCTGATTTATTGTGTAAATATAATATTGCTTGTCATACTATATGTACATAAGTATTCATCGTGCAAATAATTTTTTACGGGAATTAAATTAACATATCTACAAAAAATTAATTACAGTAATATAATGGTCACTAATATGTTGAACGAATATGTAGCTTCCAAATCGTGTGAATATCTGAAGCGATTAAATCCTATTACATATTCTAGCACTTCTGTTTTAATTGTATTCGCTACGTTTGAATTTTTCTAACCTATGTCTGATACTAAGCGCCTTCAAGTCCCATTGTAAAGTCGCAACAACGTATGTGATTTCTCTGAGGCAACTTGAAAAAAATACGTAAGCACGTGTGATCATATGAAGAGTGAAGTTTTATCACTAAGAACACAGAATTTTGTATGTAATTTGGAAAATTGCAGAAGTCTACGATAATACTCATTTTTTGGTGTCATTCGTTTTCTCGTGTACACAGTTCCAAAATGGCAGCGGCGACGGACGAGCTGAGTGAGTAGTCTCGAAAAAAAATCCTTTTATACTGAGTATAAGCGAGTAATTCCATAACGATGGTTATCAGCTTGTAAATAAAGTATCGGGTTATATGTTCGGCCATTAGCCAATTGAGAAGTCAAAAACAATATCTACTTTTTAGACTGAAAAGAAAAGTCAAATGTCACGCCGCCATATAAAAAGGCAACTTCACGCCCTTCGTTTTCTTCGAGGGCTGCGTTCGAGTTTTCATTTTCCAAAATTTAGATTTGTCATCCTCCGTTTACCGGGATGGTTCACCTCCGTGGTTCTTCGCCACTCATGCACCACGTGCTCCCATCTGTCAAAAATTATGTATGCTCTTTTGATTTTATTCACAGTTCTCGCCAATTATGTGAAACACCATTTTCGGTATAAATACTATTTGGCCCTTCAAAACTGTTTAAAGAATCTTTTTTAATATAAATCTTGGTGACCCACTTTGAAAATAATTTTCACGAAATAGAGTAATTGGATACGTTCAACGTTTATTTTTATTGATCTGATGCCTCAAAAGTCAGCATCTCATCCAATATGAAACTATAGATACTTTAATAATGACCTGATAACTTACTGCTTAAAAATCATAAATGATTATTAATTATTGCTTCGTTCATTTTGTTTTAAGTTCTTTTGGAGCGGGTATTTCTACGTTTGGGTTCAGCAGAAACAGATGAACAACTTCAAGCATCCGTATGTAAATTTCTACCACCTGTTTTGCTGAAGCTGTCTAGCTCCCAAGAAGGTGTTAGAAAGAAAGTAATGGAGCTGCTCATTCATATCAATCGAAGAGTGAAAAGCAGACCACAAGTTCAACTTCCTGTGGAAGCTCTATTATTACAATATCAAGACCCTGCTGCCAGTTCCTTTGTAATTGTATGTTAATCTTTCTATTTCTTAATTTCATTGATCCATTATTTACAATGGTTCAGAATCTGTACAATGTATGTATTATAAAGTTACGTACTGTGTTCATGAAATTTGTCATATTTTTATACGTATTTAGAATTTTACAATAATATATATTAAATTGGGATATCCACGAATGGAAATCAGCAAACAAGCTGAATTAGTTCCCAGTGTATTAAATGCTATTGAAGGAAAACCACTTTCTCATCAAGACAGGTAAAGTATTTTATCAGCATTCATTACGTAATATGAATACTGAATAATGACTGACATCTTTAAATTTATAGTTTGATGCTAGTAATAATGCCGGCATTGGGTCATATAAATATTCCAATGGACAGTGATAAAAGAGCATCTCTACTTGGCTTGCAGGATAAGCCTTATGTAGCAAAACAATTAATTAATTTTATGCTTGATGTGCTGCTTCTACCATATGGGTAAGTGAACTCAGTAGAAATATTAATAATTAAATATTATGTAGACTGTTATTTTGTACTTTTTAATGTAATGATAGTTCTGTGGGACAAGCTGAAAATCAGCAACCTGGACAACCAATTGATTGGTCCCAGTTTCCAGTACCACCTGGCCTGAGTGATTATGCATTCAAAAGAGTGATTGGTGAAAATCCACCAACTGCTGAGCAACTTGAACATACTAAACTGGGGATAGTCAAATTTCTTGCTGGTGGATTTTTTTCTGATTCCGATATCCTCATTCATCTGATTGTTGCAGCTGCAGACACCAGATTCAGCGTTGCCAACATGGCTGATCTTGAGTTGAAAAAAATTGTGGGGTACGAATGAAAATTGAATCAGTTCACTTAGCTGGCAGTTAATCTATAATAAGTAGCAAATTTTCGTTATAATAAAACTCATTTCAGTACGTTGGACTGGTCGTCAATGCAGTTGGCTGCACCACTTTATACTTTGTTTTTGGGCACTGATGCACTGGCAACACAAAAAGAAGTTAAACCAGAGATGAAAAGATTACCAGCTAGTACGCGAATTCGTCTTAAGCTGTTGCATTATCTTTGCCGCGTAACTAGAGCTGGTTTTATCATTCCTCCATGTATTCAGGTACAGCTGATGATGAAAAAATGAAAAATATTCAGAATTAGCATTCTCGTTACTACATGCGTATTTATTCACAGGTTGTATTTGATTCCCTCTATGGTGACAACACAAACCCAAAGTTAAAGTCGTTGGCGCTACAGTTTACCTCAAATATTGTTCAGCAGTAAGTATCAAACGATATAATCATTAAATAGTGAGGGATGCAATATATTTTTATGTAACTTTTATAGGTGCAGTTTGCCTCCCTTGATTCGTGTAGCCGGCGTCATTCTGAATGGAATGGTAAAATTAATTTCAGAACGTGAGCCAGCTCACAAAGCTATGGCTTATACAGTCATTGGACAGCTTGGTCAGAGAATTCCCACTTTAATTAATAAAGATTTGAGTTTGCTACAAAACTTCTTTGGTACTTTGGCATCAGTAAGTGTTGTACTTGAGTACTAGGTACTGGTCTTGTAGTTGATGATCCTTTGTATACAAATTCTATAATTATAGACGGAGGGAGAATTGCAACAAACTGTAAAAAATGCATTGATTAGTATGTCCTCAGCGTTTGTACTTAATAGGGAGGACGAGAACAATATAGCTATGATGAATGCTTTGCTTTCTGTTCATATAGAATCTTCTGAATACTGCGTTAGGTAGGTGGACCCTCATTTGAAAAGCATTTTGTTATTCCTTTTGTATTTATAAGATAATATTTCAATAATAGGTTTGTTGCTGCTCATTATGCTGCAACAGTATTTCCACCTGATGATGCGCCTTCGCGATATCTATTACTTTTGGCATGTGGCGACAACAAACATGAAGTTAATACTGAAGCAGTGAAGGCTTTATACGGAACTGCTCATAAGAACGAACGAGATAAAGAAGATGCTAAAGAGATATTCTTACCTGACTTTCCAAAGCTCGTATCTTACATCCATTCAAAATTGCAGGCTAGAATGAATAGTTCTGGGACTGGAAAAGTTAATGTAGGAAGTAAAACGCTTCCTTATAATATCGCTGCATTTACAGAGGTAATGCGACATCTGAAATAATATATAACTGCTTCAATATATTTATTATATCACTTGAAACAAATTTAATGACTTTTTTTGTCCAGATTATAACGTACCTTCGTTTATGTCTTGCAAAAAGTGCCGAGGTGCCATTTAAAAGTGAGCCCTTGCAACATCCGTCTGAATATACTCCTGTCATTGGACGATACTTGGAAAATTTGTATAAGGAACAGCCGGAACCTCTGAATCATTATCTTGATATGATAATGCTTCTTAGTCATGCATCTGCGGGTAACGTAATTCAATAAGTAAAGTTATCGTAAATATAAAAATAGATAAATCCAAGAATAACATACTTTGCGCAGGTCAAGTATCTCTGAATGCGTTATTGGAAGTCGTAGGAACGATTCCACAGTATATGTCAAAACGTAATGAGAAGGAATTATCGTGGCTGCGATCATTACTCTCATCGGCTAAGGAAGATATTAGAGAATTAGCAGCAAAAATTTACGCTATAACTATAGCTTATATATCAAATACCGATTTTGAGAAACAAGTATCAGAGATTATACACAGTACGAAAAATAAATCTCTCGAGACCCAGCATGGTGCATTGATAGCCCTGTCTTATATGATGGAGAGAAAATTAATAACGAGAAGAAATGATAATAAAGATGAGCTATTGAAGTGGGGGAGTTATATTGATACCGTAAAAACAATATGTACGACAATTTCTATGTTTAACCCATCTTTTAGGAATAATATTATAATGAATTAATCATTTTTCAGATACATTTCTCACGGACAACACTAATTTGCTGGTTAACGCAGCCAGTCAGGGAATTGGTACGATAAGCAAAGCCTTTGCTTTGCCACTTCCAGCCGAAGATAAACAGGAACCTAATAAAAAAGCTCTTGTAGAGACACTGTTTAATATTCTCACCAATAGCAAAATGAATACTAAGGTTTGTTGTAGTAAATTTCTTAGCTGAATCAGCAGTACATATTTGTATAATTTAGGTCAAAGAGAAAGCTGCTCTTTCCCTGGGATTTCTATGCGTTGGCGAAGACTTTCCACACACAAAATATATAGCGGAGAAATTTGTAGGAATGGCAGAAGAGGCAAGAGTCTTCATTATGATTTTGAACATTGAATTTTAAAGCTTGTATTTAAATGCTACTTTCTTTTCTTTAATATTTTCAAACAGAGCAAAGATGTAGAAGTTCATCTCACTGTGGGAGAATCTCTAGTCTGTTGCGTGCAGGGTCAATCATCTCCAGAAGTTAGGGATGCCTGGAAGGTGCTACCTAGTGAACATCAAGTTCCATACAGCAATGAAAGTAACCAGCTCTTGGCATTTGTTCTAGATAAATTATTGAAAACTGCGCGCATTCCGCATCCAAATTCGCGGCAGGTAAATAAAGTTTCAATCAGATCTTTGAATAGTCTACAGCGTTAGGTAATAAAATGTAATCTTGGTTTTTAGGCGGTATGCATTTGGTTACTGGCATTACTTAAACATAATGCAAAGCGAAAACATCTCATTGATAGGTTACCAGAAATTCAAAGTACATTTATGGATTTTCTTTCGGAGAATAATGGTATGAAGGATCTTTATCTTTTAATTATTCTATTTATATTATATTTTAGTATCGATGAGATTAACAAATATTCATTTTATTCATATGATAGACATTGTACAAGATGTAGCATCGAAAGGTCTTGGTTTGGTATATGATAGTAGCAAAGAAGATGAACGTAAAGCATTAGTATCAGGCTTATTAGAGCAACTGATGCAAGGTCGTAAGACAGTAGCCCAAGTTACTAGTGATACTAAATTATTTGAAGAAGGACAGCTAGGTAAAAGTCCAACTGGGTAAGAGCATCGATATCTTTATTCACGTTTACATAAATTCTAGCAAATAATAAATGAATCTGTTATCAGAGGGAATCTATCAACATATCGAGAAATCTGTTCACTCGCCTCAGACTTAAATCAACCAGAACTCGTTTACCGTTTTATGCATTTGGCCAATCACAATGCAGTGTGGACGTCTAAAAAAGGCGCAGCGTTTGGCTTCTCGGCGATTGCAAATCTTGCTAGCGATGAATTAAATAAATATTTACCAAGTATTGTGCCACGATTGTATAGGTATCAGTTCGATCCAACTCCAAAAATTCAACAGAGTATGGCCAGCATTTGGCACGCTATCGTTCCTTCCACACATAAAGTTGTAAGTTGAAGAACTTCGCTCAAGACAATTATATGAGAGTTAATCTAATCTTTACTTAACAGCTGGAGCAATATCATAAAGAGATATTGAATGATATTACTGTCAATTTGACAAATAATCAATGGCGAGTTCGTATCAGTTGTTGCCTTGCACTTGCCGAACTTCTAAGATCAAATGCTCCAATAGAGTTGGCTGAGTGTGCTCCAGAACTGTGGAAACAATTGTTTCGAGTTATGGATGATGTTCATGAGGGAACTAGAACAGCCGCAACTAACACTACAAAAGTACTTAGCAAGGTACGCATCTTCAATGATTTGAGCTCGAAAATTTAGGAGTTTAGAAATTGAAGTATTTAATTTATGTATTATTTCAAACAGGTCTGCATTCGACAGTGCGACGTGTCTTATGGTAAATCTGGAGAACATATTCTTCAAGCTATATTGCCAGTGCTATTGGATATTGGTATTATTCATACTGTCAATACAATTAGAGCAGTTTCCCTGCAAACGGTTTCTCAGCTCGTGACAACAGCTGGTAGTTTACTTAAGCCTTCGTTGGTCAATTTAATACCTGCTTTGCTAACTGCTACCGGTGAATTGGAAAATCCTAAATTGATGTACTGGAGTGCAGCATTTGGTGCTATGTCAGATGTGCAGGAGGTCATTGACACAGAGAGGTCTAGTGCAGTTAAAAGTCATTACACGACAGAAACAATGACAAAAGTAAACTATCTAATAAACTCTGTAGCACTGTTTTATGCAATAACAATATTACGTTTAGTCAAAAGTTATTAATCAGTTGTATTTTTAATTGCAGTGTATTCCGTACATTGATGGTACTACACTGAAGGATTTAATGCCAAAAGTGATAGAATTAATTAAGTCAAGCATAGGACTTGGAACGAAAGTGGCTTGTTCGCATTTCTTAGTTCTCCTCAGCAGTCACTTGAAATTAGAGTTACAACCTTACACTGGTCAGTAGGAAAATATAAATTTTATTAATAAGATCTGTTTCAACTGTGTTTGATTGTTACAGGTAAAATACTAGCAGCTTTGGTAAATGGCTTGACAGATCGAAATGTTGCTATAAGGAAGAACAATGCAGTCACTATTGGACACATTGTTGGATCTGCTAAAGAATCTAGTCTGGAAAAATTGTTTAATATGCTGAACACTTGGTACATGGAACGAGAAGGTAACCTCATAGAATCAAATATTTGATTCATGCGAAGTTAACACAATAATAGCTGGCTATTTATGATTATTTTGCAGACGATTCAATTCGATTAGCTATTGGGCAAACGTTGCAATCCATAAACAATCATAATCAAGAGATTCTAAAGAATTATTCGGATATTGTCATACCTCTCACGTTTTATGCAATGCACGCAGAGAAGACTCCAGGTTTGTACTATATTCATATAGTATCGAAATTTATTCTTTTAATCGGACAAAGTATGAATTTGTAAATATCATATTTTAGGGACTGAAAATACAGTGGAATTGTGGACCAACCTATGGGGCGAGATTGCACCAGGAACGGAAACAGGAATCAGACAAAATTTAAGTGTAATAACAAATATTCTAAATACCTGCTTAGAGTCTGCATCTTGGACCACAAAAGCCCAGGCTGCAAATGCTGTTTCTACTGTCGCTACAAAATTGGGAGCTGACATAGACGAAGATGCTAGAAATTCTTTATTAAAGATTCTTACAAATGGTCTGCAAGGCAGAACTTGGAATGGCAAGGAACGACTTCTGAATGCACTCGCAACCTTAGCATGCAATAGCAAGTATGTATTAATGTCCGAATCATCTAATATTTATTGTCTATTATGACTTACAAGTTTACCTAACTCGACAGAGAGGCTCTGGGCAAGGATCCTAAGTTAAGCGAAGCTATTGTAGAAGCTTTATATAAAGAGAGTAAAAAGGAAGCTATAGAATATCGTCGCCATGCGTTAAAGGCGTTGTCTGATGTTTTACATGAGCTGGATATAGATAAGTTCACACAAATTTATGATATAGCCCAAGAGATCTTATTAAAAGTGAGTAATTTGAACATCCTTGATGCATTTAATTATTATGAACAAATATCATACATGATTTGGTTTTTTTTTAAATATAGCTTGCAAATAAGGACGACAATGATGAAGAAAGTTCACCAACGGAGAATTCCAAAAAGAGGGAAGATAAAATTAAATTGCAAGAAACAGTCTACGAAGCCCTTGGAAAGGCTTGGCCTTCTAATACGGAAACACAAGGTAACAGTACTCTACATATATTAATTTCAGTGTATAAGCATAATTGCAGTTATAAAATTATATAGTATGTTCTCATAATTAATCAACACGTTACATCATCTTTCAGACAAATATTCCATACAGTTTGTCACGCATTGTTACGAAATGTTACCCAACAATACGAGGCCAATTCAAGTCGCCATTTTGATGACATTAAGTCTTTTTGTGGATAAGCTAGTATTATTCAAAACTGATGTTTCGAAAACCTCCGCTAAGGATAAGGAAACATTGGCTTCCATATGTGACACATTGGATAAGATATTAAGACAGTCTATAGGTAAATTAATGGCTGCGAGTAATGATCTATTGTATAATAATTACTAAAAATTGTTTATACATACACTATTTCTTCACTTTTTAGGTATATCAAAGTACACGAGGATAAGGAAGGAAGCATTGAATATTGTTTTCTCCCTCTCCAAAAAATTACGCGATACCAAAAATACAAAACAGCTTGAGAATGTAACTTCTCTTTTTAAGGAGCTTCTGCCTGACTTATCAAAGGATAATCAACCGGAAATTCGTTCTAGGGTTGTCGACATTAAAGATATGCTCAAGGTTTAAGCATTAAAATCATTATTATTGGATAAGGTTATCGGAAAACTTTTATGGGAATTAGTTGAATGTGCGGTCGTCCCAATCTTCTGAAATACGGTGATGCATGAAATTCAGCTTAATCATTTTTAAACGGAGATGCGTCTAAGTTACAGTACATAGTGTATGTTGCTTATATAAAATAAGCGAACGAGAGAGCGTAATACATTTCTGGTAACCTTAACAATATTTATTTTTGCCGAGTGAGGAGAGAACCGTTAGATTATGCAATGACACGGTAACTCGAGATAGGAATTGAACTTTTAAATTGACATTACACATCACTCCACGGTGTCTGGAATTACAATATGCGTATAGCCATACTATTACTGTAATCAAAATACAAAATTTGATCATAACTCTAGTATCTTTTACATTAATATTTTTCTTACAATTTCCTTTGCGTCAATTGTTCTTTGTTTTTGATTTTTTGAAAGATTTACACGATTGAATAACTTATCTTTTAGTTTGTGTATATTTTATGTTTATATTAGCAACGATGTCATGTAAGGTTGATACACTCACTTTTCATATGTGACTGAATCATCGTTATCCGTACAGTAATATTGTAACTTAGCCTACTTATTTATATTACAGCAGAAATGGAATAAAACCGAGTAAAGCTAAGTACACTATTTTGAATATCCATTTGATTTCATATTTCGTAGTAGTAAGTTGAAAATTAATTTCCAAAAAATAGAACTGCTCCTTTTTAAATATTTTGTCCATGTAAAACCATGTTGTAAGAAAAAGAAAAAAAAACAAATTAATAGTTTCACTTGTGTATTTCTTTGTTACTGCATACAAATATTATACATGGTCTTATAAATACATTAAACTTAGCACCTAATGTATTTAATACATGTTTTCAGAAACATTTTAATGTCATCACACTATTTGATTTTCTTTAGCAAAATTGATGCACCTGGACTTTTTTTCGACTTCAAGATTTCAGTTAATGGTTGTAACTTATTAATTAAAGAAGTAACAAGTGGCTTTGTTTCAGTTTCAATTAATGTTATCAAAAGGAAACAAGCTCGATTAAATTCAATCCATTGTTTAATTATATTTGTATCCAGAAGTTCAATTAATGCTTCCCCAAAAGTTGGTTCACCTTTTTCAATGTTATTCTTATCATTTTGAATAAGTTTCTTTAACATCATGTGAAGCCCGGAATGTTCAATTGCTTTATACTCTACTTCATTCTCTACGATTTTTGATTCCAAGTTTGCAATGAACTTAGCTACTGCTTCGAATGCAGTTTTGAGATTCTCCCCGGAACCTCTTTTTAGAATCGCTAAGGCTACCATCGATATTGAGCCATTTGACAACCACACTGAGGTTTCAGTAGATACGCTTTCCAGGAACTTATCGATGACGGCTAGTAACAATTCGTTTTCACGCAATTCTGCAGGTTTTTTACTTGTTGCGTTGTTATCTCCTTGTTTCAAGTATTCAATATCTGCAGGATGAAAGTAATGAGAATCTCTTCTCGCTACGAGATACAATATAACTCTCTTGCCATACTCGTTTAACGCAATTTCTGTTAAATTGCTTTGTATTTCAGTTAACAACATTTTTTTCATAAGAACAGTATCATCTACACAATCGAAGAATGCCAATAATATTAAATGACCGTGCTCCGAATTTGCAACATCCTTTATGTGTTCCTTTAATGATTTCATTACTATTTTGCGGTCCTTGTTCGAACTATGCCAAATACACATTATAGCTGCTTTTGTTCCTTCCTTAGATTCAGATAATTGAAGAACTAAACTTCTCAACATAACGATTAACTCATTCCTGTCTTCTACATTGGAGTTGGATAAAAATTCCCATAATACAATGTGTACCAAAGTAGAGTTAATTAATTTTTTATTCAGGATTTTTATTAAATTTCTTTTGACGGCAGTCAATGTAGCCGATTTCATGTCTGCTGCTGATTTAAATACATCAGTAAGCTTTTTTACTTTATCGTCTTTAGCTTGCTTGTACATGTCACCATAGAATTCTTGCTTGAAGTGTAACTTTTGTAATTCTGTCGCCCAAGTAGAATATGCATATTCCATTATTGGAGCAGATATGCTGTGATTCACTAGGTTCATAACATTACCATAAAATGATAACAATATGAGTGACCTAATTTCACTAGTACCATGTTTCAAGGCAATTTTGATACAATTTTTTGCATACTTTGATTGTAACATTGATACAATACATGGTTTTAATTCTAATATGATAGACTCTTTAATGTCTGGTTTACCATATTTAAAAATCCATTGTACAAGCCTGGAAATGTCATGGGTAAAAATCATTTTTTTATAGTGACCTTTTAGTAAATCATGTAATTCCGTCGATAGTTTTAAACGCTCTTCTGCAGAACAATCGGATCTTCGTAATTTCTCGCCAATTTTCTTTACTTGTACAGTTACATCGTAGACCTTACACAGTCGTTTAGCTTTTCGTTTTTCTTTAAGTTCCTTTTTCTCTTTCTTAAAAGTTAACCAATCTGGTTTTTCAGTTGTGCCAGTCTTACTTGATAATTGTGGACCACCTTTGCCTCTTACTACATTTGGTTTAGCAGATTTCTCAGGCCTATTGAATTTATTAGGCTTTTCTGTTTTTTTCCCAGCAACTGGTTTTTCAAATTTACCCCTTTTAACATGACTGTTATCATCTACATTAGATTTTATTAACTTTGCCTTTTTTGGTATCTTCTGTTGCACTTCATCAACATCGACAACAGCAGAAAAACTGACAGATTTTTTCAATTTCTTTGCTTTTGGCTCGCTATTGTCGTAATCCTTATTTTTTTGCTTCATTTTTCACTAATCTCTGAAAAACAAAAAATACAAGAAATTTATAATATTTACGCATATGAAAACTATATTTAACATATAAAAAAAATATCCTGGTAAAGTATTACCAGTGGGATAATAATTCAATACAATAAAGAATCATTTCAATCTTTAATGAAATTAAAATCAACATAACCTCTATTTACAACATGAGATGTTATAACCAAAGATGTGGAAACTTTAAAATTGAGGAAATCATATTACTTTTCAAAAATAATAGTTACTCACTTATAACTCAAAGTTATTCACTTATAAGTTTCTTAGACTTAGGTTCGTATAGTTATTGTAAAAAATGTATAATGCAACTAATTTACACAAAGCCTACACGCATCATTCGCACGTGTACTCAACGCGTGTATGTACTACACCATGAAATTTGGCTCTCTACTCCTCTTTAAAGAGAGAGAGCGGAATTGAGCGGAATGGAACCAAACAATTTCTGACGTTCCTTCCTTCTATCCTTTTCTTAAGGGCTATCTACAATGAGACGTAACCGTAAGACGGATGACGGAAGTTGTTGTCGGAAGACGGAACGTGCGTTCGACAATGAAGTCGTTTGACGGATGTCGTATCGGCTGTCGAAAGAGAGATGACCAACTCCCATCTCTTCCGTATTCCGACAACGTTAACGTGCACGCCGGTGGCAACACGGTTTTCTGCCACAAAACATTCTGTACTCTGATTGGCTACGGAATCGAAGTGTCACGCGTTACGGTAACGACATTGGGTGCGTTCCACTTAACGCTCGCAACGATCGCAACACCCTCTGTCTCGTTCCACTTAAGGCTGCGGTCGCTGTAAGCAATCCCTGAAACGTCATCGATGACGTCATCATTGGCGACCGCGATGCGATCGCTTCGCCCACATCAAATAGGTGGGTCTTTGTGGTCGTTTGATATTTTTGTGCGCCATTTTCAATTCAAATTAATGATGGAGACTGAAAAAATAACGCTGTACGATTCCGAGAGGAATATATTACTCGAATTAAATGTTCCTGTAAAAGATGCTTTGCGTGCGAAAAATGGTACATGATATTATTGTCATCTGAGCTTGATGAACTCTCAGAAACATAATTCCGTTCACGCATTAGCCTTATACACATATTCTCTACAACACCAGCCATCTTTGTATCGTTCACAAGTCCGATAAGTCGTTCCACTTAAGTTTTCGACCACGACGTCCACAACAGTCCACAAGCTAGTGGAACACGAAATCTTACGGTCGTGGATGCGAGCATTGCGAGTGATTGCGAGCGTTAAGTGAAACGTACCCATTATGTGGATTCATGTCGGAACGAAGTCGGAACGAAGTCGGAACGCTGCCCCGTCTCCGATAGCACGACATAACAACGACTAACGCTTCCGCCTCTGGCACTTGGCCCTCTACGAGGGCATAAAGCTACAAGGAACAAGAAGAAGAACGCTTCCGCCTAGTGCTTACGACACGTCTCATTGTAGATAGCCCCTAAAGAGTGGCAATGGGAGTTTTAATGGTTTCTAAATATTCGATATCATAACTCTGAATATCTAAAATATGCATGTAAGATTGCAAATACATTATTATATCACCAAATATTCGTAAATAGCAAATATTAGATTTTGGAAATAAGTTAATTTTATACTTAGTTATCATAAATGAATGCTTCCAGTTGATTAAGTCTTCCAATTTGAACACATATTGATACCTATGAGAAATGCATGCATTTGGTGAAAAATGATTAAAACTGGTTTTTGTAATTTATAACATTTAAAAATAATAAATATAAAAGGCAGCAAATATTTATTAAATGCTTTCAACAGTTAGTCTTGCAATTAATCTAACTTAGAAACTTGCATAGTACAAGAATATACAATTTATTCTTAAATCCCACAGTGATGCTTTTAGAGAATGAATTGAAATATAATATATGGAAGATGGAACATAATAATAGGTTCATACACTGAGTAAAAGTGAGATATTTGCATAGGAATATTTATATATGTAAAAGAAAAATATACTTTGTACAAAGGTTTATTCTTTAGGTAACAAATATTTGAACAAAAAATAAATATAACTTTGACCGTAATACCACCCAATCCTTATAGCATATCAAAAATAATGTTACCATGAAACTAAATTCTAAATACATATTTCTAAGTCTCATTAAGAAAGATTTGGATAAAATTAATAGTCACACATTACCCAATGTTAAAGGAGGAATATATTTCTCTCTCTAGTTTGCAATATATTTCCCTCTCTGCTTATGCCCTTATATAAGAAAACTTAAAAATTACACCTGCACTACATTCTGATTGTCACAAGTTGGATCATGCAATATGCATTTCTGACTGCCAAAATTAAAGATTACTTTTTAATCCAGAAAGAAATTTAGCTACATGAGGAGCCACCCTTTCTGGATAATTATTGTGCACATCATGATTTCCCTCTACAACGACTAGTGTGTAACTCTTATTATTTTTAAGTTTACAAAATTGCATTGAAGGAGGTTCATAATATTCATTGATTGAAGCTGTTGCAATGATGACTAAAGTAGGAATATTAACATTTTCAAAAAAATGTACTACTTGGTCTTGATTAAGTAATGGAAGAATAGAGATTTTCATTCGTGCATCACGATTGTACATAAACATATCTTCTCCCACCTGAGTAACAGCTCGATCGAACAATGCCTCAGCTGATTCACTAAGCAGGGAAAATTGTCTCATATATTTCAAACCATGAATTATTTCCTCTCGATTATAAATACGTGGTTTTAAATTGTCTTCAAGAGTTTCAGAGGCAACATTATGCATCAGACGTATTCGATTAAAGATAAAAGATAAGTTTTTTGGAGTGTTAAATGGGCTTACTGATTCAAGGATAATTAATTTATCTAATTTATCTGGATAAAGTACAAAAAAAAATATTCCTAGGTATCCTCCTAGACTGTGCCCTATAAAGGAACACTGATCCCATTGTAGATAATCAAGGACCATCTTGATTGCTAGGATATAATTGAAGAAGTCCAAAGGTACACCAGGATAAAAATGGGAAGATAAGCCATGACCTGGTAAGTCGATGCAGACATAGTAAAAGTGTTCAGGTAGCAGAGATACTAATCGATCAAATGATCCTGCATTGTCCAATGTGCCATGACTTAAGAATACACGTTTTCCAGCTGGGGAACCCCATGTTTTGGCTGCTATATGACCCCAAGGTACCGGTATCCTGATTTCTGAGTTTGGCTTCTTATGTGACATTTTTTAAACTTCACAATTAAAGGCACTACAGAATATTTATACGTATAGTTACGGATTCTGAAAAAAATATAGGTATCTTTACAAAATACGGTTTATAAATATTCCACGAATTAGGTTGCCTACTTGCTCGTAATCGTTGAAATTTTTGCCAACTCATACCTTTTGTGTTCTTATCCAGAAATCACTTTTGCACTGATTCTAACGACCTCCTCCACTTAGTATATGTATAACTGATTCTTTTGCATTATCGGAATTATTAATATACAAAATTCAGTAAAAAGTTCGATTTTTTAAAAATTAATTCAAAATTTTACCGGAAAGCTCTAAAATCAAATTAGTTTTGAATACCATTAAACATGTAACGTCTAAAAATTCAAATGTGAGATGACATTCAAGATGGACTTTTGACTAAATGCGCGAATGTTGAAAAACTGGCAGTTTTATTATGTAATAAATGAAGATTCAAAGTTTAATATTTCATTTTTACAGGTTAAGGTTCTCTTCATTAAACGGTAATAGTACAAATTATGACTTATACCTTTAGTTTAAACATATTTACTTTAAACAATGTAACTATTCAGTGGTTCACTTTGATTTAGAAACGTGATTATTATGTTCAATGCTACATTTATCACACATACGACTGACGTCCTATAATTGTTAACACACTTTTATTATTAAATAGTATGCAAAATTGAAAAATTTATTTAAATACCTGTTCGGTTAAACACTGAGCAAATTTTTATTGATTTAAAATCACATACCACATGCTCGTATGATTATTAGATAAAGTTCATAAAGTACGACTCAACAAGTTTTTAATAGTGCCTAATCACAAATGATTAATAATCTACACATATGTACTGTTATAAATTAGAGTCCTCGTGTATGTACATGGTTGACTACCGTAGTAACAGAGTCGTGTAAAAATTTGGGAATATGAAATAACCGTCCAAGAAACATATTTTCGTAAAAATAAATTAAGAATCGTGATGTAAAAATCTGATAATTTATTTGTCGATTGTTAGCTCTTGTATAGTCAATACATACATTTTTAAATGACAAAGAAATTTCGATAACGTCCCTAAAAAAAAATTGGGGCCTTATTGTGGAATAGGGTCGGCCCTGCTGAAAAGGCTGCCGTGGAGGGGGCGAAGCGAATAGGCCTACCGCCGAATGTTTTGCCCTATTGTTCGGTGATGTCGCGGAAAACGATGCTTTTCGTGTAATATCCCAGCCGAAGACGAGAGCCTTCATGATAATGTTCTTCGTGTCAATCGGGATGGAGTATCCACTACGTGAGAAACGCCGACTACGGTAATACCGGGTGATAAGCGCTGAGAAGATTCACGGGGAACCCTTTGTCATGGACATGCAGGCTCCCAATGGTTCGTATCTGTTTTCCTTCCTTCATCGCTTGGCGTACCTCACCATTTAAATGCCCATTTGCTTTATGACTTTATTGCACGGATTATCCCTCGCACCGAGACACCGGCTCACCACTCCGAAAAAAAATTTCGAAGACTGTGAACTTTCAAGGAAAAAAAAGGTTAAATAAACTGATCTTTTAGAGCGCCTGGCGTCGCTTTCAGAGACATCCTTTCGCCTTCGATCATCGCTCGTGTGTCTTCAATTTTTTCTTAAGCCTGTTTTACATGCTTTTAGCGTTGTACATGAGATACTTCATACACTTGGTATTCATATATACGTACATACCTTGGATCAAATTAAGAAGGCCTACATTGACACTGAAGGTTTAAGCACTGTACGTAGGATTTGTGCAACTTCTTGATGGAAACACGTTTATTAAATGTTTTGCTACAACTTGAAAAGATGTTTTACGTTATGTACTGATGATAATGTGTATTACATTCGAAACTATGAATAATAAAGTACTTTGCTTTAGAGTATTAAATTAATTTTACAATTTATTCAAGGTGCGAGGATTATTTACTTACGAGACACTGTCAATGTAATAAAATCTAAATGGCAACGGTACCTCAGCGTAGTTTACAAACAATGAAATATCACAATTGCATGTGTGCACTTTACTAAAAATAACTTTACACTCGTTATGTGGCTTAGGAATGGATATTTCTCTGAATACAGTGTATACATCCATCCCTGGAATACCTGAGCTGGGGATGGTATGGATGGGGGACATGATGATGCATGGAGAACCAGCACATGAGCTCATGCTGGATCCCCGCCAAGCAGAGAGTCCTTTCTTTTCTCATGGCTCTCATTCATTTGAGGATCTGCGAAATCATCATATCGCACCTACAACTATGGTGCGCTATCTCCCACCACAATTTACTGCAGAATGTTCTGAACCTGATGAAGCTATGGAAGCAGTAGATGCTCAAGATATCCAAAATGTAAGTTTACTATATAAATAATGTGGTTCTCCAATGGGCAAAACTTTACACGTTACCATTGAAACTTAATGTTAACTTCTCACCATTTACAGGAATATGATCCACAGTCCGAGGGACAAGAAATGAGCGAATATTTGACACTAGAAGACTATATGGCGGATGAAGAACGTGAACAAGTCGTAAGCAATGCAGCGACGCAAACCACTCAGGACAATCGTAATCGAAAGATTAAACCCATAAAGCATCCTGGCCTTGTCTTAAAAACGCCCATCGCTTATCAGCCGCATACTGACCTCAACTTTATCCCTATTCGCAAGGATGGTATCGGTGAGTGGCACATATTACTAATAATCAATCTCAAATATTATCCTGTATTTACTAAACTTATTTTCTTCAAATTACTTTCGCATGAAAGTTAATCAAGTACATACATATATCCCATCCATTTGTGGTTACTACAATGTCAGTTCCTATCCTTATTTTATGATGAATTTTGGCACACCTATATATCTTGCTACATATTTATCTTCCATGATATTTTATTTCCATTATACCATGCGTCAATGATACGGCAAATCGAAGATTTGTTGGAATAGCTTCACAATCATATGTACGGTTGAGTTACATCGTGTATCTTTTGTGTAAGGATTTTCCTGGGTATCATATCGCTTAAATGAACCCGCAATTTTCTTATTCGAATAGCTGTTTGCGAGAAATGCGGTGCGATTGGCGTAAAACATGCGTTCTACACGAAGGAGCGACGGTTCTGTAGCAGAGCTTGCGCACGTTCCTCGGAACATACCGCTCCGACAGCAGATTCGACTTATAGTCCATCTCATCAATCGGAGCAGCCAGCAATAGGCAACCCTACGTCACCAGTCAATGTAAAGCCAGCTACGACCGAAGTAAGCTAATAAAGATTTATTAAATATTTGCGACATATGGAAACGAAATCGTATATTACAGGAAACACTGAAGGAAGAGGTTGCAGAATTAAAGGATGTAGAGAAGGAAAAGGAAAAGGAGAAAATTATAGCAGAACCAGTAATGCCTGAAGATTTACCTGTAAGAAGAAAGCGTACTGCAGAAATGGCAGGATCTTATGATTGGACTCCGCAGCTAACAGAACCTGGTTTCTGCGCGGCACCAGTATCGTGCTTCAAACACGTAAGTACTTTCTGTACAAAATATGAAAAGCGAAACTCGTGGGATATTCTGGAAACCCTACATGTGTATTATATATATACAGGGTGTTTGTTATGAAACGCACTGTAGTAACATCGTTGCATTCCTTGTCAAATTCTAATGAATACTTATATTTTTATTTTTTATTTCATATATCAAAATTTCGAGATAATCAAGGTTGAAGTTGCAGTAATGCGACCAATCAGAGCGCGTTTAAACGGAGCGTAGATGACGTCGCGAGTCAGCCCGCAAGACCTGCTTACACTAGGCCAATAACACTAAGAGTATCGTTGTAGTGTCCCTGTTTATCTGCATGTAATTGAGTTAGATAGAATCGCTCGCTGTAACGTCAGTGAATTTCAGAAGATACCCTTTATTCCTTATAATATCTATTCCTTAATGTGACAAGATAGTTGTAGCAACGTATTACGTTTTGAGTGGTCCTGAAAAGGACCGATTTTGATCTACGCATGACCGAGCTTGGATCTGAATATACTAATCTGCAACAATTACATACATTTTCTATGATAATGATTATTCTGAAACAGTAAATATTGTAGAGTACATAACATTTTTATCAGGATGTCGCCGATTAGGGTACCTAATTGCATATTCTTGCGCTGTTTGTGTTTGGTTGCTATTACATTGGGCTAACACCCAATACATGTCGCAATATTCTCTCACAGAATGATCACTCGTAATGCCATCTTGTAATCGAAACAACATAAATCGAACTAACTGTCTCCGCAATATGAAGCGAAATAGATTGTAATTTGTAAACAGTAATAAGTCTACTGCGGTCGAATGACTTGTTTACAAATTACAACTTATTTCACTTCACATTGTGGACACAGTCAGTTCGCATTACGAGTAATTATTCTGTGAGAGAATATTGCGACATGTATTGGGTGTTAGTCCAATGTAATGGCAACCAAACACAAACAGCGCAAGAATATGCAATTAGGTACCCTAATCGGCGACATCCTGATAAAAATGTTATGTGCTCTACAATATTTACTGTTTCAGAATAATCATTATCATAGAAAATGTATGTAATTGTTGCAGATTAGCATATTCAGATCCAAGCTCGGTCATGCGTAGATCAAAATCGGTCCTTTTCAGGACCACTCAAAACGTAATACGTTGCTACAACTATCTTGTGACATTAAAGGAATAGACATTATAAGGAATAAAGGGTACCTTCTGAAATTCACTGACGTTACAGCGAGCGATTGTATCTCACTCAATTACATGCAGATAAACAGGGACACTACAACGATACTCTTAGTGTTATTGGCCGAGTGTAAGCAGGTCTTGCGGGCTGACTCGCGACGTCATCTACGCTCCGTTTAAACGCGCTCTGACTGGTCGCATTACTGCAACTTCAACCTTGATTATTTCGAAATTTTGATATATGAAATAAAAAATGAAAATATAAGTATTCATTAGAATTTGACAAGGAATGCAACGATGTTACTACAGTGCGTTTCATAACGAACACCCTGTATATACTGTCTTGTGCGTACTCAAAATTCATTACCTTGTATATACAGGTGCCAATATCTGAGATCTGGGATAACATAACTGTGGGTATGAAAGTGGAAGTCGAAAATACGGATTGCGATGAAGTTTGTGAGGCTTTTCCTGATTCATTTTGGGTCGCTACGGTACTTCGCATTTCTGGGTATAGGGCATTATTGAGGTATGAGGGTTTTGGACATAACGCGGATAAAGATTTTTGGGTTTCACTATGTTCCAATGACATTCACCCTGTGGGTTGGTGCGCTACCATTGGGAAACCTCTTATACCGCCTAACAGTAAGTGTACTCTTCGTTACTACTAGCTCTTAATTGCAGTATGTGCAGTATAAATATTATTTTCATTTCTTGTTTTCAGCGATTGCCAACAAGTACAAAGATTGGAAAGATTTTCTAATGAGACGGTTAACTGGAGCGAGAACACTGCCCACCAATTTCTATAATAAGGTTAATGACAGTATGAAATCTCGTTTTCGGTGTGGCCTCCATCTGGAGGTAGTGGACAAAAACAGAATCTCACAGGTGAAGGTGGCGACAATACAGAAGATTGTCGGGAAACGTTTGCATGTGAGATACTATGACTCTCCGCCTGAAGATAATGGATTTTGGTGTCATGAGGATTCCCCGTTGATACATCCTGTTGGATGGGCAAGAAGAGTTGGTCAAACTTTGGACGCATATCCAGAATATATGGACCGTGTCACACATGCGAAACTCTGCGAGGATGATGCTGTCGATGGACTCTTTTTTGTGATGAAAAATCATCATTCTCATCAAGGTTATACCTTCAGGGAAGGAATGAAGATAGAAGCTATTGATCCACTCAACTTATCAGCTATTTGTGCTGCTACTGTTATGCAAGTTCTCAAGGAGGAGTATATTATGATTCGCATCGACAGCTATGATGAGGATGCCAGTGGAGCTGATTGGTTCTGTTATCATTCCTGTTCGCCCTGTATCTTTCCCATTGGATTTTGCTCTCAACATGGCTTACCTCTTACACCTCCAAAAGGGTACGATCCAACGGCATTCACGTGGGACGCTTATTTAGCAGAGACAAACACAATACCAGCTCCGGTACAACTCTTTAATAGGGTAAGTGAACTGTGATGGCATTTCTATCACGAGAGCCATATGACTTTAAGTGAAATACAAGCAAGGTATTACCTTACGATTGCAGGAAATCCCACAGCATGGATTCATTGAAGGGATGAGACTCGAAGCTGCTGATTTAATGGATCCAAGATTAGTTTGTGTAGCCACGATTACCAGGGTGATCGGCAGGTTACTCAGGGTGCACTTCGATGGTTGGGAAGACGAATATGATCAATGGTTAGATTGCCAAAGTCCTGACATCTATCCGGTTGGATGGTGCGATCTTGTCGATCACAAGTTAGAAGGGCCCCGTGTACTCACTAAAAACACTAGTCCTACCGGTGAGTATAATTTCAATAAATGGAATATTTCTTACATCTTAGTCATCATGAATAGTCATCTAATAGATGACTAGTCGCTCGACTAAGTCATTCAGTAGGTTAAGTACTAAAGTAATTTTTTTTGTATACAGTAAAATCACCAAGAGGCCTTAAACGTAAAGCTAAGCGGAAACCGAAGAAAGGAGGCAAGATATCTTGCGTCAAAAACATTCTACCTCGACACAGCGAACGTGTTAGTGCAGCTCGCGATCGAGAACGTGAGCTGGAACCTGCTCAGGGTACCAAGATAGAAAGAGAACGAGATCTGGAAAGTCTGCCGGAACAAGGTGGTCGGGAACCGGAACCTGCAGAGGAACCTGCCGGACCTGATCAAACTCTACCTAGTCCGACAACTGGCCAGGGTCAAGCACAGAGTGAAGCCCAAAGTGAAGTTCAAAGGCCTCCCCTTCCTAAGGAGAGAACCGCTACTTCGTACATTAATGTGAGTATCTGGAACTATTTCAGGATATATTTAATTTTTTTTTTTCTTTTTTGAATGCTTGATGAACTGGATGTTGATAATGTAATAATTTTCAGGCGACTTCTGCCAGTGGAAAGTATATCCCGAGGTTAGCCGACGGTCTACAAAAGAGTTCAGACTCCGGCGAGCTAGTACCAGCCGAATGGAATGTCTTTGACGTAGCGCAATTTCTACGTGTGAATGACTGTGCGACTTACTGTGACAATTTTAGCAAACGCAAAATAGATGGGAAGACCTTGCTGATTCTGACCAAGGACCAAATCATAGACCTAACCGGCTTCAAAGTCGGGCCATCTTTAAAAATATACGATCTAATCCAACAACTAAAAATCAAAGTGAATCCAGCTCAGGAAAGGTTGAAACTAGGACTGAAAAAATTATTATAACAAAGCTAGAAAATAGCGTATATCCTTCGATAAGTTCCCACATCGCGTAGATTAAACATGGATTTACAGGTAAGGCGCGTGAGTGCGGATGCAATGGGGGCAAGCACATTTTGCTAATTACATTTTTCTTGTATGATTCATGGGGTCTCACTACTTTTTTCTTTGCATACAGAAATGTCTCGACCTTACGTTAAGTACTACAATAATTCATTAAACCGCAGTTATATCTATGTGCAATTGATGAGCGAAATATTTATAATTGCATTTTATTGCGATGTAACTTTTCAAAGTAACTTTTTTTTTTATCGCAACACGATTTGTTCGTTCTGAGAAATGAAATACGTTTCCTTATACGTCTGAGAAATAAGCTAAAAATATGGTTTGGAGTAGTCCGTCAAAAAAAGCGAAACTTAGAACGAACGTATCGTCTCATAACTCTGCTTGAACGCAGTCTTGTCTGTGATTAGAAAGTAATTTTTCAAAATAACAGTCAAGTATTAATTCTTAAATACATTAGAAGTTATCCGAAAACTTTTTTGTCTCTTTCTCTCTTTCTCTCTCTCTCTCTCTCTCTCTCTCTCTCTCTATTCTTCACATGATTTCAATGAATTTAACTAGATTGTGGTTTACATATATTTATAATCGCGTAAAAGAATTTCTTTAACAATATAATACAATTAACTCTCTAGCGAGATGGCCATTATATGTAAATCCATGCTTTATAAAACACCGAGCGATATGCAGATACGCCGGCTACACTTTTAATTCGCGAAATTTCCAAGAAAACTCGGTATCCGCAACACGAAAAGTGTTGTCATGAAATTGATACGATAAGTACTTGCAAGAAAATAGAAAAAGAGTAAGAGATAAGAGGAGGTCAAAAGAATCCCAAGAGAATATCTGTAAATAGTTAAGAAAGTTAAAGTGATCTTCCATGATCCTGTAAATATTAAATGTAATATGATATTAGATGCAGCCACTTTCTTGGCAGTTTAGGTAGGCAGTTCTGCGTTCTACGAGAAAGAGAACAATTAATCGAAAAACGGCCGGTACGTTTGTATATCGTGCGGTGTATACCAGCGTAGCTTAGTCACCGGTACAGTGAATCAAACCAGTAAAAAAAAGTTCAATCACAACTCTGCTTTTGGGTCTTCAAATAGTATTTTAATGGTACAGGCTGAATGAAGTTACATCATTATTCATTTTCAATTCTTTATTATTTTGTAATGTTGAAAGTGACTCTGATGACATTGACACTTTATGTATTCTATTTGTTTACGCTGGAAACAAATTTTTATTCAAATGTCAAATCACTAAATTTCCTTATATATTGTTCGTGGCAAAATTATTTGAAGACTCCAGCATTGGAGTTTTATTGGCTCGAAACACCAACAGTAATGCGCCATGTCCAATGCATCATTATAATTGATGAAAGTATTTGTTGAGCTGCTCTGAAATTCAGATTACTCAAACGAGGAGACATTGAGTCGCGTCATTGCAATGATAACAATTTTTAAATGTTAACAATTAAAAAACGCCTAATTTTTTTCGTTTGTCAGATAAAGCAATAATGTATGAAAATGTAAAAAAAATAACAGAGCGATGAGAGCTGAATTTCAGAATACCGTAAACACTCATGATGACTTGGTACATGGCGAATTGTCGCAAAAATAGTGTAAATGTAAATCTAGATTAATTAGGTTAATTTAGTTGCATTTAGGATTCATCCTGGAGCGGTTACTATTTTTCACGAAAAAAAAGAAACAAGATAGCCGCATTGTTGCGGCAGGTAAACAACTACACAGTATTTATCTACGCGCAGGATAACAGTAAAAACAAAGTGAGCTCTGTAGCCTTCCCCCCCCCCTTCTTCTTTCATCTCCAATCTCTATTTTTTAATTAGTAAGTTTGTCACTCGTGCGTATATTTCTTTTTATATATATAAGAGGAGATTGATTAAGAATAAATGTTTTACACTTGTACTGTAAAGAAATTTGCAAATAATGAAAAAGGCGTTGTTTATACGAAACAAAATTTGAGTTTCCCAACATTTTCTAGTTGTGACGCCGAGCTGGGGTGGTCACGGGAAGTTGGGCGTCGCAACGCCAGATAGCGCCTGCTGTCCCTCCTATGGCGCTTTGCTTATTTATCATTCCTAAGATGTAACGCGAGCAACCTTCACAAATATCAGCCCATTTTCGATTCTTCGAAATACACAAAGCCTCATACCTCGACCCCCTACAAGAATCTGGAACTGAAGCAGGTAAATCGAATAATCGAACAAAAACAAATATTATTCGTAAATGTCGGTCAAAATGAATGTAATTTTCTTATATATTTTCAGAAATCGGGAACTGTTCCTGCTCAATTCTCACTTGGTCACGTCGAGGACTACGGAATAATTGAATTATCCACATGAAAGATTTTGAAAACGTTCCTATCCTCGACCGGAAGTCGCTTGGGACATCCGGTGAAACTTCTCAGGAGGCAACGGATGTACTTTCGATCTCCTACGTACATCCCATGCTAGACTACACACCCACAAAGAGACTACCTCGTACTCTCCGCCATGGTCACATAGGAAATCCAGAACCCCAAGCCATAATGCTCAAGGAAACTCTCAGCGGAATCCCCAAACAACCCTTTTTGTCTGTAAAAAGTCTTGGAGTACATCTCGCAAGAAGTAGATACACATTTGAACCAGGCATTGCCCGACAGGGTAGAAGAGTTTTCTCGCAAACTTTCATGGCGTCATACCAGGGCGAGTATATACGGATGAGCTCCCTGCGTACTCTACACCCGCAACATTGTCCTCGCGTATGTACGTAGGTATATTTGGTAAGTTGCAAGTCGTAACGTATTCGTGGCGTGGCGGGTAGGGCGATAGGGGTCGCTCCGGTATAAGCGGAGAATTTTTATTGTCAACTCTCATACCGTGGGGCAGCCGACGTGGGAGTTGTAGGAATAGAAGGTGGCGTCGCGCGAGGTACATCCGAGTAAGAACGTGGTGTATAGAAGGTAGACAGAAAGAGTCACGCTATGCGAGCGACCAGGACAGAAGAGTATACGGGGCCAGTATAAAGGCGTAGAAGAACCAGAGGATGGTCGCGGCGGAAAGGAACGCGGAGAGGAGAGGAGAGGAGAGACTACAAGAGAGTATGCGTACTGTATAGAATGCTCCAGGGAGTGGGAGACCCGGCGTATTCTATGGGCGGGGCCTCCGCCAGCTGGCAGATGTTTCCCGCGCGGTCATAGCGCTCCTCTAGCGTAAACCTACGCGACGGCAAAGTAGTCCCTAGTATTTCTTCAATTATTGCTAGCAATAAGTGTGCTACTTACGTGACTATTTGGCAAATGTATTCCTTGAGAAGGTATTAACGATTTTCATATATTCTTTTACTAGAATTTCCGGATTTCTACTGGATAGTAAGAAGGGACTGGCGCAGGACTGGCCTATGGAATTTCGCTGGCCAGGGCAGAAGCACCGAGCACGGTTACCCCCTCCGTTTACTTCTTCCGGAGGATGATCATCTCATGGAGTAGGATCCAGTTTTCGCGAGAATGGCTACTACTAGCAGTTACTAAACGCCCGGACTCTTGATGTGTGTGTTGTTTAGTGCGTCTATGGTTCTTTTTTTATCCGTCCGTATAATCGTGCTTCTTCGACACCTGCCGTCCCTTGTGTACCGGCACCCGGTATTCGAGCGGCATCTCAGTAGGCATTGTCAGGTCGAGTCTGATCGTCGAGTATTGAAAACGTGTCTTGCGTTTATTCAATAAATAAAGATTTACAGCGGATCGAAGCTGTTTTTCGAGAGAACTGAAGCATCACGAGTGTATACCGAAGCAATTGTTAATTAACATCGGAATATAATTTCTTGACGGAATTTGACTACGGGTTTAATAATAACGAGAGTCATCGAAATATTCGACGCTCGACCACGTGAGGAATACCAAGACGCCCGAGTCAAGATAAATTGTCTAGGAGTCATATTTCCACGAAAGAAGATCCATACATACATCACATACAGAGGGTGTATTCAAAGGGCTCGATGGACTACAAATCACATGTACGACCACCCAATTGTCGAAAGTTAAGATGCTACAGAATACAAGTTGGTGCAACCTAGACGAAAATAAAAAATTTCTGTGCTGAGAAAACCTTGAAGTACGGGAGTAAAACTGACCAATTACAAAAAAAAAACAGCAGGACGGCCAGGGTTGAGGAAAGGAGGAAGTGAGAAAAAAAATTGTCATAGTGAGAGGCCCTAGAGGGGCTGGGAACCCCCTGATTGCGACGGCACTGGGACCGGCGGCGGAGTGATCCGCGACGCGTCGTGGGGGCCCTCAGCTGTTTCCCGCCAAAGATCGCCATTACAAAACGCGTTCGGGCGTTGTGTGTGCGCCGCGGTGTGGTCTGTCCCGTGGACAAATCTCGGTGCGTGACCGTATATTAATAATACGCGAGAAAGTACAGCGGGTGGCGTACGAGGGTCGTTGTGAAGAAAGGTGCGCGTTTTACTCGACTAAGTGTGTCCAAGTTGGTTTTTCCCGTCTCGGCTGGTGGGACGTGAGTCGCGCGCGGGATAGTAGTGAAGCCGAGCTGGGCGAGATATGTCAGTGTTTGCCGCTAGTGACGATCGGATTCTGATTGAAGAAATAGTGGAAGTGACCGAGGAGCAGGAAGCCGAGCTGTGCAGGTGAGTACCCTCGTAGAAAATATCGTACTGTCTTCTGGATAGGAAGTGAGAGAAGCGGATGTGGCAGTAGCGAGATACTAGGAGGAAAAATTAAAGAGAGAGACAAGGCAGAAGTCGATTCTGATATATAAATTAACGTAGTTTTTTTACACGGAAGTGTGTGAGACTGGCCACTACGCCATTGTCTCTTTTTTAGATCCTTGAAATCCATCGGGATGGAAACGCGTTCTCACCCCTCCTTTATTTAACGAGTCTCTGCGTATCGTAATCGGTTTTCGTTGTCATTCGTGAAAAAGATTAAAAAAATACGCGAGGAATCCGCCGTTCTCGAAGTAGAAACGACGAAATCTTGTTTCCGGCTCAGCTGTTGAAGCCGGCCGGCCGGCAGCCGCTCTCGCGTAGGTTGGTAGATACATACGTAGGCAGGCGAGCAGCCAACCGAGCAAGCAGACACGACGGGTCCACGCCATTTGCTGTTTCCTGCTTCCCATTTCATCAGGCACGATATCTCTGCTCTCGCAGTCAGACAACTATTTCTCGCAAAACTCTATATCCGTCGGGCGTTCACGCCCAAACGAGCATGGCGCGATCCCCTTACCAACGTCGCTATTAACTTCGCCTGCTTTTTCCTTCATTCTTTTTTTCTCTCACACTCAAGCATCAAATTCGGCAACTGGCTGGCTGGCACATTTTTCACCAGCCATTCCAGGAACACTCATTTCGGCCGGAACCACTTTGATAAGCCGGTAGTAGATTCGTTGCCAACTCTTACTACGTATACATTGGATCGCTGAAATAATTAACGGGAGCGATGCGTTAGGACAGCCGAAGTTATCTTTATTCAGATTTCATGCTATAAGCCCAGTAATTGATATAGCCCGGTGGAGGGGGGGGGGG